CCGCGTGGGTTCGGAGGGGTCTAGCCACCGTGGTAGGGCCCCTCCATATCAGGGTTACACGCACAAGTGGCTCCAGTCACTTGTAACTCTAACAGACACGACGTCTGCTAGAGGTTCGAAAGACTTTCTCGTCCTTGGTGTAGACACACCAAATGCTACATACATTTACGATCACCACGACGGGTGGTCCATAGAGACTTAGTATTCCTATTGGCTGAAAGCAGCATCTATTTAGGCAATGAGCGACATGCATAGCATTGGAATTCTGCCAACCAGCCGTTGGCAGATTCCTATCTTAGAATGTTACATTTAGAGGAAGTCAGAAAGCATAAAACAAAAACATAGCAGTTCTCATTTTAACCCAAAAACATTATTTGGATCGTTTATTTAGATTAATCTATACTCGGAGGTCCGAGTATAATTAATTCTAGTTTAAACTAAGCTACGCTTCCTCGTACACGTGCGCACACGTGTAAGCTAAAGTAGTGAACCCGGCACAGGTACGCGTCAATACGTTCAGCGTCTCGACGTCCGGCTTCTCAGCCTCCGTCTGCCCGGCAGACATTTCTTGTAGCGTCTCGGCCCCGGGCCGAGACTTGTGCAGCGACCTTCGCATGCGCCGTCTTTTTTGTTTTGCGGAGCCCGTCTCCGCTTGGTTCTTGACCTCGTCCAGGCCCAGCCGTGGAGGGGTGTTCTTCTTCAGTACCGCCGGCAGCTTCATCCCGGGGGCGAGCGACTTCAAGCCCGTCTTGGTCGCCCGGCGCTTCGTCGTGCAGCCGGGCTGCACGACAGCATGCAAGTTTTTCCGGTGCGGGACGTTTGCAACCGTCCGCACCGCTTGCAGCGTCGACTCCTGGAGTCGACACGCCATCCCTACCTCAACGCATGTTATTGGCGGAGCACTCCGTTACAGAGGGTGCGTCGGCTCCCCGAGCCGACGAATCCAATTCGTCCAATCCATCGACTCCCGGAGCCGACGGCGTTTCGTCACCTTGGCTCTTATTATTGGCCAAAACTGATTCAATCAGATTTGCGTCAGCCTCCACGGTTGAAGCGTGTGACTCGCCTGCGTCATCCGTGCCCCTTGAGGTCGGAAACTCTTCCTGATTCGCTGAAAAGCGGGTGTCGACCTCCGAGGTCAACACAATTTCTTCATTAGCTGTCGGCGGCAACGCCGACGCTAGCTGCTCTTGCGCGCGTGCTCGCGCGCGCCCAGGGCGCTCCGGGACAGCGGCATTAGGCGCTGTCTCGAGGGGGGAGTCGCGCGCACCTGTCGGCGCGTGCGTTGCGGCAACAGGGCCATCGATCACTGTTCCGCTATCGCGACCGAAGCGCACGAGAGTGTGCTTCTCCCAATCGATGACCGGATCATGCCGTGCAAGCCACGGCATGCTCAATACAATGTCAAACTTATCGTTCAGATCCAGGACGATAAAGGTCTCGACAAACTCATGATCTTCGTATGTGAAGCGCACGCGTACCATGCGCTTCTCGGTCTTCACGTCGGCGCCCGTTGCCAGCCGTACCTCCAACATACTTCGAGGTATCTTTAAATCCTCGAAGTCAAGCCTTGATAGACTTCGCAGTCGAACAGAGTTTTTCGACGCGCCAGAATCTACCAAAGCACGAAGAGAGCCGCTAGCTCTCATCGAGTTCACGTTGAGGATGACAAGGTCAGGCTTGTCATCTTGGTTCTTGCAGCGAGAATGAATCTCACTGGGGGCTGCAGTCCTCAGTGTCGCGTGTCCAAGGTCGACACGCGGAACTGCATTACCAGTAGGGCGCCCCGCGCCTACTGGCGTCCAGCGTTTTTTTGTTTAGTTGCGACGGTGCCCGGCACCGCCGCGATAGCCACCCTGCTGGTGCACGAGGACCGTGCACTCCCGAGCAAAGTGACCGACGCTACCGCAACAGTAGCATCGCACATTGTTTCCTTACGACTGCTGGGGTCCAGCAGTTGCAGCACTCGAGAGGTCCACGGGTTCGGGGCCTCCCGTCCTCACTACCGGGCCTGGCTGTGGCCTCGGCACATGTGCATGCAGCTTAGCCTGCCGCAGGCTAAACTCCTCCTGTATTACAAGAGTAATTGGAGCTTCGAGAGTACTCGGGTACTCGCGGAAGAGATAGGTCTTCAAAGGCCCATCTCTCAGCCCCTTCATGAACGTGACGACCTTGGTCGCGTCGTCGACCGGATTGGTCACGATGTTTGAGACCAAGTATCGTGCTCTCTGAGCATAAGCATGGCCATCATGCTTGCCCTGCTGCAGGTCGAGGAACTCCGCCCTCGACCGGAACTCATTTTGCGGTGGCTCAAACGCTTGTCTGAGCTCTTCCTTGAAACCCTCGTACGTGATTAAGCACGTAGGATCCGAGAGTCGGCGTCCATACGCCCAACTTCTTGCACGTCCGCCAAGACATGACATGGCGAGCGCAACCTTCGACAACGGGTCGACGATACGTCGAGCCTCAATGGCTGTGTCGAGATCGACAAGCCAACAGAGGAGAGGTTCACCCTCTCTTCCGACATAGTTGCTCACATTGAGCTTCAGCGATTGCGCGCGTGGTGTCGTCACGGACGACACCGCGGTAGTAGCAGCAACATCGCGTTGCTCCTTCAGGATGAAACCCAGAGCAACACCGTGTTGCTCTGTCGGCGTTAGCGTACGCAGAATCGTAGCTACAGCCGCCTCAACAATGACTGTTGACAGTCGTTGGAGGGCCTCCCACTCTGGATCCGACAGGTGGGGACAGTCAGCGCGTGCAACGTGAGTTGCAGGCGTAGTGGAGCTTTCCATGGGCACCTCTGTATCCATGGAAAGGTTCTCAGCTCCGCGTTCGTGCGGTGACGTACGAACTCAGGCAGTCGGCCGTTGGATGGACTACAAAGTGCTACCAGATGTAATGGACCTACTTTGGTTCCGGTACAGGGAGATGACTCTCGCTAATCCTCCGACGCAAGCGTCGGAGTTGACTTCGCTTCCAGTCATGAGCATGAAGCGCTTCACGCGTGACTTGCACGATGGACGCATCGAGCAAATTTGCATCATCTCGGACGCCGAGAGAACGAAGAGCGAGAATGAAGAACTGAGGCAGTTCTTCATGGAGAGCACCACTGAGAGCGAGGACACTCTCAGTGCGAAGACGAAGAAGGAGCGCTTTGAAGAGCAGAACTGGGACTCGTTGAAGACGAATCCCTACTACGAGATCTTACGGGAGTACGCGGACGTACTTCCGGAAGAGATCCATGCGGAGCTTCCGCAGGACAAGGGCATCCAGCACGAGATTGATCTCGTGCCGGGGGCGAAGTACTGTGTCACGCGGCAGTGGCCACTGCCGCGAGAGCAGGTCAAGGCGATCGACGGCTTCTTTGAGAGTCGTCGCAAAGCTGGACAAGTGCGGGAATCGAAGTCCCCGCACAGTGCTCCGACGTTCTGTGTCAAGAAGCCACAGGGCAGCTGGCGCATCGTTCATGCGTACAACAAGTTGAACGATGCGACGATACCGGTGCAGACACCGACACCGCAAAAAGATGTCATCATCGATTCGATGGCCAGGAGCACTATCTACAGTGCTCTTGATCTGCGCGATGGGTTCTATCAAATCCTCATGCGTGAGAGCGATATCCCTCTAACGGCTGTCAGCACGCCTAGCGGCATGCTCTGGGAGTGGCTAGTGATGCCGCAGGATCTGAAGAACGCCCCTGCGACCTTCAACAGGTGCGTGACGCACTTGTTGCGCTCGGTGCGCGACTTCGCACCGAGCTACTTCGACGATGTGTTCGACCACAGCCGGGCTGCGGACGGGATGAGCGATGTTGAGATGCGCAAGGTGCATCTCCAGAAGCTGCCTGCGCTTATGCGCAAGCACAAGCTCTATGCGAACCTGAAGAAGTGCATCTTCGGGGCGAGCGAGATACCCGTGCTCGGGTGTCTCGTTGGGAAGAACGGTGTCCGCCCTGACCCTGAGAAGGTCAGAGTGATCAATGAGTGGCCGACGCCATTGAACGTCAAGGAACTGCGGCAGTTCCTTGGCTTGCCCACGTACTTGTGCGAGTACGTGAAGGACTACGCGGGTATGATACGCCCGCTGTCACAGCTCCTGAAGAAGGACGCCAAGTGGGTTTGGACTGCTGAGTGTCAGCAGGCCTTCGATGCAGTCAAGCAGGGCTTGACTGAGGCGCCGATCTTGGCGGTGGTCGACCAAGACCGCCCGTTCCACGTTGCGTGCGACGCATCCGACTTCGCAATCGAATGTGCGTTGATGCAGCACGATCACGAGGGACGTGATCGTGTGGTCTACTACCAATCACGTCAGCTGAAGCCAGCTGAGCGCAACTACCCGGTGAATGACAAGGAACTCCTTGCCATGAAGTACGCACTCGCGAAGTTCCGAGTGTATCTACTCGGAAGCAAACCGTTCGTGGTCTATACGGACCACGCGTCGCTGCGGACGGCTGTGAAGTCGCCGCACATCTCGCAACGGATGGCGAGATGGCTCTCATTCTTCGCAGAGTATAACTTCCGGGTTGAGTACAAACCCGGAAGACTCAATGTGGTAGCCGACGCGCTCTCGCGTCAACCTGACGACGCCACGACTGATACCGACGTCAATGCCATTGACGCCATGCGATCGAGCACCCCGACGTCGTCACTGTTGGACGACGTGAAGGTCGCGTACGCGCACGACGCGGACGCGGACGCGAAGCACTTGCTGGTCTATGGCTCAGCGCCTTCTGACAAAGCTCGTCAGAATCTGCCGAAGCATCTTCGTGCACGTGCACACCGTTATCGGGTGCACGATGGAACAACTTGCACAATTGAGGCGGAGTTTGCGTGGATGGTACGCATCATATGCGTTATCCTGGTGGAGTCCAGCGCTGCGGCAACGGCTTCAGCCACTATAACGTTAACAGCTCCACGCGAAGCCGGCAAAGTACCTGATCCCGAAGTACTCATACTTTCGTGCATGATGTCCGGGACAAACGTATCAATCTTGCTATCCACGCTAGATATCTGATCGTACAACTGGGAAATATTGGTATCCACGTTGTCAAGTCTACGGTTCATGTTCACAATAACTCCGAGATGAGGTGGTACACCGCTAGCTCTGACGGCATCACCCGGACGCTTGCATCGACACACCACTTTAGATTTCAAAGCCAGCACCAGTTCAGGACTACGAAACAGCGGCGAGTTAAACAGAATGTGACTCTCATCTAGTGTTCGTACTAAGTGGTCATGGTGGTAGACCAACGAAGCCAAAAGGTAGCTGCAGACCTTCTGCAGATTATCAGGGGCATTCGGAAATACCACGCAAACAGCGCTCCACACGGTCGCATCTACGACCTCGATGAACGGGGGTAGAATAGAGAACTCTGGCGTTTCATACGGCAAACCAGATACAAAGCGACCGACCACACGATCACCAGCGGTCTCGTATCGAATATACGTGTCCTGTACCTCAGGTAAGTTCCAGCCACCTCTTAAAGACACGAAAGCTGATGATGGTCCACCTGTACAACAGCCTGACACGTAAGTCGACGAGCCCTTTCTTGCGGAGTGTGAAATCTGCAGGTTCACGTTCAGTAATATCGAGCTCACGTGCCACCAAGGGTTTTTACATTGACTTTTTCAAGATTCTGCTGTAGCGATCATACTGATTCTTCCCACTAAATAGGGCCGCCTTAGCATTGAATCCGAAAACTGTAAAATACATCGTGAGCGATAGAATCGGGCAGATATCCGGCTCCGTCGGATTCGCGTACACGTGGCGAGGGGCACGCTGCCTTTCACCCTCTTGATCGTTTTTAATGTGACAAAACCAAATTGCCAGAGCATCTTCGTCCCATGCATGATGGCCATATCGAATTGACGAAGAATTGCCAGCTCGACACATCAAATTCCACGAGACCACCAGAAATGAATGAGCAAAAACAAATATCTTCTTCGTTGCTCACGCATCACCTTACAAACTTTTTGATACAGCGAAAACGTAAAACCCACTTTGCCTTCTGCTAGCGATTCGCCCTCATCCTGCTGTCGCTGAACTACCGAGCGCTTCAAACCTTTAAAAAAGGTCTTCAGTTCACCGTCGAACTCGCCCGGCATTTTCACGTTATAAGTGCGGTACAGATGAAACAAACTAGATCTCATCGAGCTGTACACCGACTTGCCTGGCTTCTTCCCGTCTTTCTTCCGCAGGGACAACAAAAAGAACTCGAAGTGCTCCGGGGTGATCTGCAGTAACTCCACTGGAGGTCAACTCAAGTCTTCTTGCATAAATCTCTTGACGCGGCACGACTTTTTCTTCAGCACTAGGGACTCGTCCATGCCTATAACCCCATCCAACAGGGCATGGAGCGGAGCTGCAACCAATTCCGGTTCTTTGCTGTGAAGCCACATACGAGCTTTACGACGCCGTACGAGTACACTTCTCTCGACTTCTTGCACACAACGTTGTCTTTTATCTATTCGACTTCTTCGATGAGTTCCTCCATCCTGCTGATGCCGCTGGAAGCGTCTGCTCAAATCTGGAGTGCCTAGTCACTAAGTACGGTACAACACCACTAAGTTCGTTTCCATTGACTGTCCAACAAATTCGTACTACATATGATAATGCCTGTACCTCGTTCTCGAACCTTATCTTCCGTCGAGTAGCTCACCAAAACTAGAGCGTATATTGGTACGCGAATGCCACCAATCGATAGAGGGCTATCTCCCCTTTCGTTCTATGTATACATTTGGTCATTGAATGTAGATTTTGAGTTATGGTCTATTTTCGAAGACATGTAATCCGTTCCACAATGCGTCACCTGGGGATACCTTTGACCCTTTTAATCGATGCAACGACTCAAGTACAGTATCAATTCACTTCGCAATTTGCATCACAATCCCAATCGTCGACTTAAAAGAATGCGTGTCCACTACGTCGTGCTGCTCGTTGCTGCAGTCTTCCTTGCCAGTGCCAACGCCACCTTGGTCGCTACGAACACGTTGGATCGGCAGCTTACTGCTGACGCCAAGACCCAGCGGTCCTAGAGGATTCACTACACGGAAGAAAACGACGAAGAGAGAGGGTTCGCCACCGCCTTCTAGAAGGGTAAATCGGTTTTTACGTCGGCGAAGCTCTCCGACGATACGCTCCAGGGCTGGGTCAAGAACAAAAATCCCCGATGAAAGCCCTCACGCGACTTGGTCTGGACGACGCGAGGCTCAGTCTGTTCGAGAGCCCCTAGTTTAAAACGTGGGTCACGTACATGACCATGCTCAACAAGTGACAGGCTCCGATGCGGTGGGGCCTGCCGTAGCGAAAGTGCGTGGAGTTGTTGTGGCTGCTTGCTTGCTTTTGGGTAAAATGCAAAGTGAGATTGATTCCTTTAAGTCTTCGGGCTAGCTACGGGCTCTAGGTCTTCCTCTTGCTTTCTCCTTAGTGTCGTTCTAGAAGCTGAGCTAACCTATACTAAATGTAAGTGTTTTCTGTTTTCGTAATCCTATATATGCATGTTTGTATACTTGTGCAGGTAGAGTTCTGGATTCCGGGCGCCAGGCAGTCTTGCGCAAGCCTGGCGCCAGCCTTCAAGCGACGCTGCGCGCAAGCTACTTGTGGCGGAGGAGGCGGCGGCGCTGCGACGCCTGACTTCCTAGCCACCAGGTACGTCTTCCTTGAGCATGTCTGTTGCTGGCGTACCCGCTTGCGTGGGTGTCACCAGCAGACATGGTGCATCATGACATTTCCCCGGGCTTTTAATCGCGTTGGCGCTGTTGACGGAACTTGTGAAGAAGTTCACGCCAATGCGATACACGTTTGAGTTTGTCCTCGTACTCCCAAGTGTTTTCCGAATCGGAAAGTCCGTGCCACTTGACCAGCCAAAGCCGTTTGTTGTTGTGCTGTTTCTGCTGGAGCAGAGATTCTGGGAAATGTAGTTTTACGTCGGTTTCATCGCCAAGGAGTACTGGTGCAGACTTGGGCAAAGGTCGCGACGCGAAGCGTGGAGGGTTCGGAACGTCATGCTTGAGGAACTCAACATTGAAACTCGGGTGAAGGCGACTCATGTGACGTGGTAGCTTGAGCCGTGCTACGTTGGAGTTGATCATCTTCTCGATTTCGAACGGGCCGATATACCTCATCGCTAACTTCTCACGGTTGAGCTCCGTGTTAGCCGTGATGCGCTTGAGTGGCAAGTTACGCGTGTCCAGCAGGACAAGGTCTCCTTCCTTGAACTCCACGTCTCGGCGCTTCCTGTCATAGTACTTCTTTTGACGTTGTTGAGCTGCCAGGTGATTCTTGCGCGCCAATTCAATGATCTTCTTGCGTTCTTCAGCAAACTTCTGCGCAAAATCAACTAGCGGGACATCTTCATCACGAACTTCACCAGGTGTGATCTGGGATAACAAGTTCCTGATCTTGCGTCCTGTGTCCACTTCGAACGGTGTAAGCGTTGTCGAGTAGCTCTCCAGCGTCGCATGTGCGTACTCGATTGTTCCCAAATGCGTAGCCCAGTCTCGACCTTGATAGGACACCATGCACCGTAATGCATCTTCCAAGACCAGGTTCTGACGCTCAGTCTGTCCATCCGCTTGGGCTCGATATGCCGTGGTGAGCGACAACTTGACCCCCATGATATCCATGAGCGACTTTCAAAACTTCGATGTGAACTTGGGGTCTCGATCGCTGATGATCACCTTCGGCAGACCGTGATGACGAACGACTCCTTCAAAGAAGATTCGTGCAACCTCCGGGGCATCCGCCGTCGTATGTGTCGGAATATACTTGGGTCGCTTGGACAGTTTGTCCACCACTGTCATGATTGCATCGAAGCCATTGGAAACAGGTAGCCCTGTCACGAAGTCCATAGTCACGACTTCCCAACAGTCACTCGGAACTGGAATTGGCATCATAGTGCCTTTCTGTGCGGTACTTACTTTCCATCTAGCACACGTCCCACAGCTTGCCACGTATTCCTTTGTGTCCTTCTCCAACGTGGGCCAGAAGTACCACCGAGCAACCGTCAACTGAGTTCGACGGATTCCAGGATGAGCTGCCGTATGTGCATCATGGAATTCTTGCAAGATGTTCGTGATTAGCCGAGCGCTATTGGGGACACACAGCCTCATGACTGAATGATCCGAACACTTGTACAGGAGCCCATTCGATTTAACGAAGTCTGCAGATTTGTTCGGTCGGTTCCATGCTTCTTTGAACGCGGGGTCTCGCTTGTATCCAGCTTGGAACTTCTTCTTCTGATCTTCGCTTAAATGCACGCTGGATGTCGAGTACTCGACGTTCTGGACTTGTTCCATGTGCACATTGACTTCTTGCTGAACCCCAATAGGGCGACTCTCCCCCCGCAAGTCCAGATCGTCGAGAAGAAGCCAGCGGTCGTCGGACGGGAGCAAGCGAAGCATCGCTGCGTGGACACTGTGACGTCGAAGCCTCGAAGCCTGATGCGTACAGGATGACGAACAATCATGAACTGCTGGTAACTTCCAAGGCTCGGGCTCGTCTGTAACTTCGTCGTCGAAATCTGTCGCCGGGAGCTGACTTGGACGGGATAGAGCGTCGGCCACGACATTGAGATGACCTTTCACATGATGCATCGTGAAGTCAAATTGCGAGAAGAATGTAAGCATGCGTCCCATTTTAGGCGATACCTGAGGGTGATACAACATCCAACTGCAAGCTGCATTGTCGGTAAAGACATCGAAGTCCCGGCCGTGAAGGTAGTGACACCATTTCTCGAGAGCGGTTTTGATGGCCAAAAGTTTCTGCTCATGTGGAGGCCAGCCAACTTCATGGACATTGAGCTTCTTTGAGTAGAAGGAAATCGGGTGGCTGCTGCCGCCGAAGTCTTGCGAGAGCACACCGCCCATGCACTTACCCGATGCGTTGGTTGTGATCGTGAAAGGTTTCGAGAAGTCAGGCAAACGAAGAACAGGAGCTTGCTGCAAGGCGAGCTTCAGCGATCGAAAAGCGTCTGCCTGCGCCGGACCCCATTCCCACGTAGCTTGCTTCTTAGTCAGCTTACTCAAAGGTAGGGCGTGTCGCGCAAAGTCACAGATAAAGCGACGATAGTAGCCAGCAAGACCGAGAAAACTCTGCAGCTCCTTCTTGTTCGTTGGTTCCGGATATTGCTCAATGGCCCTGGTCTTCTTCGCATCTACGGATAACCCTTCTGCTGACACGGTGTGGCCGAGAAAGTTAACACTCGCTTGGCCAAACGAACACTTCGATCGGTGCTCATAAAGCTTCTCATGGCGAAGCACTTCAAAGACCGCTTCCAGATGCTCGAGATGCTCTTCTTTGGTCTTGGAAAAGATGCAGATATCGTCCAAATAGACCACGACGAAGTCGAACTTGTCAAACAGGACGCGCATCAGTCGTGACCAAACCCCAGGCATACCCGAAAGACCCATCGGAGCGACACACCACTGGTAAGTCTCCTTGTGAGTACGAAAAGCGGTGAACTGACGACTACGCGGCTTGACCCGCATCTGGTGGTAACCTTGGGTCAGGTCCAGAACCGAAAACACTGTGCAGCCGATCATCTTGTCAAAGATTTCCTCGATTAGCGGTAATGGAATCTTCGGGATCTTCGTCTGACTGTTGACATAGCGGAAGTCGATGACCCAACGAATCGGAATGGATCTATTCCCGGATCGCAGCCATTCTGCCCGCTTCGGGATTTGACCAGTCGCAGGATCTTTCTTAGGAACACCGAAGATATTGGAGACCCAGGGTGAATTGGAGACTTCTATCCACCCTTTCTTCATGTTTTCCGCGACGAACTTTTCCAATGCTTCTTGCTCCGTTTTAGACAGTCGAAACGGTGCTCGGGTGCTAGGAGCGGCGTTAGGCTTCATCTCCATGTCGAACTCGACGATGCGCTCGGGAGGTAGGCCATCTGGCAACGTTTCTGGGAAGACATCACCAAACTTGTCCAGCAAAGGTTTAATGTAGTCTGGTACATTGTCAGATTCCACTGCTACACAGACCTTGACGAAAAACAGCTCCGCAAACTTCATGTCCTGCATACGACGACGAAACTTCTTCGTGGACCCAAAGACACCATTACGCCATGCCTCAGCCAAGGCGAGATGTGACCGATGACGTGCGCGAACCGCTTCCTTTTCCGCTTTCTTTCGTTGCTCTTCTGCCGACTCCGACTCTTCAATTTCGCTCGGGCCCATTGTGACGGCGTCTTTCTCACATTCTTTCTGATCTTCCATCTTGTTTGCGTTCTTGTCCGACTTGGGCCGTGGTCTCTCTTCCATGCTCGGAAATACTACTTCATGCGTTCGCCAGTTGATTGTTGGCTGATATTTGGCAAACCACGGCTTACCCAAGATAACGGCATGTTCAATCGCCAGTGGACTCTCTGTTAGACGCATCCTCTCGAACGTCTTGTTTTCCATGCTGATGTCCGCTTCCACTACCTTCACATCGCGATAATCCTTGATCTCTCCATCGAAGCCCTTCACCTGTACATCCTTAGTTCCTGTCACCTTCGACACCATTCCTGGCCGTACCAGATTTGCCGTAGCACCACAGTCAAGCAGTATCGTTACTGGGCGCCCTTCGATTATCCCGGGTTTGCGAATGAGCTCATTATCCGGTCTAGCAACCATGTCATGCATGCTGACTTCCTCAAACGCATCCACAGTGTACTGATCGTACACGATTCTTTCTTCACCCTCGCTGACGTGTTGCTCCACAGCATTGACGTGCTGCGAGTCTCGTTGACGCTGATTCGGACCTCTGTAGGGGCGCTGGTTCCGACGAGGGGCCTTGCAGTGGGCTGCAATGTGACCACCACGGAAGCAGTTGTAACATTTCCTCTGCCGACGGCACTCTTCTAGACTGTGCTCTTGCCCACTGTCGATCTCCATTGACTCAGGACCATTTGATCTTGAAGTCGACTCGTTTCTGCGGAATCGTGGGTGATCACAGTCGCGACGTCCCGTGCGCGCCGGAGCACCGAAGTGCGAGCGCTCATAGTCCATCGCTACCGTAATGGCATCCGTAAGGGTTTCGCAACGCTTGTACAGTATTTCTTGACGTGTATTTGGCATCAACCCTTTCGAGAAGTACACCACTTTGTCGATCTCCGTCATGTCTTCCACTTGTAGTACAATGTTGCGAAACCGTGAAACGTAATCACCCAACGACTTGCAAGATTTCTGGCTCAGGTGTCGCAACTGCTCACGCAGCCGCAACTGAAGATCCGCCGGAACAAACGCGCGTGTCAACTCTCGGAGTAACCGCTCCGCAGAGTAGATCTCATGCTTCCGCGCCAGATACCACTGACCAGCCTGCCCCTTCAACGTGCTCCCGATAATGGCCAGTACCCTCGTCGCCCAACGCTCGTTCTTCCAGTCAATGTTGCGGGCCTCAAAGTACTGCGACAACTCTTCTTGATACAGGCGGAACGACTCAACTCATGCCCCGTGTACTTGGGTAGTCTAATCCCATCCAACTTGAAGTCATTCGTTCCTCGTTGCTCGTTCATTACTCTCATCACCTCTTGTTGCTGCTGCATCAGCTGCAGCACTCCTCGCATGAGCTCCGAGACGTCCGCCATCTTGTTCGCCCTCCTTTCGCACGCGGAAGCCCAAAGGCCTAACTAGTAACAAAGCTGATTCCCTCTAAAACGTTATTCCCGCGAAGGTATTCGTTTTCACACACTACGATAAATTGCCGTAAAAAGCGACTAAAACGTGTTTACTGCTCGCTAGACGAGTTAATCAGCTCCCTTACAGTAGCTAGGTTACGCTGGCGGCGGGCCTCCTCGCGGTCACGGAGACGGTTGTCGTGCTCGAGTTGCTGACGGGTGGTACGAGGGTCCAAAATCCTGGCGACATCGAGGTTGATGAGGCCGGTCGCCTTGCCGAGTTTACGCTGGACGCGACAGAGCTGGTGATTGACCGCCTTTTTCTGGTCTCTTTCCTCCGAAGTCAGTGGCTTGACCTCAGCAAGATCTCTCAGCAGTTGTTTGGTCGTTCGCACCGCGTGCCGGATTTGACGGTAGCAATCGGTGCGCAACTTGTCGATGTCGGTGGCGTCGATTACACCCAGCCTCTCAAAAGACCCGTCGGGAACAGCGTTGTCAACGCGACGACCCCTACGCCCAGCCATCCAATCAAAGAAGCGGTCCGGGCGACTCAGAGCGGACTGCACTACCCCTAACCGCCGAACTCGAAAGCCGGACTGGATCGAGTGCGCCGCTACGACTGGTGCCTCGTACTTATGCCGACGTTCCCTTGACAGATGTCAGGTGGGTCCGAATTACAGCCAATCACCGGTGCCCGTAGCCCTCTCCGAGGATGAGCGAAGTGCGGTCAAAAGAGAATCCCCAGCCGGTGCCCGAAGACCTCCCTGAGGTTGAGCGAAGCGCGGTTGCGAGGGGACCAACAAGTGCTACCAAATGACAGGCTCCGATGCGGTGGGGCCTGCCGTAGCGAAAGTGCGTGGAGTTGTTGTGGCTGCTTGCTTGCTTTTGGGTAAAATGCAAAGTGAGATTGATTCCTTTAAGTCTTCGGGCTAGCTACGGGCTCTAGGTCTTCCTCTTGCTTTCTCCTTAGTGTCGTTCTAGAAGCTGAGCTAACCTATACTAAATGTAAGTGTTTTCTGTTTTCGTAATCCTATATATGCATGTTTGTATACTTGTGCAGGTAGAGTTCTGGATTCCGGGCGCCAGGCAGTCTTGCGCAAGCCTGGCGCCAGCCTTCAAGCGACGCTGCGCGCAAGCTACTTGTGGCGGAGGAGGCGGCGGCGCTGCGACGCCTGACTTCCTAGCCACCAGGTACGTCTTCCTTGAGCATGTCTGTTGCTGGCGTACCCGCTTGCGTGGGTGTCAGCAGCAGACATGCTGCATCATGACAACAAGCAGAACCCCGAGGCTGTCATGATTAAGGCCCTGTCCACTCGCTACAGCGACGACGTCATCACGCAGATGATCATTACCGCCAAGAAAGCCCCCAACACCAAGGACGTCGCCACACACTGCAGAACGGGCAAATGAGTCTGTGAAAGAGTGCCGGGAAATCCTCCGACGACGCATTCCTCATGCTTGGGCTGAAGAGTGCTAAGAAGACACTCTTTGACAACTCGGAGCTCCTTGCATGGGCCAAGTACGTGGACGACTTGAGCGAGAGCAACCCCAAGAAGGCGAATTTGATGATGACGTCGACCTTGGCGACTCATTACAGCGACGAAGCTATTGCCAAGAAGGTGCCGGCTACGGAGAGTGTGGCGACAAAGCTGGAGGCTGCTCTGCCCCAGCACTGGCTGCCCAAGAACACGCACCCGACCGACGCGCTCAAGTTGTTCGGACTTCACGCCGACGACGCCTTCTTGACCAACCCTGCCCTCAATTCGTGGGCCAAATACCTGAACGACTTCAACAAGAAGAACCCCGAGGTAAAAACGACGATGGTCGCATCGCTCGCGGTCAACTACGGCGAGGATGGGCTGTACCAAATGCTCAAGGTGGCGAAGGAAGTGGGCACGACCAAGAAGATGGCCACGGACCTGCAGACTGCACAGCTGGTTGAAGACCAAGCAGAAGACGCAAGACGTATACCGGTGGATGGGGGTCAAGGGAACGCGCCCAGACAGTGCGGAGAGGGTGGCGTTCAAGAAATACATCAACGACTTCAACAGCAAGTACGTGTAGGCGCGAACTGCTGCTTAGAAACACATAGAACTAGTAATAGATTGAGGTTCTTACTCGACTTCGGGGTGAGGAAGTCACCTGCCGTAATGAGGATCACACTCACTGGCAGTTATCATCACAAGCATTTTGCCTTTGACAGAAGCAGTGTACGATGCTAGATTTTTATATACATGTCGTAGATCGTTGAGCAAAACTCATGCGAGATTTGCTGTAAAATTGATCCGCCAAGCACATGCTTTGTCCCTGTGCATGTAGCCTGTGGGCAGCACCTGTGGAGCTCTTCGTTATCCACAGATGTATCCCGGACCAACCGTACTGTACCTCTGTCCTGTGTGTGTACTGTATTAATAAGCCCTCTCCTTATTGATTCACTTCGCAACGTGCAGTCCAGAGTAATCTACCTAATCTGTTGACATGCGTGTCCACCACGTCGTCCTGCTCGTTGCTGCCGCCATCCTCGCAACTACCAATGCGGCCTTAACCCTTCCGCAGTTCATGATCAACTCTCCTAAGCTTACCGGTAGTTTACTTACTGCGCAGCAGCAACGGTTCCTACGTACTCCCTACACGGAGGACGATTCTATTGAAGAGAGGGGGATATCCACCGTCGTCGAGAAGACCAAGGCATTGCTGTCCTCGTCCAAGGTCTCCGAGCAAACGCTCGAACGCTGGGTGAGGAACGACAAATCCCCCAAAAAGGCCCTCATCCGCTTAAAACTTGACAAGGCCGGAGACAAATTGCTCGAGAAGCCGCAGTTCGAGACGTGGGCCAAGTACATGACCATGCTCAACAAGGAGAACCCAGAAGCAGCGATGATCTCAACGTTGAGGACTCGCTACAGCGACGACGTTCTGTCCCAGATGACCATTACGGCCGAGACGGCGTCGGGTACGAAGGAAATGGCCGCCAGGCTGCAGGCCGGACAGAGGAGCGTCTGGATGAGCGAGTGGAAGTCGGCCGACGACGTGTTCAAGCTACTGAAGCTTAATGTTAACAAGGCTGACAGGAAACTCTTTGCCAACCCGCAGTTCACTGTGTGGACCAAGTACGTGGACGATTTGAACGGGGGCGAGACGAAGAAGGCGAACTCCGTCATCGTGTCGACGTTGACGGATCACCACGGCGACGAAGGTCTGGCGAAGCTGATCCGTGCGGCAAAGGATGTCGAAGAAACGAAGACGCTGGCAATGGACCTACAGAAAGCGCAGGTCGACAACTGGTTCGTTGCAATGGAATCCCCGAAGGATGTGAAAAAGTGGCTGGGCGTCAAGGGAGCGACATCCGATACTGCGGAGGCGCAGCTTTATCATAATTACGTCAAAAACTACGAGAAGATTTTTAGGAAGACTGAGTGACTGAGTTTCACAGAATAAACCAAGCTTCTCCCCCAATGATTTTGTTAAAACCGAGCTTGCCATTCTCCGGACCAGTTCATTCAGAACGGACGAATCAACCTTCCACCGTGTTGGAAGTTGCCATGGCGGCGGGCGATTTGCGCGTCTGAATTGCTCCAGGGTCCTCCGGATTCATGGGGAACGACCAGCTTCACCGCTTCCCCCGATCTGACACTCGAGCTTCAGCTTCATGAAGTACGCCGAGTACTTCTGCTTCAAAGAGACCGCGCACCAGTCTTGTGTCGGGGCGAAGCTGCTCGTGAGCGGGCCCAATGCTCTCCGTGGCTGGCGCCTTCTTGGCAGCCGCCGCCATCGTCATAATGGCTTCGTCACTGTACCGGGTCGTTAAGGTCGAAGTTATCATCGAGATCACCTTGTTGGGGTTGCTCTCGTACAAGTCGTCCACGTACTTAACCCACGAAGTGAACTCCGGGTGGTCAAAGATGGACCCCTTCGCCCTTGTTAGCCCAAACAGGCTAAACGCGTCGTCGGCCGACCTCCCGGCACTCTTCCACAGGCTCATTTGTCCAGCCTGGCCAGGTCCTTGGTACCAGAGGTCGGAAAATAAAATATCATATTGTATTTTGGTTTTGGAGTCGCAGTAATAATCATTGCAATACAGGGTCAGCCAATAGTACAGTATTTTCACAATTATTGGCAATAAATATATAGGGGTTTTTTGTAGTAAGCTTAGTTTTTGTATTAGCGCAAGTGTTGATATTGTATTGGGACAATTTTCCATTGCACGGGAGCACCCTAAAGCAATAATAAATTATTCCGTGCTAAAAATGCCGTAACTATTGTATTGATATTATTTTTTCCAACCCCTGCTTGGTACCAGGGGCCTTCTTAGCAGTAATGATCATCTGCGAGAGAAGGTCGTCGCTGTAGCGAGCGGTCAAGAATGTAGCCATTGCCACCTCAGGGTTCTGCTTGTTCAGCATCGTCATGTTCGTGAACCACGTCTTGAACTTGGGGTTCTGGAACAACATGAGTCTTGCATCGTCCAGCTGTAGCCGAGTGAGGACCTTTGCCGGAGACTTGTTGTTCTTGACCCAGCGCTCGAGCGTCTTCTGGGAGATTTTCGACGACGTAAAGAGCGATTTGGCCTTCTCGACGGTGGTGGCGATTCCTCTCTCTTCACCCCCCTCTTGGATTCTCAAGAACCTTCGCGCCGTGACGTCACGCTGGGCTGCAGCAAGGGACCGATCCAAACGTGGCGTAGCGACGGAGGCGGCATCGACGCTGGCGAGGAAGACCGCGGCAATGAGCAGCACGGCGTACTGGACACGCATTCTTGTACCAAGTTGTCGACGGCCGGAATGCAAGTTGAGGAGTGATACAGTAGCTGCATCGATTAAGAAAATGGTTAACTGTATACAGTTGCCACGGACAACACACATGGTAGAATCTCAAATTGGTCGTATACTGTATATGTATACGGTATACATAACAGACCTGGTATTTTATATGAGTTTTTGTATGCTTTTGGTCAGATGAAAACACATGTTCTAGCGGAAGCGCGAGGTCGCGTAGCCCCGCGCGGGGTGCCCGCGAAGCAGGGCCGCGCGGTATTTGTGGAGGCGGGCCCAGCGCCGAGCATTCCAGCGAGCGGACACGTTGCCGCAACTCGGAGTTAGCTTTCTTTATGCGGGGGTCTGGGGGTGCAACCCAGAATGCCCAGAATGCATGAAACCCGACCACAGATCAGGTCCGTTCTGTATCTGACCACAACGATAGGTTACCACACACATTCGTAGCGAAAGATGCCAATTAGGATGAGCACCACGCCGCTTGGCCTGCACATTGCAGTACAGTACTTTGCCTTAGGAGCGCAGTCGAGTTGGATGTACATTCGCTTAGTTGTATAACAGAGGCTAGAGAAACCCTCAGTGACGGTGATTTGTGTTATAGACGACTTTCCGTTTCCGCAGGTTATTAGATACCATGACTGCGCTGTTGAGGTTAAGTACTGTAGATGCATCACAAACATGCAGCTCAAGGTGTATACGTACTTCGCAACGCATGCACACTAACGTCTTTGTTTACGCTCGCTCATCGGATCTCAAGCCAACAATTTGTTTTACTCTTTGTATGGTGCCAGCCAAAGGAGACTCGACGTATGCGGACACCACACTATGCCGCCGACTAGCTAAACTGAGACTAGCGCAGGTGCAATTTGGCTACGCGAACACGTAAATCATTGCATTGCATTTGTATGGTGCTCCAGCAGTTTTAGTGTATCTTGGAACTGTGTGCTTCACTCCACTTGTTAGTAGTTTAAGCGCACTCTATTAGCTTGGGGAACTCTATTCCCTATTGTACGACGAATTTCGGTCTCGACGGCACTCAAGCGCCTAGTCACCGCAGTCATAAGGCGACGACCTCAGTACCATCCCCTTGAAAAGGATCGCCTCCAGTTCTTCCGGCATGGTTTTTGGCGTCGACAGCTTTGCCGCCAAGGACAGCGTCTTGGTTCCGACTCTCGTTGCGATTCGTAAGGTGAAAGAGGCCGCGAGTGCAGTTGGTCGGATACAATACGCGCCCAATGCGTGAGCAGGGCTTTCTCCAACTGCACTCGCGGCCTCTTTCACCTTACGAATCGCAACGAGAGTCGGAACCAAGACGCTGTCCTTGCCGTCGAAATGATATCGAACGCTAACCTTATCCACCGCCTTGCCGGATTCTTCGGGTACAGTTCCTCCATGAATATTTGACCCGTAGCAGAAACTCTGGGCTGCTGTAAGCTTTGGTGCCCAAGTCATCTAGTCGAACCAGATCTTGCGCTGCGGCTTCTACCTTGTAGGCACAGCATGACGGTTTTCGGTGATTTCTCGTAGCTCGAGCGTGCTCTCACAGAGTATGGACGACGTCAAAACTTCTTTGGTTTTCTTGACGAGTTTCCTGACCCTCAGTGGCCTCTGAGTCGGGTGCAATCACTGCGAGCGAATGGCTCAAGGTCGGCAAGTTGGATTGGACCGCCTTGGATTCAGTCGAGAGCGAGGTGGCATTCTAGTAATTGTGCTCGGCAACTCCGCAGAAGAATGTGTAACTTTGAAAGACCAATTCGAGGTGCGGAAACACTGATCACGGGACGCTCAGATCCTAAAACGTACCACGCAATACCGTACACGAAGGTGCTAGAACATGAGGTACTTCTGCTACTCCAGGACACTTACAGTGCAGCGTTTACACGCTTAAGCGGAAACCTGCGAGCATTATGCCGGCGGAGGCGACACAGGATTGTTTCTGTTAAGTTTTTAGATGTCTGTAAATTTCAAGTAAAACGAGAAAAAAATAACAAGTATCGAAAAAAATGTGCTGGTTTTTGACCAATGACGTGCATTTCTTCTTCAAAGTGGATCTTCAAGATGGAGGAGAGCTTCTTGTTGCCGTGGACCTCGGTCCTCAAGACGTACATCCACCCCGTCCTGGCCAACCCGCGCGACGGCATTCACGACCCCCCACAGCGCATTCTCCCCGTCAGTGTCTTCCCAGGGTTCTTGCTCGACGCCGACGACCAAAGTTCCCGAACCCGAACCGATGGCCAAACCGTCCGCGAGGGCCTCAAACTCCTCGCAGCGGTGGCCCACGTAGATACCAAAGCGTGGAAATATATTCTGTTGCGTCAGTGCGAAGTGCGCTTGGGCCGGGAGTGGGAAGCGGAGTTCGACAATGAAGTTCTGGTTCGGTACCAGGTGAAGCTTGGCGCCTACGAAACCCCGTACGTCGCTGACCTGGCTCGACACTGTGGCACGCGTCAGCACGATGCACCTCGTAAAGTTTATCTCGATGCATTGGCTAGAATTGCAGCCATGGACAGCAGATTAAGACTGGACAAGCCTGGGGTGGAGATCCAGATCCCCGTGCAAGTCGAGAGCGATTTGGCCGGACTGTCCAAGGTCCGAAAAACCAAAAAATTAATTGAAAAAGAGTTTGACGAGCTCGGAGGAGGCAGACTCACGCACGCGAGTGTGGAGCCTCTCTCGCTACGATGCACTTTTGTGCTGGAGCCGGTGGTGGTCTGGGAGGTGGGTGACCCCAAGATTGACTCGGCTGTTGCTGCCAATCTCGGGCGTTTGCTCCGTGGCAATACGTGGTTTTCTCGTCTCGGTTTTTAGGGTTTCAAGCTGATCACGGACCCCGCGATCGATGGAAGTGAACGTAAGAAAAAGCGAGTGTTTGGTCGGCTGATGACCAGCCTCTTTGACAGTTCGCGTCGCTGTCGTGGGCTGCTAATGGCCCACGCGTTGGACAGCGGAGCTGCCGGTTCACGCAGGTTACAGCAGATTGACAAGCTCTCGCTACAAACCTACAGAATCCCGCAACGTAAGGAGTTTGAGGCGATGTGCTCGGCTATGGCTCGAAGTCAAACCATTAGGAAGCTGACCCTCAGCTTGCTGATGAGCTGGAACAACGATGCTGATGACAGTGCCCACTGGTGGAAGTGGGTGGCCTACACCTTTTTCTCCAAGCGAGCCTGCTCCTCTCTTGAAGCGCTCAGGCTCACCTGGCTTGCCCGCATGACCGTATCGGACGTCGATGCGTTTTGCTCTGTCTTACAGAGTGAACACCCGGAGGAAGAACTGTGTGGTTGTCCGCGTGGGGGTGGTGGAGGAACAAGACGCAACGTTGGTGACTAACGCGCCGATCCGATGGCATTTAACGACCAGGGAGAGCCGATACTGGAGTCGACAGTCTTGACATTTCCTTCTCCAGTTCATTTCGTGAAGACTTTCAGCGATGACGGAGAGAGTGAGTGGGTAAATGCACTGATCCCAGGCTACGGTCGATGTCAAGTCCAACGTGAGAAGCTTGAGTTCAATGCACAAGGCCCCTCGCTCCCTAGTAGCGACTTCACGACGCTGGAGATCGGATTCGACAGAAGCGCGACCATTGATAACAGCGGGCTGCCGTTGTTTCTAGTCGCAATCGGACTTGGCCTGCGAGTATTGACGATTGACTCGACTTTTATGGCAGTGGACGTGGACATGGTGCTGGAGCGGTGTCCCAACCTTCAGATGCTGACTATCCGCAGGCTGTGGGTGACGGCGCAGCTCAACTTCGCCGAGTACCAAGCGGCTGGTTTAAATTTGCCCTCGGTGACGTGCAATTGTGATGATATGATGGAGCTACTGTAACAGAAGTAGTGGGCGATGCAGACTGCGGCATCGCGAAGTGCCTACAACGCCTGTACGTCCGCCAGAACTACCGCCCGGCGGATCAAAACTGGAGGACAAACCCAGCTCTGCTGCATGATCTGATAGCGTTCATGCAGATGCTCGAGAGAAACAATCGACTGGAGCTCTTCAGTCTCAAAATGTTCGAGAGATTCGAGCAGTATAGCGCGATTTTCAGGAATTTCCATCTACAGCGCATGGGGAAGAAGCCTGTTCCGCTGGCCTTAAAGGGCAAGCTCGCGTTGTTAAGTGCGCTGGAAGGCAGACCTGCCGACGAAACAACCAAGAGACGCCGCCACCAAGTGAATCTTCAGGCTCTCGACGTGAACGTGGTTTCTCAAATTTTCGCGTTTGCGCAGTGCTCCGTAAAGTGTATATCGAGCTCTTCAACTGATTGATATTGAAGTTCATTTTTACCAATATCAAAGTTCGCATCTCTCTGATTGATAGTTTGTGCTGCTGTTGCCTTTTCGAGTCAAGATCCGCGAAATGATCCCCGCTCGCATTTCATTCTATTCTGCGTTTGGCTCTCGACAGGGTAAGATGCTGAAGAAGAAACTGCTGAATCCGTTCGATCTGCACGGACCAAATGGCGGCATCTATCGCTGTTCCGTCGAGTCGACCATGCATGAGTCAGTGATTCGCCTGGTGAACATGGCGACGGGCGACAAATGGTCCGTACTGTACAGCACTGTACTTTACTGTAAGCTCCTGTTGAAGACTGGGATATTTGTCTCGGTGGGTCTCACGCTTTTGCTACGTAGGTCGCCTGGTAGTCATCCTTCGAAGTTTGAGCGATTGCATCTGCTGTTCGCCAGTGGAGGAGTCCACCGCCTGCGGGCTGGTCGACGAGCCGTTTCCCTGCAGAGGCACACAGTTGACTGGTCACAGCACAACAACCACAAATACTTAGAACCTAAGTAACATCACAGCACAACGAATAACACAGCGACGTACTGTAAGCCTGCCATTGCTCATTCTGGAACGCCAGCCAGAGATGGTCAAGGTGCATTTCCCGTTGCAAGACGAGTAGTCCACGGGGTTGTCCAAAGTTGATCCAACGCCTCCGCCCTGGAACTCGTCCTCACAGTTGTCGCCATGTACGACCATCTTGTCGTCGATGTAGACCTCACACGGACCGACGTGGGTGAAGCCTCCGCCACCGTTGCCCAGCCACTTGACCAGTCCATCGCTAGGAACAGGCTGGGGACTTGCGTCGGCTAACGTTTCGCCACACTTCTTGTCCTTGGTCATGTCCAGCACGACGTCCTTCACGCCCATGCCCTTCTCTTCAGCCATCTTCTTGAACACGCCACATTGGTCTCCTCCCGACCCGATATCCCAGTAGTTGTCGACGTTGGCAGCCCAATCAGAATTGGGGATGTCCGTCCAGCTCGGCTTGGGCTGTTCCAGGAAGCCGTGGGCGTTGACACGGGAAGTGAGTTTCGTTTCGCATTGAGGTACATTGTTGTCTGTTAACTTCTTTGGCTAATGACATCCTACGACCTTGTCGACGATCGTCTCATTCCGCTCATCCTATGTGTCGATCCCGGCCCCCTAAAGTGTGACGGCCACGAGCTCCGAAGAGCTCTCATCGGTGTTGCGTCCTAACCAGTGCCCGATGTCGCTGGCAGCATGCTACGACGCGTGTTGCCATTTGCCGGCGGAGATCACATCTCAGGTTATGTTCATCTGAACGCTCCTGCGAGAGTCCATTGCCATGTTTGCTAATGTATCAGCCATCTTATTGTAGGCCCGTAGGTGGTGTTGCCACGTCAGGACACAGAGCTTGTCCGCCAGTCGGCGACTCTGCAGCCCTTGTAAATGCTTTGCCCTGGGGGGTACCCTCCCTCTCTTGAGCTGATAGTAGAAATTTCTATGGTTTTGAGCATCGCACTCCTACAAGGCGACAGCAGGCTCCGCGAAACTTAGCAGAACTATGAAGGTTGCGTTGCAATCAATCTCGGATGACTCGAGATATTGTGCAAGATTCGTTTCGCAATCGGCAGCGCACGGCCAACCACCTATTCCGCACAACTACAACTTCAGTATGGAACAATCCAGGTTGGCACTTTCTGGTCAGGATGGCTACACGTACGAATGCACGGTAGAAATCGTCTTTCGTTATCCGCCTGGTGAATACAACAACTGGTGACAACTGGTGAGTTTTCTTGCCAAGCAGAATGAAGTGTTGTGCCACTCACGACGGTATGTATATTTGTATGGATAACAGGTCTTGCGAAGTGACGAAAGATAACATGGACCAATTTGTCACTTCGTCCGGAATTCGCGTGTCTGGAAACTTACACGTGTTCATGGGGATATTGCACGTAATTTGGGCTAACCTTTTTTAATGCAACTGAAGTCTTCATGATTTCTATTCCTTTCTTGTTCTAGGATATTATTGAAGGCAATCTGCCCCGTTGGGCACCATCAACTCAAGCAATGAGCGGTAACCTGCGAGTGGCAAGAAATCCCTCGCCGTACTATATGGAGCTCAAGCTCCAGTTTCAACTGCGCGACTTGAGTGCAGACTGGACATTTCCTATGATACCAGACAACGCATCGGATATCCAGGCACGTGAAGCAGCTAAATTGATGAAGATACCGAGTGGGGAAGGAGAATAATTCCGCGCTTGCAAGTAGACAAGGCATTGAGAAAGTCACGGCGCGGATCGACCGAGCTTAGCCACGGGCCTGAAGAAGACATGAACTCGACTTTTCATGAACCACCAATCCCAACTAAGCCATAGGAACTTGGATATCTTGTTGACGTTTATCCTAAAAAAAAACACAATCGAAGAAAACAACAGATCTCTAGGCATAAACTTCAATTTTATTTTGCTACAATATCATTGTAGGCCACCGTCGAAGAGCTTGTCCTCATATTGCCGGCAACCTAAGTGCTTAGTCTGGGGCCTAGTGCGAGGTCACTTCGGTAAACATCGATTTGTTTCGGTCGAAGCAAGGCAAAGATCTTCAGCTCGGTGGTCTTCGCCGAGTCGTGGTTGCCATTCTGGAGGTACAGTACTGTGTCAATTTCCGCTGCTTGCTGCTTAAAGTGCTTGTTGATTGCAAGTTAAAATGCAAAGTGGGAGCATGAAGCAGAAGCTCTTTGCTCTACAACCTAGCTCTACAGAGGCTGCACCTAATGGTTGGCTCTAACCAACACAACTACCAGAGTAAACTTCGAGAAATCGCTGCAGGCAACAAGTGCCAGAGTAATCCTGAATAATCACCACAAGTACAAAGCTTTTTTAAAAAAGATTTCAGGGGACTTGCCAACACTGACGGGGTAACGGGGGTAAATTACGGTATGGACTTTTAGGAGGTGCTGCGATAAGACTGGAGGCGGTGCTGTCCCAGCGCTGGCTCTCCAAGAACAAGTCCCCCGCCGATGCGTTCAAGTTGTTCGGACTTCAAGCCGACGACGCCCTCCTTAGCAACCCTGCGCTTAATTCTTGGGTCAAGTACCTGGACGACTTCAACACGAAGAACCCGAACGAGAAGACAACGATGCTCAAGACGTTCAAGACGTATTACGGCGACGAAGAGCTGTACAAACTGCTCAAGGCGGCGAAGGAAGTGGACACAACCAAGAAGATGGCCACGGACCTGCAGACTGCACAGGTCGCTTACTGGTTGGCGACCAAGCAGAACGTGCAAGACGTTAACCGGTGGATGGGGGTCAAGGGTACGCGCCCAGACAGTGCGGAGAGGGTGGCGTTCAAGAAGTACCTCAAAGACTACAACGCCAAGTACGTGCAACCGAAGTGATGAAAAGTATGTACGCTCCAACTCGACTTGGATGTTGCCACTTGGATACGCATATAGATAGAATATACTCCTTCAGGTTTAACTCTCTAAAGCTGTTGAATTGGCCGTTAGAATGTCAATAAGTAGAACTCTTATCTACGCGGATACGATTCCTTGGTGTAAGGAAATTAGTTTGCCGCAGTGCATTATGAACGCTAATTAAGAATTTTGTACAGAATACTTACTAGGGTATTGCTCTTCTGTATTGTGTAGTTTGATAAGTATCCACCAAGCCCCATGCTGCCACAGCAGCGATCAGCACCACGACGTGGTGGATACGCACGCCTGTGCTTGGCTTGTTGCGCTCTTCAGGCTACTTGCTAGTCCTTGGGGTAGTAAAGTTGCGAAGTGACTCAGAGGCAGAGGTCCGAAAATACAGTACTATATTGAATTTAGTACGAGATCAGACCGTAATAAAAATTACAATTCAGCAAGGAGAAATAATAAAAATTGCCGCAATATAAATATACTGCTCTTCAATTTGAGGCATTTCTACAGAAGAAATAAACCACTTTCTGTGCGTCATATGATTACAGAGTCGTTTAGAAACACTTTTTGGGGTGTTGCTTTAGAAAACTTTGCATGGTGGATGGTTAAACAACCTACCGGTAGTAATGCGTGAGGGAGATATATCTGGATCTTGCTATATATCGTAAATCTGGTGTAGTGGATTCCAGGGTTTCACCTTGGTATCACCGCAGTTAAGGGCTCGATAGCATGTCGCGGCGGTGACCCACGCGAGCCACAGGTAATGGGTTCACCGCATCATGACCAGTCAAGCTTCACAAAGACAAACTTCATAGTGTGTGCACCTGGTATGAGGTTACAGACTATGATCATCTGCTTCGCGGACCCACTTCGCTTTTTCTCCTACAATTGCCTCAAAGGAGTAATCACTATATCAAAACATTAAGCTCAAGTCCCTAGTGGATTGCCATCCACTGCCGTTCCCTGATGTGATGTGTTCGGCGGGATTCACTACATCTGGACGTCATTGATGTTTTGCCTTGCGTACATATTGGTTTCTAAAGATGTTGATTACCCATTATGGCTTTTACTACACCTTAATCGTTGCGTATGTAGACCTAACTATCATTTTATGACGTACTTTGCTATGTTTGGCGCCGTGCAACCTTTTTTCATATTAATTGTCAATAATTGGTACAATACTGTATTGTATTGGAATCGTTGATCTCCAATAATAAAAATTAGTATTGCAAAACCGAATTATTTATTGGATCGCAATTATTATTTCGGACCTCTGCTCAGAGGGGGGCATTGACAAGAAGACAGATATTTGGAGAAGATATCCAAAAAGGATGAGCACAGGAATAATAGACCTTGCAAGTGCCAACGCCTTTAAGTTGCGGCGGCCGCAACTTTGCTCACCGCCTCCCATGCACGTCGACCCAGCGACTCTTGGATCCACTATTCTGGAAACGAGAAAAACAATGAAGATAGAGAATCGCCACCATCGTCCAGTACGAGAAGGTTTTTAGGGAGGCAGACTGAAATTCTGTCGAGATAATAGACTAAACTTCTCCCCAAAAAGTTTATTGAAGCCGAGCGTGGTATGGGTCTGCTCGTTGAGATAAACGAACGGATCAACCTTCCACCGTGTTGGAAGTTGCCGTGGCGGCGGGCGATTTGCGTGTCTGAATTGCTCCAGGGTCCTCCGGATTCATAGGGAACGACCAGCTCCCACGCTTGCCCCCGATTTGACACTCGAGCTTCAGCTTCATGAAGTACGCCGAGAACTTCTGCTTCAAAGAGACCGCGCACCAGTCTTGCGTCGGGGCGAAGCTGCTCGTGAGTGGGCCCAGGTTCCCCCCTAGCACCTCCTAAAAGTCCATAATTTACCCCCGTTACCCCGTCAGTGTTGGCAAGTCCCCTGAAATATTTTTAAAAAAAAACTTTGTACTGTACCTCCAGAATGGCAACCACGACTCGGCGAAGACCACCGAGCTGAAGATCTGTACCTTGCTTCGACCGAAACAAATCGATGTTTACCGAAGTGACCTCGCACTTCCTACGTAGCAAAAGCGTGAGACCCACCGAGACAAATATCCCAGTCTTCAACAGGAGCTTACAGTAAAGTACAGTGCTGTACAGTACGGACCATTTGTCGCCCGTCGCCATGTTCACCAGGCGAATCACTGACTCATGCATGGTCGACTCGACGGAACAGCGATAGATGCCGCCATTTGGTCCGTGCAGATCGAACGGATTCAGCAGTTTCTTCTTCAGCATCTTACCCTGTCGAGAGCCAAACGCAGAATAGAATGAAATGCGAGCGGGGATCATTTCGCGGATCTTGACTCGAAAAGGCAACAGCAGCACAAACTATCAATCAGAGAGATGCGAACTTTGATATTGGTAAAAATGAACTTCAATATCAATCAGTTGAAGAGCTCGATATACACTTTACGGAGCACTGCGCAAACGCGAAAATTTGAGAAACCACGTTCACGTCGAGAGCCTGAAGATTCACTTGGTGGCGGCGTCTCTTGGTTGTTTCGTCGGCAGGTCTGCCTTCCAGCGCACTTAACAACGCGAGCTTGCCCTTTAAGGCCAGCGGAACAGGCTTCTTCCCCATGCGCTGTAGATGGAAATTCCTGAAAATCGCGCTATACTGCTCGAATCTCTCGAACATTTTGAGACTGAAGAGCTCCAGTCGATTGTTTCTCTCGAGCATCTGCATGAACGCTATCAGATCATGCAGCAGAGCTGGGTTTGTCCTCCAGTTTTGATCCGCCGGGCGGTAGTTCCGGTGAACATACAGGCGTTGTAGGCACTTCGCGATGCCGCAGTCTGCATCGCCCACTACTTCTGTTACAGTAGCTCCAGCATATCATCATAATTGCATTGTACTTGGCACTTGGCGAAGGTGAGCTACGCCGTCACCCACCTGTGGATAGGGGAGGAGTTTCCATAAATCAGTGATTTTCACTGAGATTTGACAAAATGATTGATGGTTTGCCTGAATTCACTGATGCAGCATCAGTAGTATCGTACTAGCGCGTCTTTACAATTTGCAAGTCAAATGTAGACCTATAGTAATAATGGTGAAATAGTACATGTAGATAGCATGTTACCTACTACAACTAATGCTACATAATATAGTATCACTGTCGATGTTATTAATACATACTTAAGTACTCCGGTTGCTACGGTACAGTGGATAGGCGACCGGTGTGGGATGCTCGCAACTACCAGCCACAAACTGGGTTCCGGTGTGGGGCTTGCTGCGTTTAGTGCCTTTTTCGTGGTTATACTTTTTTCACTATACAACTTGTCTGGTGGTCTGCACAAACATTAAAGCAACTTTATTCGTTGGTCGTCTCGAGGATTCACTACGAAATACAAGGGTCCAAGCTTCTTCACAATTGTTTTGCATCTGCCACCTCCGCCGAACCCCAGCTTTTTTCGTGATAGAACGACGCAAATATAGCTCAACGGACCCAGGAGATGGTGCATTCACTAAAATAAAATTGTCATCTGCACAACGTATTGGTTTTCATGCATCGATGTAGCTTCAGATGATCTTTAATAGACCAAGGTTTTGTGAAGCCAAGTACCCAGCTGTAACGGGGTTACACGAGAGCTACCCGAAGGGTTACGAAGTGGGTACACACTGTCTAACCTAAATCAGTAGGATAATCAGTACATGGCTTCAGAGCCACTGATTATGCATATGACTAGGGTTCACTATGCTAGATAGTGAACCGGATACATTTACACCGTAGGTGGCTTTGCCGCAATAAAGGGAAATACATTCAGTTTGAGATTCACGCAGTTAAGAGTCAAGGGTTGACTCTTGGAGTCCGTAAGGTGTACGGACTCGTACGTTCTGGTATTAGCACGAGCTATCTTAAGCTGAGACTCTGTGAGTCTGTTACTCTTCCTCTGACGCTAAAGCTACGGCAGCCCCGCTGCACCAGCCCTATAAAAATGATAAAGTAGCAATGAGGACAGCCTTGCGGAATGTCAACCGCTTCAACCTCCGCTACAGGTCCTCCGTCCACGGGTCCACGGATCCTGCAATCTCAGGAATGAACCGCGTTCGAGTTGAGCGAGATTGTGTTGTGCGAGTTAAGCTTGCGTCCGCAGAAGATGATAATGGTCGACGGGCGAAAGGCTCATAAACATCCGGGTAGGCTCTTAGTCAATAGTGGCTTTCAGAAGCACGTGATTTTGGCAAAAAACCGTTGCGAAAAACACGTAGCGATCCCATCTATTTTTGGCACGGGCGATGCTACGTGTTTTTTGATCCGGTAAACCCGTGAGAGGAGGGTCCGCTATGGGGTAATCAAACCGAAATATACGTAATGAAGCAGCATGCCTAAGCTTCTTCGTTAGGGTGGGCGGGGGGGCCTGGATGACAAATAGTTGGTCGTGGGCGCATGTGCCGTCTGTTAGAGGCCGAGTGCTCCTCGTTGGCGACCTTAGCTTGTGTGTGTACTCCGTTATCTTCTGCTATCGGCCTGCCAAGACCCCATCTGTCCACTTGTCATCCAAGGACCAGTGTGGGCGTCCAGTAGGCTCCTCCACCGCCCTAAATCAAGGCAAGGGGCGAGCAGCGCCTTCCAAACCTACCTGTAGTTTGAAGAGGCCACAGCCGACGCGCCGTATTGGGACCACTACAGCTACAAATGCCAGGAAACCATCATGCAACCCCCAAAAAAGTATGCATCCATTTCTTGAACTTGGTGAGGCGTCGATTTCGTTGCAACCTATTCCGGTGCCAACTCGAGGCATGCTGGAAGCATCATACGCCAGAAAGCGAGTAGACCAAACTATCATGGATCCACAAAAAACTTTACGAATTGAAACTTACAACCCCAACGCAGGTAATTTAGATGAAGAAGCTGCAGACGTGTTCATGGTGGATGCAACACCAACAGATTCATCGAAGGCATGGAATAAACATGGCTAACAGTAAGAAGGCATTAATTTAAAAAAAACGGAACAATGTTTACTTTACTTTACTATACTGTACATTACTGTACATTTACGTTGGCCCAGCGGCGTAGGCGCTGCCGACGTGCTCGCCGAATGACGGCGCTCACAGCTAAAGTTTGTTGAGCCGAGGTCCCAGCTTAAAACGTTGCGTGCACTCGGAAGATTCCACGCTACGTAGTTTTGCCACGGGTTTTTGATTTTCCGTATCGCTGAACAGCCGACCACTACGGAAAACCCGTAGTCAAAAAACACGTATCGGCGCTACGTGTTTTCCACTACGTATTTTTAGAAATACCGTGCTTCTGAAAGCCTCTAATGTAGCAGGAGATGCGTTGTAATGGAAACGCAAATTTACATACCACATATACTGTAGGTAACAGGTAAGTCGTAGATTTCAGAGCTTCTTCGTGCAACGCGCGCGATTTTTTATCTCGTTGAATTGCGATAGCGATAGTGACTGCGTCGCCGCGGTGAAGATGCTCACACTAAGTTCTATAGCTATCCCAGCCCATGCATAGCTCTCGTCTTCATTTGATCGGCTTCAAATAGCTGCACTAGCAGCTTTACACCTGCCCCAGAATAAATGTAGTATGTAAATAGAGGCATCTTACAAAAAAAAAAATAAACGCAGTTCGTGTAAAATCTCGTTGAGGATGATATTATATTGTGTTGCGATATAGTACCTACTACTAGTGTATTGGTAACTTATAAAGTGGCGGATTCCCACAACGTAGAAAGTACTTCCGCACCCACCTGCAAACATTGTGTGCGTCACAAGATTTTCGGTTCATGTTCTTAGTTTAATATGTCGGATCCCATCGGTACTCAGTTCTTTCAAGTCTCTTACCGCGGCAACTCTGCTCGGTTGTGAAGGGGGGGAAACATGTCGACGCATAGTTAAGTAGGCTACGGCCTTCGTCGTGGTGTCTGCTTCCTTCACATCGACTGGGGCCTTACCCAACGAGAGCCTCTCGGTACACTTCGGAACAATATAGTAATCGAAAGAAGCGAATAAATACTACTGTAGTATTACTATTTACCAAATCACTGAGTCAGTAGTTTCAAGCTATCACAATCATTTTGTCAAATCTCAGTGAAAATCACTGATTTATCGAAATTACTCCAAGGTTCGGGCATCGCTTTAGTACCATGTTTATGTCCACTTTTAAGTGGCTGACTGAGAAAACCCTACCAATTTTCGGGATTTGCATTTTGTAACTTCTTCAAAAGCGGTTAGAGTCGCAATTTCGCTGTTCAGGCATGCCAGTGGCTACCCATAGACTACAACAAGTGATATTGCCTTCGTGTACCAATGTGTGTGCGTCTGCTATTGCCCAATATCCGCCCAACAAATCACTAGATTCGCGCGAATTTAGCCGATTTGGCCCCTAGCTTATTATAAGATCTATCCAGCATACATCAAAGCTAAAAACATGCCCTTACAGAATAGAAAGTGATCTTACTCCACACATAAATCTATCGCTGAGCTTCCTTATAGTGACTGGATATGAGCCGATGAAAATGGCTTTTAAGCAAGGAAATCGTTGAAAGGCAACTTGACCCTCTTGCTGTAGTCACATCGCAACATCATCCGCCAATCATATCGCTCGAATTATGCACAACCAGACGATATTGTCTACTGATCTGATTTGCATACCGGTAATCAAAAGCTGAGGCCACCTTGCCTTGCAAACGCCCCAGCGCAAGCGTCCAACCGTCGATAGCTAGCGCCGTAGGGTGGCCTAAACCACAGGACCACCTTCATTTCGAATATCACGAAATGTACTGTAAGATGGATTAAGCCCTGCGTTCATTAACAAAATATTTGAAAATCTCAAAATCGGCCATGTCCCGAAAACGGGCTTATCTGTTGGTGGTGGTGGTGGTTGTATGTATATGCGGTAAGGTTTCCCAGTCAGCCAGTGTTAAAAGGTTAAAGAAAATGGTAAAACGTCTAGAAAGTTAACAAAAAACAACGAATTCGTGCCTGTGTCGCCTCCGCTCGGCATAATGCTCGCAGGTTCCCGGTTAAGACGCTGCACTGCAAGTGTTCTGGAATAGTAGAAGTATCTCATATTTCTACCATTATACTACGGACAGCCAATGGTGGCGGATTTTTTCCATGCCAAAAATAAAAAGAGGTTTTCCATGCCATCGGATTAATTGCATGTCATACAAAAGTCGAATGAAAATATTTAATTCTTGCAATACAAAATTCAAGTGAAAGTGTCCTAGGCGGGTTACATACAAAATTCAAGTGAAAGTGTCCTAGGCGGGTTGTGTGTACCTGGCCCTTAGTTCGCAGCGACCACTACATCTAGCCTCATTGCGTGCAAATTTGTGCCAAACAATGTAGAAGTCTCAAGAGCTATATGTACTCGATTTCCGGAGGACTTATAGTGACAGCAAAGCAAGTAATTGGCATGGGGAGATTTAAGGCACCGGAGCCCGTACGCCATGACTGGGGCCGTCTTTGGCGTAAAGTAATTGGCATGGACCAAATACCGGTGGTGCCTACTAGTAACCCAAAGATTTGCGCCAAAACTTTTGTTTGCCAGGTAGAGCAGATAGAAGGTGTACAAGTTAGTCAGCGAATGGCATATCGATCTCGCGACGCTATTGGGGAGGAAAACGATGGAAGCTATCAGCTTTCTTGCCAGAAATTGAGCTCGCTACTGCAGCTACTTCATCAAGTCAATCCTACGAAGTTGCTGCAGAGAATCGGTTTAGACAAGCTCTCCTGTCCCACATCAGTGCGGCTGCATTGCAAGCAGCAAGCCAGAAAATCCTTTGTTTTGATAGCGCGTCCCGAAAACCACCCCACCAACGGCACCAAATGCTGATACTTGTCGGACCAACAAGAATGTAGTGATGACGGTGTGTTTATGCCCTTTAAAAGATGCTGATGTGGTGGAGCAGCTGCCAGAAAAACCCGATCGAGTTTGGCTCGAGTTCGTGGATCGAGATGGAGCTTGGATCGGATCGGGATCGAGCATTGATCGGGTCGAGTTCAATATAAAGCCGATCCGGTGCAGCAGACTACCATAGCACAAATGCGCGTCGGCGTGTTCGTAGGTCGATGTCGCTTTTTACCCGGAACTTCACTATCGTAATTCCGAAGTAGACACACACAGTAGCCAGGAGCAAACAGTGAGTGTTGTTAATCTTGGCCGTGAGGGCTTAGTTGTCGGGTTGCGCGAGGATTGGCGTCTCACGCTATTGGTCGTAGTTGTTGGCGTGCGCGGGGATGGGCTTATCACGCTGCTGGTCGAATTCTTCTTCTTCTCTTCCTTCGTCCTGGCCGTGCGTGCACCTGTCGCTTTTCGTCGCACGCCTGTCGTCTCCTGCCGTCGATCACGTGGTCCTGTAGCTTACCTTGTGGCGACATGACTCGGTTTATAGTACTCTGTGACACTCTGCATTGGGTGGAGCTCACGGACCGTGGGCTGCAGCGCCTCGTATCGTTGAGACGATCGCGATCGGTTATTCTACAGCTTCGATCATCGGAGACCTTGACTCGTGCTCCTGGAGTCGGGTCGCTTGGTGTAAGTATCTACTCTGTATTTGGACGCAAATGGTAAACTAAACTTTGTCCTACCCTAGCTGCTCACCACGTCCTTGCGCAGCCGCCATTCACTTGCTGTCTTTGTAGTCTCATCCCGGTCTGCATCTTACAACCACTCAACCCGTGTCGTAATGTTGAACTATAATCAGACGATCTCGATCCAGATTCTCGATCGCGATTCACGTCTAGATTCTCGATCGATCGAGTCGATCCGTGCCCTCGATAACTCGATCCGCTCTCTACCTTGCTCATTGAAACACTTGTTGTAATCAGACACGGCCAGATGGCTCCACCAAGCTTCCCTTCACCCTTTGATCGGTTTGGATCAGTCTACAAAGTTGTACAGATGGAACATCACTAACGTGATTGAGTCTTCGAACTCAAAGGTGCTTCCTGCACGGGACCAAAGTCCAGCCAAGTTCTTTTTGTTTTAGCTTCATGAAGTTGTTCATGGCAACCAAGCCTTCTAGATGAATTGCAGGGGAGAAGAGGAAGAAATAGGGGAAAGTGGGGGTGCCTTACGCGGGCAGATTGCAATCCGAACAAGAATAGCGAGCTCGGTGAGCCGATGACACTCCTAGTAGTGCATCTATTGCGAAGAAACATGTACATGTTCATTCACACGACCGTTTGGCATCCCGGGACGCCAAATGATCTGGACTTTGAACTCAATCGGTAAGAGTGAAAGGCTGTATGATCACTTCGACAGCTACTGTCTTGTCGGCCAGAGCAAACAATGCAACAACATTGAGCTTCCACCGCATAAAGTCATTGCGGTTGACAATACCGTTCTTTTTCCTGTGTCAACCTTGGAGAGAAGGCGTCAGCGTAAACGGGTTCCGAGTCCTAGGTAAAAACAAGAGCGGAGGAGCAGGAAAGCCTTTTATATATGGTAAATGTAGGCATCTAGACCACAACGCTCGTACATGTGAACAGTCGGAGTAGTAGAGATTCCGAGTTTCTACACACCCTCGTAGTATTAATTCGAGCGTTCGTACCCGGGCATTGACACCGTCACCATCATTCACCAACAGCAGCCCCACAGGGGCAATCAACATAAGTTCCCAGTTTCAAAAGCGTTGAAAGGCCCGGAAACGAGGCGGTCAGGGATAACACTAAAATAGGCTTATTTCACTACTAGTCACGTGCTTGCATGCGGCAAAGGTGTTCTCCTGGAGTCATGGGGAGTACCAACGCTGGATTGCAAGTGTATCTGAGAAGCAAGAGTAATTTCCAGTATATGAACTGAAATTTATGCAAATAGTATTGTGCCGGTTCTCTTATCTTGCCCGAACTGCTGGGCAGGTCGTACGCTTACGCTGCGTGTTCGCTCGCGAGCTTCGCAATCTCAACACCGTATTGGCCGTCAGAGATCCACTTGATCTCCCCCTGCCGGAACGCCCGTTTGTTCCAATTTTATTAAGTCAATTAGTAATTAACCTCAATAGAGTCAGCCAAAGCCAACACTACACTCGTCCTCGTAAAACTACCCGTACGCGTCAAACAGCACTCCGACTGTGCCCAGATCCCGCGCGCGACGCTTCTGAAACACCCCCGGACCTAGTGTCCGCCGTTGCTTCCACCCACGTCGTACGCCGCCTGGAACCCACTCGTCGCACCGCTCGCTGCCGCACTCGTAGCCCAAAGTAGCGCCTCCGCTACTCCACTGGCCGCACGTCGATCGTCCTCTCCGCCAATTGGCACCCTCCGTTCGTGCAACTCACACGTCTGCCTCTCGCCAATGTTCCCGCAACACATCCACCGCGAATGCTGTCTGGACAGGAGCCGCCGTTGTTGGAGCAGTTGTTGTTGGTGGCGTACCATCCGCCCGCTGTCCGACTGCATCCTCGTGTTCCAGTTGCGCCTCGATATCCACCGCAATCTGCTCTAGCGACGCTGCTGGTTGATGATACATCACTAGGAACGACACGTGCGCAATGTGCCGCTCCGGTTCGCCTGTCACGTCCTCGCGCTCGATCAAAAAGTTGTCGTAACCCACTGGCTCGACCACTCTCATCGGATCCAGCCACTGATGTACAAATTTAGACGCCTTGGGTCTACGTGGAGGCTTAAACATCCAAACACGATCTCCAGCACTGACCGTCCGCATGTTCCGCACTTTCCAGTTGTAATACTTGGCCTGCCGTTCTTGCTCGTGCGTCCTTGCTATCTCGGCACACCGTCTGCTACTTTCCATCGCCGCCAACAACTGCTGGTGGTTGGCCGTCATCTCGCCCGCCTCGCTAACACTCGTGCTTCTCAACAACTCGTTGGGACTTCTCAGCCTCCTGCCCATCACGAGCTCGTTCGGTGACAGCCTGACCGTCGAATGCTGCCCTGAATTATACGCATAGACCGCAAAGTCTACCCATGCATCCCAGTCTCGCTGTCCGTCTTCATTCATGTAGGTGTTCACGCAATCCTTGCATGTCCTATGGAATCGTTCGACTAATCCAATCATCTGTGGTCTGTATGGCACCGGGTTGACTTGCTGCGCTTGGAGCAGGATGACCAGCTCTTCGATCACCTTGCCCGTCAACTCAGGGGCGCCGTCCGTCAACAATTCTCGAAATGGTCCAAACTTGAAACCACGTGCTTCATCAAAAACTCGGCCGCATTCTCAGCTGTATGCTGCTTCGCCGTCACCGCAACAGCGTAACGCGTGATGAACTCCAGTGCCGCGATCACATAACGCTGTCCACCGTCACTCGTAGGCAAAGGCCCTGCAACATCCAGCGCCCACCTATCGCCGACATCGCCGCCCTTGATACTTCGAGGCGGAGGCACGACCTCTCGTGGCCTCGCCTTCCGACTTCCGCACTCCTGACAACCGCGTAGCCATTGCTTCACTTCTTGTAGTAGTCCTGGCCACCAGTAGACCTGCGCAATCCGTGCGTGGGTATGGGAAGCTCTCAGGTGTCCTGCCCACACGGAGTCGTGACTTTTTTTGAATACTACCGGCCACAGCTCTGGAGGGAACACCACACGTCGTCCATTCGCGGTGTTGATCAGCACCAAGCCGTGCCGCGTCTCGATCTTCATGCCCTTGTGTTCGCCCGCGCTCACCAATCGCTGAACGAGCCGACTCTTCTTCTGGGCTGCTGCAATGTCCTCGTCCGTCAGCTGGAGCGTCTGCAAGCCCACACGCTGAGTCGTGCCCTCGTTCGCTGGCGTCGTCAACTGCTCGTTGCCGCGTTGCATCACTGCCACACCAGTCGCCGTACCATCGCCGCCGAGTATGGGTCCTACTCGCGGTGTTTCGTCTTCCGATGCCTTTCGTGACGTCTTCGCCGACCCGCTCATCTTCGTCGCGTTTTCCGCCCTCGTCGTGCTGTTCAACTTCCTCGTGTTTTCCGTCCTCGTCGTGCGGCTCGGTTTCGTCGTGTTTTCTGCTGCTCGGGCTCGTCGCGTTTTCCGTTCTCGTCGGGTTGCTCGGCTTCGCCGCAATCTCCGGCCCCGTCGGGCTTCTCGTCGTCTCGGCCGCCATGTACTCCACTTCACGTGATTCCGCCGGCGTCCTCTTCAGCGCGTCCCGTCTCGTCAGGGGCCTGCCTGCGGCGCTCGATGTCGTCACCGTCGTCTCGTTCTCCACATTCACGTTCACTACGTCGTTAGTTCCGCCACCATCCTGCTGCGCATCGTTCTTTTCGCCGCCGACTACGTCACTAGCCCACGTCACTCGCTTTCGTCGCGACGGCCGATCCGTCTGGCCGCGCGCGCCGACCTCGTTCTCCTTCGCTGGCTGTTTGCCTTCGTCGTCCACCTCTACTGCGTCCGTCGTGTTCATCACCGTCTCCTCCGTCGATACTGTGGTCGCTCGCTGCTTCGCCTTCCGCCGCCTGCCGATTGCTGCCAGTACCGTGCCAGTCGTCGGTGCTCGTGACAACGCGTCAGCGACCACGTTCGTCGCCCCCGGTCGGTACTGCACGTCGAAGTCAAACTCTTGCAAGGTGAGCGCCCACCGATGTAGCTTTCCCGTTAAGTTTGGACTCGTCATGAGCCACTTCAACGCCGAATGGTCCGTAATGATAGTAAAGCGTCGGCCGTCCTAAATAATTTGATCGACCAGACCACTGCCAGACATTCTAGCTCAGTGATCCCGTAGTTCGCCTCCGTCACGCTATTCACCTTACTCGCGTACGCCACAGGTTGCCATCCGTCGCCGCGATCTTGCATGAGGCATGCGCCGAGCCCCACTTTGCTCGCGTCGGTCACCAACCGAAAGGGTAGAGAGAAATCAGGGTAGATCAACAGAGGTCGAGTCGTCAGAACCTCTTTCACGTGTTCGAACGCCGTCTGCTGCGCGTCCGTCCATTCCCATTGTACTCCCTTCGGCAGCAGCTTAGTCATCGGCGCCATGATGCCACCGAAACCCTCAATGAAGCGACGGTAATATCCCGCTAAGTGTACGAAGCGCTTCACCTCAACTGCGTCTCGTGGTTGTGGAAAGTCTTGCACCGCGCTCACAATCTGATCCAAGGGCCGTACGCCATTCGCGTTCAGCCCGTGCCCTAGATACTCCATCCGTCGGGCCGCAAACACACACTTCTTCAGCTTCAAGGTGAGCCCTACAGCCGCAAGTCTCTCAAGAACGCAAGCCAGCTCCAAAATGTGACGCTCAATCCCTCCGCGAGTGTAAACCACTATGTCGTCGAGATAAACCAAACACGTAGTACACGTAAGTCCTCGTAGTACGTTGTTCATCATGCGTTGAAAGGTAGACGGCGCGTTAGTAAGTCCGAATGGCATTCGTACAAACTGATACAACCCTTGCTTCGTGGTGAAAGCCGTCTTTGCCTTGTCCTTCTCAGCGACTCGGATCTGCCAATATCCAGCTTTCAGGTCCAACGTGCTGCCTAAAGAGTCTCGTCGATTCGTGGGAGCGGATACACGTCTTTCTTCGTAATCTTATTGAGCGCGCGATAGTCTACACAAAACCGCACCTCGCCGTCCTTCTTACGCACCAACACGACGGGAAACCCCCACGCTCCGTCACCTTCTTCGATCACACCAGCCGCGAGCATCTTTTTCACATTGGATTCGATCGCCGAGTCCTCCGCCTGTGCCTGACGTCGCCTCTTCAACATGATTGGCGCTGCGTCGCCCGTATCGATATGGTGTTCCGTGCTTAGCACCGTAGCAGGTGGACAATCTCCTGTGTCTGCCGTCAACTGCCGATACACACGCAATAGCCGCACGATCATCGCTCTGCTCTCGTCGTCCTCGGTGCCGATGTTCACGTCCTGCTCGTCCTTCAGCGGCTCGTCGCTACCGCCCAATCCATTCAACCACTCACTGATCCGTTCACGTCGCAACTCGCCGTTCATTTGCAATAGCTCTACGCTACTGTCGAGCGGTATCCACTGTCCGAGCTTTTGCCTCGCAGGCAATCGTACTTGTTCATTCTTCGTATTCACGGCCGGTACTATCGCCTTGCCGTGCTGGACCTTCGTTACGGTCGCCGCCAGCATCACCACGCCGGTGTACTTCGTTGGCAGGAAGATGCCCACTTCTCCATCATTTGCCGCTACCGACACCTTGACTGGCGTCACTGCGCTCGCGTCAATCTCCGTCCGTCGCACCATTCGTACAGTAGCTACTCGTGCTCCGTTGGCGTCACCACTCGTCCTGAACGGGATTACCACCGTTCGTCCCGCTGTAGTGTAGCGAATTTCGTTCCGATCAAAGCCCAATGTTGCTCCATGCCCACGCATGAAATCGACGCCAGGTAGGAGCTCGTCCGTGCACCAGAATACAATGCATGCCTCCACTCGAATGATCTACTGCGCATGTGGAATTCCCACACGCCAACTACGTCCAACAACAAAACGGCCAATACCCTCGACGTAGTCAACCGGGGCAGCCCTCTCAACTCTGTCGCCGTACTGCATCCAATCGGTGCCAGCCACCGTGTACCTCGCCCCGCTGTCAAGCTTCACATGTCTTCTCGCGCCCGACACTTTCATGATCGCAGTGGGGAGCCCGTCGTCCGCACCGATGTACTCTACGGCCTCACCTTGAACTCAACTGCATCACCACAGTGCTGTACGAGGCTGACTCGTGCCGGCTTCGCTTGCTGCCGCACTCGTCCCTCGGCTTCGTCGCGTGTGCGTCGCAGTTTACGCTCTTCGAGCTCCTTCACAGCTTCGTCGGCCGCTCGCTGCCGCTCCGCCAGTCGCTCGTCGCTCATGCGCTGTTGCTCCGCTGCCTTCTCGCGCTCCACGCTCTGTTTTCGAGCGAGTAGTACTTTGACGCGTTATCGTTTTGCGCGCTTACGGACCTTGCGTCGCGCAACGCGTGCCCGATCGACTTCATCGCCCTCATGGGCGTCTTCGCCCGACTCACTACTCGACGCGTTCGTCTCGTCGCCGTCCTTGGTCGCGCTCGATCCGCTCACCGTGGACTCGTTCGTCGACTTGTCATCTACAAGCCTCTCCATGAGCCCAGACATACTCGTACCAAGCACGTCTTTGCTATCCTGCTGCTGGCCGTATCGGCCGACGCCGCAGTGTGCTTCTCCAACGGGAAGTCATCCTTCATTATCGTCTCGTCCGACCCCGTCGTGTCCGCAGTCATCATCATAATCTCGTTCATCTGCGCCGTCGCGCCCTCATTCGTCATCACGCACATGTCCGTCGTCACCGACACGCTCGTTTTCGCACTCGTCGTCAGCACCGTCGCCTTCGCCTCCAGAGGCACCGACTGCCGCTCGCAAGGACCGCTCAACCTCGTTGTCCTCGCTCGCCGCACACGTCTGTGCGCCTCCTCCAGCACAAACCGGGAACATATCGTCCTCGTCGTGCACTCACCGTTCTCATTCATCGCATTGGAGTTGGCCACGCGCCGCCTCCCCATTCCGTTCATCGTCTCTTCCGCTCGTCGACCGCACAGTCATTGCCTGCACGGCCGTCCTCATTCTCGTTGTGTTGACCGCTTTCGCAACCTTCACTGGTTTCCTTCCAGTGCCAGATCCATGCGATCGATCCAAGTCAACACCGATACCTTCGGCGAGGGCGTGTACGTCGGAAGCTCCAGATCCTTAACACTCTTGCGCCTCGACTGCTGATCACGCACTCGTCGTCCGCGTCGACCGTTACGTCGTTGCCGTCCGTTGGCATCGGTGCCCGAACCATCGCTCGAGTCACCGCCATCGCCGCCATCGTCACTGCCACCGTCGTTCTCATCATCTTGGTCGTCGCCGTCGTCGTCCGAGCTGCTCTCACTCGAGCTGCTGCTCGAATCCGACGAACTGCCGTCCTCGTCGGGCATGTCGGGCGTCGTACTCACCCTCTCGTCGCGTCGCTGTCGCTCACGCGTCACAGTTTGCCGCCCTTGCGTCTCGTTGCTTGGTGTCGGCTGCTGCAGGCTTGCGACCATTGTAGTGAGCTGCTGCATAGCCACCATCATCGCCGCCAGCCCAGAGGCCGTCGCGTCCGCCTCGTTCGTCGCTGTCGGCGTCTCCGTCGTCGCGGGAGACGCCGAAGTACTGCTGGCTGCCTCCTGCACAACATCGACGCGTCGCGACGTACCGCTCGTCGACTCCACATCCGGCGGCAACACTGCCGCACGCGCTGGAAGTTGACGCTCGCCCAGCCCGCCGCGTTCGTCCACGCGCTCAGCTCCAGTACGCGACGATTGCTCACGGATGCGCGTGTTCTCGGCGACCTGAGCCTGGAGACTCGTCATCGCTGTCGTCAATTGGTGCAGCGCAGTGGTCATCGCTGCCACCTCTTCTGCAGGCACCGGTGCCGCTCCTTCGTGTCCTCGTTCGTCGTGCTCACTCACCATGTCGCGGGTTGGTTTTTGGCGGGCTTGCTCCTCCGCTTCCATGCGTCGCTCGCGCGGCTCGTCGAGTTCTGGTGCCGTCGGGTAACGCGCTTCATCTTGCCGGACTTCTTGCCGCGCGTGGGCGTCGAGGTTAGCATGCTTGCTTTCTTCGTCATCGGTTCACTCTCAAACTCGCTCGTAGTGCTCAATTGAGGCCCCTGTATGATGTGCCGATTTTCTTATCTTGCCCGAACTGCTGGGCAGGTCGTACGCTTACGCTGCGTGTTCGCTCGCGAGCTTCGCAATCTCAACACCGTATTGGCCGTCAGAGATCCACTTGATCTCCCCCTGCCGGAACGCCCGTTTGTTCCAATTTTATTAAGTCAATTAGTAATTAACCTCAATAGAGTCAGCCAAAGCCAACACTACACTCGTCCTCGTAAAACTACCCGTACGCGTCAAACAGCACTCCGACTGTGCCCAGATCCCGCGCGCGACGCTTCTGAAACACCCCCGGACCTCAGTGTCCGCCGTTGCTTCCACCCACGTCGTACGCCGCCTGGAACCCACTCGTCGCACCGCTCGCTGCCGCACTCGTAGCCCAAAGTAGCGCCTCCGCTACTCCACTGGCCGCACGTCGATCGTCCTCTCCGCCAATTGGCACCCTCCGTTCGTGCAACTCACACGTCTGCCTCTCGTCAATGTTCCCGCAACACATCCACCGCGAACTCGCTCTCTGCCCGCCGCGCTCATCGCACTTGCCGCCCTCGTCGCGCTCGTCGGGTTCGTCGCGCTCGGCAAACGCATCGCGCTCGGCGAACTCGTCGCGCCCGTCAAACTCGTTACATCCGTTACACTCGTCGCACTTGCCGAACCTGCTGCGCGCGTCACGCTCCTTGTGCCTGCCACAACCACCGCACTCGGCGTGTCCTTCTCGAACATCTGCCTGCCAGACTGCCCACCGATCACCACTGTTACAGTATGTTTAATTGCAATCCAGTTATCTAATACAAATTGATTCTGATGAATTACTAACTGTAGGGTCGGTAAGACATAAACTATTAAACGGTGATACAATTAGCAGAGTGCACATTCTAGTGGGTTGTTCCCGTTTCGGAAAACCGGAATGTAAAGCTTAGATACTTTATGTTTCTACTAGGGCTTCGCGAAGGCTGGGATAGGACTGGTTAACTCACCTTTAACCGCCATTGATAAACTCAATCCGCACGCTCCACGGGCATCTCCTGCGCCTGCTTCACAGCCGCAGAATCTGCCCGACAATGTATCACCAGACGTACAACCGATTTTAGAGCAAAATCAATAAAACGAATTTTAACTCGACGAATTTGCAAATGAAGTGGACTAGCCTCCATCATTCTTGAGAAGTCTAAAACACTCGGTCAATCGACATCACTTACTGTAAATTGACCTAAGACATGTAACCGGTTCATCACCGGTGTCGATTGGGCAGGGGGGCATCGCCCGAATTAATCCTGTGTGGGCTGGGCTATCGGCACTTTCGTCGCTTCCTATCCCAGTATAATTGATTATGTATGGAATGCAATTAATCTGAACAAAATGCAATTAATCCATTTGGATTGCAATTCATCTGACTGGAATGCAATTAATCCTATTGGTATGGAAAACCTCTGAAAATGGCATGGAAAATATATTTTCCGACAGCCAATGGAACCGCCACATTCTTCGGTGGGGATACGACACTCGCCCAATGTGATTGCGGTCTCTTTGGCCTATTTAAGCGTAACGAGCGTTAGAACTATGACGCTGTCCTTGCCGTCGAAATGATACCTCAACACTAGGATCATCGCCTTGCCGGATTTCTTCAGGTATTCTGCTTTTGACGCAAGGCCGAGTGAGTCCTAGGCGAGACGCCCTACCCGCCCATCACTTAGATAGCAATTTATTGGGGGTGGCCTCTGTCGCCGGGTTCCTTTTTCACCGCCAGAGTCATCCTCGATAGAGTGCTGTCGGTGTAGCCAAGACGCACCACCCACTGATCATAGCGCCTTCCTGTTATTAAACCCTTCTTGTCAATGTAGTCGAGCCGCACCTTGAACTGCGGTTCTCGAAGAGCTTTTCTCCGGGCTCAACTGCACCGTGGCGGCTTTCGGTGATTTCTCGTATGTCTGTTTTGGTTTACTTCACACGAGTTCCTGACCCCCAGGAGCCTCCGACGCAATGTCGGCAAGTTGCCTTGGATTCAGTTGAGAGCGAGGTGGCATTAATACTGGCAAGGAGTGCCAATAATGAGCGCCACGGAGTGATGAAAAAACAGAGAAATGCTGCAAGTTGTGAAGTAAATACACTGTCGAGAAATGGTAATTGAGCTGGACAACTCTGCAGAAAACGTGTAACCTTGAAAATACCAATTGGAGGTGCGGAAACGGACGCTCCTAAGGCCGTACAGTAAAACTATCGTTACGCGGGCGACAATTAGAGGCGACCCTTTTTTATGGGGTCGTCACGGTGGCAAGCAGAATAGCGCCAAATGGACCTTCGTAGGTCAATGCGGTATTCAATAAGACCGACAAGTGTACCGCGAATGCAAATCTAACAAAAAGCTGACTGTATTTCGCTCAAACGTTTCACCACTCAGACCAGCTTCGACTTACATACTAGCTCGACACACCCTGTGCTTACAGGAAGTAGGCGCCGACAGCCATGACGGTGGCGGCAACAGCACCCATAGCGCCCGTGACCTGCGACGCACCGCTCGATCCTGACGCGGCCGTCGAACCCGAAGTGGTCGAAGATGCCGTGGGGCTGGTCGAGTCCGCGGTCGACGAAGACGCCGTGGTGGACGACGAGTCGGTCGTGGTCGTGGTCGAGTCGCCGGCATCCACCGCAGCGTCGCTACTCGAGGAGCCGACGGTCGTCGAGTCAACCGCAGCGCTGCCGGCGCCCACAGTGGCAGTGGCACCGGTGCTCGAAGCAGCAGTGGCAGCACCAGCAGCAGTCGAGCCGGTAGCAGCAGCCGTCGTGGGGGCCGTCGGGACCGTATTGGCGGCGGACTGGCCGTTCACAGCGGCGACAGCGAGGGCGGCAATGACGAGGACCTGGATGAACTTCATGGTTGTAGAGTGGTGAGTGTGGGGTGGAGTCGGTTGGGACTTGGGCACTTGGAAGTGGAAATGGGAATGAAGACCCTAGCTGAGACCGACGCCGCCTTCACGCTTGCTCGCTCGGACGCAGAGGCAGAGAGCTGTTGACATGTACGGACGCCTCTCTCTCGACGGCCATACGACGGCGCCAGCTTGTGGCGCTGGTGGACGAGCAGATCTTCGATCGCATGACAACTCTCTCGACAACAGAACACGCGGGAGCTCCGTGGACAGGACTCTTGCACACACACGCGCTGAAACACGTGGGCAACGCAGTCTGGTTCAACCAAGCGCCCATGAACGCCATGCAAACCGGCAAGACGCACGCAGGCACACACAGAGACCTAGCCCACCACGGTGGTGGCCATACGGATCGCCTCTACCAACATCCGTGCAGCGATCCCAGGCAAGTTGAAGCTACCCGAGGCCAAAGCAGCGCCACTTTTGGCCCAAAAAGGCCACCGAGCGTCGAAATGATCCCAGAATTTGGTCATCACGCGCCCTCTTTTGTCTTCAAGCGCACGAAAGTTTCCCATCTTCTTGCGATCTTCTCAGGACGCGGGCGATGCTTGATGTCAACCTACCAGAACTTCTCCCAGCTCGTTCCTCTCCATATTCACACTCTATTGGAAACAGCAAATAAACGTCTATTGCTTGCGCTTTACAGTGCTGCAACTACGAGACCAAAAGAGTCGAATGAATGTCCTTGAACGGCACTCACGAGCGGCCTTGAGGCGGTGTAGTTTACAGGAAGTACGAGATGGTGGCGACGGCGGCGGCCGTGGCGACGCCCATGGCGCCGGCCACCTGCGAGGCGCCGCTCGAGCCCGAGGCGCCGCTGGCCGAGGCGGCCATCGAGCCGGACGTGGTGCTGCTGGCGTCGGTCGTGGAGGACGAGGCCGAGACGGACGATCCCGACGACTCGGTGGTGGACGAGCCCACGGTGGCGGCCGAGCCGGTCGTGCTCGAGGCGACCACCGTCGAGTCAACAGCGCCCGAGGCGGCGGTGGTGGCGTCGGCGCCCGAGGTGGCCGTCGTGGCGTCAGCGCCCGAGGTGGCCGTCGTGGCGTCAGCGCCCGAGGTGGCCGTCGTGGCAGCAGCGGCGGAGGACGCCGTGGACGCGGCCGTCGAGGCGGCGGTGGTGGCCTGGCCGTTGACGGCGGCGACGGCGAGGGCGGCGATGACGAGGACCTGGAACACCTTCATGGTTGGTAGAGTTGGGGGTGGGGGTGGTTGTTGGGGGAGGAGGAGACTTGAGCCCTTGAAGGTAAAAGTGAGAATGAGCTGTCTGCCAGGATTTCGGATCCGTGCCTCCTTTGCGGCCGAGAGCGCGCACCCATCGGTCGCTGCTTCGGTCGAGGTGACGTGGTGAGACCATGGGCGGTCGTGCGAGCGACTGTTTTTCCCAGGTGTCGAGCTGTCGTTGGACAAGCCGCGGCTTTACTAAAGCCTTTAAGGGTACATTCGTGGGGTTGAATTCGGGTGAGAAGCGTGCTGATTGGCTGAAATGGAGCAGATTTGCGGTAAAACTTCGATGTTGGGCGCTAACTCGTGCGGTCGTTGAAGTTGTCGGCTCGCATGGTCGAGTTGTGAAGTTGGGGGCTTGTTTGCCCCAGAGTCTGGGGCACGCCTCCACATCGCGACGGCAAGGGCAGTTCAATTCGATTCCACGCCGCCTCTGCATGTAGCGGCGGCAATGGCGACGGAGATCCCGGATAGCCACGTGTATGATATCAGAATAAGAGGGAGACAGCAGCCGGCCACGAGTCCCGCGCGCGGCTGTACAAGATCCGCCTGGACAGCGCCAACTCACCGACCTGACTTGCACCTAGGGGCGCAGCATGCAGCGCGGAGATTGAAGTTGCCCGCTTCCTAGCGAAAGCTCGCGAGCAAATCCGGGGTTGGACGCCACTCGCTCGACCAGCGAAAGCCTATACGTCCGAGTGCAGCAAAGGCAAAAGCAAAACAAAGCAAAGTCCATTGAAAGCGCAGTGCGTGTTGCTTCGAGGAGGTTTAAAGCGGTTCGTCGCTGCTATCTACATTGTGCACGTGGATTTCATGCCAGCCGCGTGGCCGTGGTTGAAGTACTCGGGGATACGCGTCGAGTCTAGTCGAAGTCGAAGGCTCGCATCGCTTGCCTACAGGAAGTAGGTACCCACGGCCAGCACGGCCGCGGTAGCAGCGCCCATGGCGCTCATCGCGACCTGCGAGGCGCCGCTCGAGCCGGCCGAGCCCGACGCGGCCGTGGACGAGGAAGCCGTGGCCGAAGAAGAGCCCTTGGTCGCCGATCCGGTCGAGGACGACTCGGTGGCGGGGCTCGATTCCTCCGAGCCCACCGCGGTGGAGCCGGCCGTGCTGCCGGTGGTGGTCGTCGAGTCCATCGTGCCGCTGGACGTCATGTTCATGCTGCTGTCCATGCTGGAGGTAGCAGCGGTTGAGTCGGCGGCGGCCGAGGAAGCCGTCGACGCCACGGCCGACGTGGTCGCAGCGGTCGTGGCAGCAGCAGCGGAGGACGCCGTGGACGCGGCAGTCGAGGTCTGTCCGTTGACGGCGGCGACGGCGAGGGCGCCGATGACGAGGACCTGGAACACCTTCATAGTTGTAGTGGGGTGGGGATGAGTGGAGTGGGGTGGGGCTTGGACACTTGGAGGCAAATGTTGGAATGAGACTGGCAGCGCTCGGCGCGTACCGGGCCCAGCGCGAGATTAGACGCCGGTACCCATGCCTGGAAGCCCCACCGAACGCTCGCCGCTGGAACGGCGGCAATAGGCCCAGATAGATCGTGATGTTGAAGTGACAGTGCTTCCGCACCGCTGGACGCGTCTGGCAAGATCGCAGCGCCTCGGGGGGCCTTTACCACCGATGCGCCTCACGCCCAGCGGCGGCATGCTCCGTACGCTTCTGACCGAGGTGCTACTTTGCTGGCTACACGCGCGACGACAACACACGCGCGTGCAGTTGTACAGCCAAACACGCCGTGAGTCCAAAGTTACCGCTGAGTGAGCCGCGAGGGCAACAAGACCTGGGGACTTGCTTGTAGGATCCAACAGGATGTGTAGACCCGTACGCGCAGCGAAAAACTTGAGCTTGCAGACCCTGAGAAATGAGTTTGCGACCAAGCGAGATCGTCTTTCCTTCAACACGAGCCCTCAACACACAAAAGCGGCGTGCCGGAGCTTCCTCGCTCGGCAGGCTTTACCCGCAGCAGCCTGCATGGTGGCCGTGTTTGGCACTGTAGTCGAACGCGTGGATACGGAGGTAACAATACGGAGGCTGTTGCACAATAGTACCGTATCCGCTCGCACAGCGCCTCCAATTCTTCCGCACTACATGACGTGCGTCTAGTGCGTCTAGCAGCTCGACGTCTAGCAATGGGGGCCCCGCGTTGAGAGGGGGGGGGCAAGAGCACCAATTACTCGGGCCTTAATCGTTTGAACTAACGGCGCGCACGGGATTAATGGGGACACGTTTATCACTGCGACGTTAATACAACCGCGGGCGTGGTAGTGGCGCTCTGCACTAAAGCTACTCCACTCCCTACATGATAGACCCTGGGTTTTGTTTTGCGTTGGCTTCGCAAGTAGACAGCACGCTGCGCTTTAGATGACCATGACAGCGGCCACTGTCATGGCAGTCGTGGCGATGCCAGCCGCGGCAGCTACGCTTGATCCGCTGGTCGATCCGGAAGACAAATCGGTGCTGCCCGCACCGACCGATCCGGTGCTGCTGGATGCTCCGAGGATAACATCCTGGGCATTATCAGAGACCTCCTCGGCAGTCTTGGAGTCTTCTTCGGGAACGCTGGCCACCGTGTCGATGGCCATAGCAGCAATAGCCGCGATGACGAGAAAACGGAATACTTGCATGTTGCTGGTGACGGGGACAAACGGAGAATGAAGCGGCGGTGATGAAGGAGATGAATGAGCGGAGATCAAAAGTGTCATCACTCGCTCGTTGGCCAGAAGACAGAAAGCCTTGGCAGTCTATCCGCCAGCTTGATGCTTTCGAGGTGTCTCTAATTTGTTTGCCACTGTATCTTGGGGCGAATGCTTGGGTCTCGAGTGAAGTCGAGTGTTGAGAGAGATGCAAGCACCCCCTGCATAATCCGACGCAGCTGTGGAGTCACGGGACGATGGACAAGCTAGCGAAAGGATAGATCCAGGCCAAGATGTGAAGCGTGAGCTCACGCAATAAGCTGTGGTGGCCCCACGACTCAAGGAGAGGCGGTATGCTGACTATCCATCCGCGGAGGTGTGGCTTCGCGTCTGGTGCAGACGTCGCTAACTATGATTGCCGTTGCCTAGTCAATCAGCGAAATGCAAACGAAATCTGTGGCTTGCCAGTCTGTAGAGGCACAGCTTCAACGTCAACCTGCTCAAGGACATCTCGGTGACGCAGATGGCGCGCGGTCTTAGTCCTCGTGCCTCCATCTGACCGGGCAGGGGAGGAATCCTATCCTAATAGGACATCAGCGGCTTGCTGGGTTTGCTGTTTTTGGGTGGTTGAAGCGACGATTTTAGCTTGGAGCCAAAATCGTCTCGGGATCGCGTGTTTGCTGCTCCACCTGACTCTATGAGGGCGTTCCGGGTCGGCGCGCTTCCCAGCATCCTCTATTGGGCCACCACAGCGACGAGTTCATGTGTGCACGACCAGCTCTCCGCTCGCCTGGTCTCCAGCACGCAGAACTACGGCCATGACCCGCGACGCCCAGCGGACGAGCAGTACGAACCCGCAGCAGCAGCAACCTCCAGCCACGAACAGCAAGTGATCATCATCGAGCAGCCAGTAGAAGTGCAGGAGCCGCGCTGGCCGCGCCAGGATCCTCTAAAAGCCCCAGCGAGCCTTGCTCCAGTTTAAATCTCCACCTTCCACCTTGCTCCACCTGTAGGCAACGACTGACTGCACCACACACGTACTCTCTCTCCTGTAATATACAGACGAAGAATCCCCCACCCACTTGTTAACATTCTCGACGTCTCCGTCTGTCCAATACCCTGCGTATCTGCCCTCTAAGCGCTGGCCTTGGCCACCGCGCGCTGCACCTCGCGCGTGCTCTTGACCGACACCTCCTGGCGCTTCTTGGGCGTGTTGTACCAGAAGCGCACGAAGCCGTCGCGCGTGGCGAAGATGGTGTGGTCCTTGCCGATGCCCACGCCCGTGCCCGGGTGGTACTTGGTGCCGCGCTGGCGGATGATGATGTTGCCGGCCAGCACGCTCTCGCTGCACGGGGTACACGCACAGGTTAGACAATCACTCTCGACCAAAGCTACCGGGTTACGGTGCGGAGCTGAGTGTACCCGCCGAACTTCTTGACGCCCAGACGCTTGGACTCGGAGTCGCGGCCGTTCTTGGTGGAACCGCCGGCCTTCTTGGTAGCCCAGCGGCGCGACAGCGTGAACACGCCCTCGCTCTTGCCGCCCACGCGCGTCGCGCTGCATCCGAAGACGCGCGCCATGCCCATCGCCATCGCCATCGTGTCCCGAGCCTGTGTGGTTGCTTGCGTTTTGGCCACACAAAGCGCGCGGAGACGCAGAGTGATGGTCAATTGTGTGTATCACACCATTGTACCGGATTAGTGGTACGTCTGCTCGAAGCGTCGGCTATTCCACCTTTGAGGCTGCTCAGTATTGATTCTCGCAGACGACCATGACGTACGTGACCGGCGGCGACGTGGTGGCCAAGCGCTCGCCGTGGCGGCTCTCCATCGTGACGGACGCGTTCTGGGGCGTCATCAACTTTGTCGGACTCTTGTACGTGCGGTCGAACCGCTGATCTTCAGCTGGAAGGAGGCTATTAACGCTGTCGTGCTGTGGCATCTGAAAACGTCTCGGGGGGTACGCGCAGTGTAACGTCGCTCTTCTCGGTGAGTTTGTGCCTGTTCATTCCTGCGTGGAGATGAATGTGGCGCTGATTCGTTTTGAACATCAGGACCCGTCGACGGCGACTCGTCCGAACAGCAACATCGGCCAGGGATCGACTTCAAACCGCGGCTTGGGCGGCAACGGACGCGGAGGCCCGCGCCGCATGGGCGGAGTGAACCACAGAGGCACCATCAACATGCCCAGTACGTTTGCTTGTTGTTGCTGATGTGGTGGAATGAGGTGCTGATTTGTATCCATCGTTGATGTGCAGTGGGCGGAGGCTGCTGTGGCTAAGGCGTAGTAAATCGGAGCTAAGCTGACTTGAAGCACAATGCTCGTCGGCTTTTGCGTTAGCCTGCGGCTATTCAAGATCGAGTCACTGCTCCAGGTGCTCAAGATGCTTTTCTTACGGAGTTGTGGACTTCATGAGATGCAACGAAGAAGAGAGCTAGGCGAGAGGTTTGGCTTGACACGCAGCATATATTATGTGATCTCTTTCTATGAAGAGTGAAGCAGCCATCTTCTACTGCACCAAATGTTCTGCCCCACTGCTTTCGACAATCTGGCGCCAGGCGCCAGCTTACTTGGTCCGCCGCTTCTTGGCAGCGCCCTTGGTGATGTTTTTGAGCTTCTTGCCCTTCTTCTTGCGCTTGCCGCCCTCGGCCTCCTCCTCGTCGTTGAAGGTCTTGCCCTTGTTCTTGCCAGCGTTCTCCTCGCGTCCGAGCACGCGCTTGAGCGCGTTCATGCTGCGCTCCTTCTCGGTGGCCTCGGCGCCGGTGGTCGGCAGGAAGTGGTTGCGCTTGCCCTTGATCTTGCGCTCCGACTCGCCCTCGCGCATCTTGTCGAACTTGCCCATGGAGGCCGTGGAGAACTGCACCTTCTCCAGGGTCTTGTTGGTGCCCTCCTTGCCGCGCTGCTTGGCCTTGGCGTCGTCCGTGTTCATGAGCTCGACGGGGATGCCGGTGGGCGTGCGGCCGGCTATGCCCGCAAGCTGCTTGCCGCGTCCCTGCTTGAGGTTGTTGGCCTGCGCGCGCAGGTTCTTGTCCACGCGGGCGCGCTTCTCCTGCTTGCGCTTGGTCCACGGGTCCTCCATGTCGCCCTCCTTGACCTCGACGGCCCAGTCCTTCATGTCGTCGCCCGCGCGCTGGTAGCCCCACGAGTGGCCCCACTCGCCCGTGTTCTCGTCAAAGACCTTGCGGCTCTTCTTGCGCTTCTCGATGCCCTTCTCCTTGGCGAACTTCTCCCACTTGGTCTCGACCTTGGGCTTGGGCAGCGGCTTCTCGCGCGGGATCACCGTGCTGGGCTCGGGCAGCTGCGCCAGCGGACCCATGTCCGACATCTCGCGCGGCAGCTCGAAGATGTGGTTGATCAGCAGCTGCACATTCTCGCGCGCGTGCAGGGCGAGCTCCTTCTCGTTCTGGTACGTGAACGGGTGCGTGTCGAAGGCCGCCAGGTTGCCCAGGTCGTACACCAGGTCGTCCTCCTTCTGCACGCTGCTCGTGCTGCCCACGGCGTACGCGGCGGGCGCGATCTCCGACGCCTTGACCACCATTATAGCGCTGACACTCTGCTACAGTAGCTGCTCGAAGTGATGGAGTGAGTGGAGCACAACCAGCAGATGCACGCAGGCTATCAAGGTTTGGTTGGTGAGGGGGTTTTGGCCAATGGGAGAAAGAGGATGGTTTTGATTCGCTGAAATGGAGGAATGGAATTTGACCAATGGAAGGGAAGTTGAAGCGGAGGAGAACGCAAAGTGTCCTCCTCCTGCTACAGTTTACATTGAGCTCGAAGCAGCGATAGGTAGGCAGCAAAAGACGGTGTTACCCAGCGCTTTCACACTGACCAACGCCCAGAGCTCTTTCAGAGGTGTGCGTGTTGGTTGCCGCTTTGAAAGAGGTGGGTGGGGTGGTATTTCTTTTGATGAAGATGGTACCTACAGGTCCCGGACTAAAGCGTTGGAATTGTTCGCGCTGAGCCAGCCTGCTAATGTCGAGTTAGAGGATGAAGTATTTGCTGAATTTGAACGGTATTGCATCGGTGACGAGTTGGAAGCTTTCGTTCTGTTGCGGAAAACGATACGCGCTCCATTTCGAGCGAGGATCCTGGTTTCAAGTGTTTCAAGTTGCACATTGAGGCTGATCTTCGTAAAGGACGCACAGTATATTCGTGGGGAAGGTTTGCTTTTACTTGATACTCGTGGCTCGATATTGATAATGAATACACTTGAGCCTGCTTTTCAAAATTGGAGCTTGCTGCTGTTGTGCTATTGCATCTCGGAAGTTATTGCCAGCAGACTCGGAACTATCGATCTTCCAGCAGTGTCAGAATTTCGGGATGCAAACAACAGTGTTCATTTCGCAGTGCTTGAGGAAGGAAAGTCTACGAAAGGCAGGAAACAGCGACTTTCAGCGCATTGCAGTTCGGTCGCAGAAGTCTTACGCTTTGGGGCTCCGTCACACACCTTGACACACCTTCCTACTGGCAGCCCACTTCACCGTCCACGAAGCACCAACGGAACGCTCTCGCTGGCGTCGTCGCCGGCTCACCCATCCGCTGTGGCAGCAGCGCAGACAAATGCAGCCGGTGCCGATCAGGGTCAGCGTTGACTGGGCTCCACTATGGCCGGTGTCCATTTCCGACGATTTTGTAGAAGCAGCTGGTTTTTCCCATAGTAAAAGCGTCCACAGGGATGGCGAAGTCGCGCTGTGCAGTGCACAATTGGCCTGCCATCCCCTGCATTGCATTCGCCAAGTTTCCAGCAACGCACAGCAGAATCATGGCTCGGTCGGTCGTCGCAGCGCTGGCCGTAAGCTTCGTGGTCGCGCCTGCGGCCGTGCAGGGCTACGCCAAGTACGTCAAGCTCATCCCGAACGGCGGCAACGTGCCGGACACGCCCAACGTGGGGCACCTGGACGCGGCCGGCGAGACGGGAGTCAACGACTTCGGAGAGGCCTTCGCCAAGGCCGGAGAAGCCTGGACGACCGCCCTGTGCCAGGAGGACACGGACGGAGACGGGTACACCAACGGCCAGGAGCTCGGAGACCCGTGCTGCACCTGGACCACGAGCAACACGGCGGGCCTCATCACGGACGGCGTGAGCCACCCGGCCGACGCCTCCAAGGTCCCCACTAGCAGCACGCTCAAGGCCGGCTGCTCTAGCGGCACCAGCACTTCTACCGGTACCAACTCGACAGGTAGTACGGGCGACTCGGTGGGCGACGTGGTGGGGACGGTCGCCCCTGCGGATTTTACCACGGGTGGAATGCCCCCCGATGACGATGAGGACGACTCGTCCGAGAGCGCCGTGCTGACTGCCGGGGCCTCGATGACCACTATGAGCAGTGTTGCGGTGGTAGTCGCTGCGGCGCTGGCGACGGCTGTTGCATTGTAGAAGTAAATAGCGTGTTCGGTGGAGTCTCAGGGTCGAAGTTCGGTCCATGGTTAACGTTAATGACAAGCAAGTATTTCCTCTAGTTTTGCGAGAGCGCGGGCAGGCAAGCAGTCGCTGTATTTAAAATATACAATCCCTCGACATCCGAGTGACGCTGAAGGTGGGAGCTGGCGGTGTGAATCTGCGGGAAGAGGCAACAAAAATGTCTTGCTTTGGCTTGGCTTGGCTTGGCGCTTATGCAGACAGCACTCCACCTCCCTGTCTCGATGCTTGGGTTTCAATTCAACTAGCAACCGGCAACTGACAACTGCATCCGCTTAGTTGGAGCCCGGGATCACAAACACGATGATGAGGATGACCACCAGCACCGCAATAACGCCGTATAACTTGCACGCCTGGGCGACATCGAAGCAGCAGCAACATACCCCGTCAGCCAACATTCACCTTCAGCACTGCAGTATACAAAACAAGGTTACCTTCTTCTTGCGCGCGTTGACCTCGCGCGCCGCCTGCTCTTCTCTTGAAATGTCCTGGGTGGCGTTGTCCATTCGCTGCGCAACAAACAACCATCGTCAGCTTCCTGCCGTGCGCTCCAATTGTATATGTGGAGTGCCGCGTACGTTGCCGATGTCGTCGATCATGATGTTCTGCTCCACGACTTCGCCGTTGATGGCGTGCGCCTGGTTCTTGAGGCCCACGACGCCGCCGTGGATCTGGTCCAGCAGCGCGTCCTGCCGCGCCTCGTCCTCCGCGCGGCGGCGATCGAACTGCTGCTGGTCCATGTTGCGGTAGTCTTCGCCGTCGCGGGGCATGCTGCGGTCGGTGGTCTGTGGGCTGTGTAGAGGGCTCCCTCGGGCGGAGAGAGAAGGAATCGGCGAGTCTCCTTACAATATGCGCCGAGATGACGGCAGAGATAGGCAGCTGGCTGGCTTCCTGCAGCTTCGTATAAGTAATGCATCCTCGTTTAGGTATTCACTGTTAAAGTATATGAATTTACTTAAGCGAAATCCCGCTTACGTTCATGGCTTCTCGTTTAAGTAACGATGCCTACATGCGGTTGTTGAAGAGCCTTGCCGGATACTTCAAATGCATGTGAAGAAATGCATTCGTCAAGGCAACAGTATGAGTGCTAATACTACATGTGCAGCGTCACTGCCAAATAGAAGGCATTTTCAACACCCACTTTGTTGACTGCAGAATCAAGTGGCGCGATGGACAGCAACGAGTTGCTTTCAATGCACCTCGCACCTCGCCATAGTTTGTTGCAGCCACCGCCGCCTCGAGCATACAATCAAGATGCATGTATGGCGTAGTGTTGGTGTCGGCAAGTCGCTGGCAGGGAGGGCGTCAGTGTCAACGTGACAGCTTGACGTAGCATGAGCAACAATAGCGACGCGACGAATGCCGCTGCATATAGCCCTGCTTCCTATAGAAATAGCGGATACCGGTACCATCAACGGCCGATGAGCTGGGTGAATATCGTTGCTGAGCAGCGTTGGTATCATTCTATACGGTTGAGAGCGGGGAATCTCAGGCATTGACCGGCATTTCATTTCATATTCATATTCACTTGGTACATGAATCAGTGCAACAGGCGGTATCGTAAACTGACCGGCAACTCGATTAAATGGTATCCCTACAGCCCTCGATCTTCAGTTTTGTGCGGTTGTGAGCCATGTGGCATTGTCAGGTCACGAACTAGTGAATTTCCTAGCCTTTGAGCATACCATGGCACAGGCGTGCTGTCGTGTCCGGCGCGCTGATCGATAGAGCGCTTCGTCGACTAATTGAGTTCATGGAGCTCGAGCTCCGCACCTTGTCGACTAGTTGCACGCTCATGGAGCATGGACTCCGCTTCCTCACACCACTGCCATTCTCCAATTTGATATACGTCGCGCACTCAACAGCCAGCGTCCGGGAACCCCTTGATACTCACAGTCATGCACGTTCTCCGCGTCACTATCGCTTGTGCCCTCGCCATCAGCGCTGCTTGCGCGCAGGACCTCGTTCCCAGTTCCGTGTCGTCCACGTCAACGAGTACCTCCAGCTCGGGCTCGAACAACTACTACGAGTCGGACGACAGCATCCTCACCAGGATCGACGCCAGTGCAGCTGACGCGGCGAACGCCGGCAGCGTGTCCACGGGCATTACCATCACCAAGGCGTTTGCCGCTGGTAGCAGCGACTCCAGCGCCAACGGTGCGACGGTCGGCTCCGCGGACTCGAATAGCACCGCGGCAGTCGGCACCTCCAGCGCCAGCACCGACGCGACCGTCACGGCCAGCACGTCGGGATCTTCGGACACCACCACGGAGTCGTCCTCCACCTCCTCTACGACCAGATACACTGAGGACACGACGTCTTCGTCCGCGTCGGCTTCGTCGACGTCGGCCTCCTCCTCGTCCGGATCGAGCGGCGCGTCCTCGGTGGCTGCCTCGTTTGGAGCTGCCGCGGCCAGCGCCCTCGTTGCTGCGGCTTACTTCCTGTAGACAGCTCAATCAGAAGCAAGAGATAATAGAGATGACGTTCAAATCCTGGTGGCGTCCACTTCAACATGACCTTACGTGCTAATTTACATATTAACACAGCACCACAGCATGACGGACAAGCATTTCTCAGTCTTAGTGCAGGTGCCAGTGTTCACGAGCACAGAGCGGGGTATGCTGGCGGCTAAGTAGTAAGTAGTAATGCGAAAGTGCCTTGAAAGAGGTTACTCTCCGTGGCTGCTTTGATCGAACTCATGAAAGTATCCGATACTCGTGTCCACTGTGCATCACTTTTGCCGAAACAAAGCACTGCTGTGAGTGCCTACCGTATTGTCCCGGACACCCAACCTTGGACGGACTTTGAGTAATAATTATTCATGGACCATTCTGGCTGTCCGTCAGTGGACACTTCACCATCTCGGCTCGGTTTCTGCATGAAAAGCATGAGTAATGGCGACACGCGTGGAGACAACGACTGCTGCTGGATGATAAGCTCTGCACCGAAAGCGAAGCGTGGAGACGATCGAGGGCGTGGGCCGCGGTGCCGACCGGCGCGCGAGCGCCATTTGTGTCATACAGTACGATGCATCTCAGGCGTCGACCTGCATGGAGCACTTGGATTACATGTAATTCTGGCGAGGTGGACGAAGATTGCACTCCTCAGCGTGTCTGGGTCGTGTGACATCGTTGGGGCATAGACTTGAGATGCGTACAGTCCGCCCTTGGGAGCCACAACTGGTGCTGTCGTGCGGTGTACGCGCAGGATGTGAAGGAATGCTTTGTCGAGTGGTTGCGAGCGCCAGCAGCTCGAGCACCGCTTTCGTGCCGCCATTCTCCGATTTGACTCGCAGCGCGCACTCGACAACCGAGTCCAGCCAGCTCTTCTACCCTCCAGAAGACTTGATCCCAACCCATGCAGGTCCTCCGCGCCTCCATCGCTTGCGCCCTCGCTGTCAGCGCCGTGTGCGCTCAGGACGTCGTCCCCAGCTTGGTGACGTCGTCGGCGTCCTCTAGTGCTGTGAGCTTCAGCTCGGGCTCGAACAACGTGGCCAACTCGGACGGCAGCACCGTCATCTCTAGCGGCAGCTATAGCGCCGCCAGCGCCTCCAACACCGCCGAGACGGACGACACCTTGATCGACGTGATCTCCAGCAGCTCGGGGAGCGCGACGACCGCTGGCAGCGCGTACTCCGGCAGCGTCGACGACGCGGGCGTCGGCTCCGCCGACTCGAACAGCACGGACGTCGGCATCTCCAGCGCCAGCGTCGACGTTGACGCGACCGTCACGGCCAGCACTTCGGGCTCCTCGGACGCCACCATCACGGAGTCGTCCACGGCTTCCACGAGTGCTAGCACCACCACTGACACGACGTCTTCGTCCGCGTCGGCGTCCGCCTCCTCGTCGACGGCTGCGTCCACCTCCTCTTCGGGATCCAGCGGCGCGGCCTCGGTCACCGCCTCGTGCGGAGCTGCCGTGGCGAGCGTCCTCGTCGCCGCCGCGTACTTCATGTAGGGTACAGCAGCAACAGTGCGTGTAACCAGCAACTAATAAAAGAGCCGTTCTCTCACGAAGCCGATCGTCACGGCACTTCAACGTGAACATCGTGAACTTCCAGCACATGCCCATCAATCATTCCAGCGTGAAGAGCTCCAAGACCTCCCTCACAACACGCTCGAGTCGCATTGGCGCCACAAAGAGGGCCATCATGGCCGCCATAGGCTCCTTGGCAGGAAGGTATCCGATGGCTCGTACGTTTTTTCCATCGAAGAGGGAGCGGAGTCATCCGAGGTCACCTCAGCGAGGTGATACCGCGTATCAGGGCCCGCCGGACATCTGCTCGCTCTTTGTCTTGTGCTTGCCAAGCAAGCACTGCCTGGCCCCGCTGCGATGAGCCTTGCCTCCACGGTGGCGCATTCGGGCGAGAGCCCAGAAGAGTTTGTAGGTGGAGGGTTTGTGTCGCACGGAGAGCGCTAGGATGAAAGTGGCCATCGATCGATGGTGAGACTTCCTTTCAGGTTGAAGCTACTAACTGGTGGTAGTATACGGGGTACCGATGCAGTGGATAGAAGTCAGAGGCTGCGTCGCGAATGGACCGCCATTGACCTCATGCGCGCTCGGGTCTTGCCATATGCGCTGCATAGAGCGCTGCCTCGCTCGCGCCATGTCAAGGATAACGCTGGCGCCAATGCAGCGTGGCCGCGAGCGACAAGGGAGCCGATATACACGACGAGCCGGAAACTGGGTGACATGGAGGGGGGATGGGATGAAAGCCAATTAACAGTATCTAAAATGTCTAAAGTACTACTATTGGAGTATAGCACTACTATACTACTTTCGATTCGCACCTATACTGCACAGGGCACACGCAGGTGATGCATCTGCAGTTGAGTTTGTTAGACACCTTGGAGCTCTTGTCATCGGGATCTGGTTGCAAATATGCTGGCAATGCCAGCCTGGCATTACACTAATTAGTTTCGTATCATTATCTTTGTAAAAGTTATACTACCGCAATACTACCCACCCGTAAGCAAGTTGCAGTTGCCACGCTTCTCGAACAATGAACGCCTCCCACTTCCCGCACGCCAAAGACGCTCGACGTGCGCAATGCGAAATGCAGCAGCCCTCACTCCCTCCCTCACTCACTCACTCAGCCAGGGCCGCTGGCCCTCCTCATTCTGCAATTTGCCTCCTCAGCGGTAGACCACCTTTTCCTCCACTTCCAGCCCCAAGCGCATCAAGATGTCCACGTCCGGCTCCAGCTCCATCGCCTCGTGCAGCTCCACCGTCCTGAGTGCGCTGCTGACGGACCAGTACATCGATCAGTGCCAGACCGACTCGGGCTACTCGTTCACGGAGGCGTCCATCCCGACGCAGGACGTGATCGACCTCATGTGCGCGTCCAGCGCCTGCCGCAGCCTGTTGGCCGACGCCGAGGCCATGGACCTGAGCGAGTGCATCCTGCCCGTGGGCGACCACATCCGGCTGTTGGCCGACCTGATCGACTACGTGCCGGCCCGCTGCCCCTCGGCCACGGGCAGCGCCGCCGCCGGCTCCACGACTACGGAGAGCACGGTCATTGCCGGCTCCACGTCGGGCAACGACACCGCCAGCTCCAGCGACACGGTGACGGCGCCGACGGCGACCAGCTCCTCGACCCCCACGGCCTCGTCGGACGAGACGTCCACCACCACGACCACCTCGGCGTCGCAGGAGACGGCGTCGTCCACGGCCGCGTCCGCGTCGGCTGCGGCCTCTGCGTCGTCGTCGGGCTCGAGCGCGGCGTCGCCTGTGGGCCGCGCGATGGGCGTGCTCTCGATCGCGGCCATGAGCGTCGTGCTCGCCCTCATGTAGACGAACAAGTTATAAGGGGGCGGACGTTGAGTATCACTGCATCTGATCTGATGACATCAATACACGAATACCTCATTCGTTTTTGGACAAGTCCGGTGTTGTCTTGATGCTGTATGTGCGCTTCAACATGGCTTGCATCCTGCAAGCTTTGCTCTTGAGGGTCAGTGATCCTGGGGCAAGGAACATGAGCAAGAGGCATGCCATAGTGCAGGTCTAGAGCGAGGACACCTTGTGTTATTGTTGCGCGTTCACTACCGTTGTGCCAATGTGCGTTTAGTGCTGCTCCTACTCGAAGGTGGTGAGGCAAATGGTGCCTCGCTCCTCGTCGACGAGGACGGACAGCGTTGCCTCCTTAGCAACTGTTGGCGCCGCAGCAGCTCCACGGGAGGAAGTAGTCGTACCAGTGGCAGCCTTTGATCTTGGTGTTGGCCTCGTACAGCGGGTTGGACAGCGTGCTATTCGTCGAGCCCGACGATTCCGCTTCCAGCATGCGACCGCCATCAGCAGGTCTCAGGAACTGCGACGTAGGGGCGTCTTGGTGGGCTCTCACGGGGTCCACGACCACGAAGACGGCGAGCATGAGCGTGACAGCGAGCAGCTTGGACATGGCGGAGGGGTTGACCTGAGGCGCTGGGCTTGGGCTTGAGCTGGTGGGCGCGAAATCGCGAATGAAGCACTGCAACATGGCCGTCCACCCTTGCTGGATCACTTGATTCCGACTAATGCTGGTGCACTGCAAGGGACCTGAAGAGGATATATTCAAATGGTAATGCTAAGATTTATGCTGGTGCTAGACGAGGTGGCAGCTTCGTGGCCACATACAATGGAGAAGGATCGAGTGGCTGGTTATTTCCCATGCCTACTGGACGAAAGCTTTGATGGAGTCTGCCGTGGCGTTGTTTTGCATTAAAATTATCTGTGAATGCTTCTAGGCAGCTCCAGCGAAGCCGTCACCTGTTCCTCCATTGCACGAGTTGGTTGCGCAGCAGGTCGAGAGCAGGTAGTCGTCCCAGGAGCTGTTATGCTTAGGGAGTATTTTGTTCTTTTCCTTCTTCTCGACGAGAGGAGGGTTGGTGCCGCTCGTGGAGCCCGACGATTCCTCTTCCAGCACGCGATCGCCGCCAACACCTCGCAGCTGAGGCAATTTAGCGTCAACGTGAGCGCCCACAGGGCTAACGAAGACAAAGACAGCGAGTGCGAGCGCGGCAGCAAGTCGCTGAGCCATCATGGTGGAGTTGGCTTGAAACGCGTGGGGAGTTGGAGGCGAAATCGAAAATGAGCAAGCTCCTGCTACAACGGGAAGGTTTTTCAACAGCCCACATTTGCTAGATAACTCGAACAACTCCAGATCCTTGTGCATGCCGAGGGGCAGGTTACCTGAAGGTAGTAGGCCAGTCGGTGCAGGACGGGGTTCTTCTCGTGACCACTAATGTCAATCCGGAGTTTGTTCACAGCTAACAACGCGTATGGGTGTTATATATTGAAGTTGCTTCGCCACCGTTGCTCACATTTATTTTTCTACCTCTTACTACACTAGACTAGGTAGGAACAAAGGTTGCTGCCTCCACGAATGCTTAGGGACATGAACCATCGACTCCCACGTCCATCAAAAGCAAAGTGTCCGAGCCTGGACGCAACATCAAATACTTGACAACAGACCTTATATTCATGCACTCGTGTCGGTGCCGGGTTAGCTATGTGCCAATTGTTATTCTACCAGTACCGCCAACGTTGACGACCTAGGAAGCCCCCGCGATTTTCTTACCGACTCCAACACATCTCACGGTGTCGCAGCAGTCATTGGGGACGAAGTCCCCACTTATAATCATCTATCACTCACGAAAAACGGGGTATTCTACGTGGTAGAAGTTCTACCACGCTCTACCGTATAACTACGTACTTAAGTAGAGCGAAGCCATGAAGCCATTCCATCTTGAAGTCGGTTTGCGACCTTTGTGGCCGCTCTCAGGTCGAACTCATCAATCCACCATCCACTTTTGTATTCGCCCGACTAAGGAGAGAGAAGGAGATCCCATGAAGAAGGCGGAGTTGGTCTCCATTGTGCGCAGCTTGTTGCCTCCAGGAGCGACGTGGCCTACGGAACGCGGTGGGCCGCGCTTTGAAGGTGGCAAGACGGTGTTGATGCTGGTCATAACGAGGGAACCGGACCCCCTTTTAGCAGTGAAGCTCATCGACCTCGTGTGCCACCACTACACGGGCGACTTCTGGGCCAGAGACACCTTCAGACGCCACGTGATCATGGACGCGTGCTACCGCGGCGTGGATTCCTTAGTGCTCCAGCGCCTGCTCAAGTGGGCGAGGAAGACAAGCTTCAGGGTGATCATCCCCATGTCAAGGGGGGACGTCAACGGGTTGGACGCAGTGGAGCTCGCAATTGCTGGAGGACACGGACAACTGGCCTCCTGTCTGCTTGAGCAGCACGGCGCCAGCTCACACGACACTCTACTATGCAGGCACTACCCGTTGGCAGTGTTGGAGCTCGCTATTGAGTCGAGGAACGAGCAGTGCGCAAGGGATGTTCTCGCCAATAAGCGTGTTGTACGCCACCTTCACCCTGGTGCAGCAGTGCGACTGAACCTGATCACGCGCTGGGAGCAGCGTCAAGCTCCGGTGAAGAGGCTCTACAATGTGTTCACGTGTGTGGGAGCTGCGATACGTTGCGGGATGCCGGGCGTTGTGCGGATTATCTATGAGCTGAATCCTGTTGAGACTCGACAGGCGGCTTGGTACGCGGTGCACAAGCTGGAGTCACAGGGTCGTATTGAGGTGTCTCCGGAGGTTCGGAGGCTGGTTAGTGCGTATATGTTTGACTTGCTGTGGCCTGAGATCGGAGAGATCATTGCAGTGCGGCATTGGGAGCTTTTGGCGGCGGTGGAGGAGCGCAAACTGTCGTTATGGACGCGAATCCGACGGATGTGGCGCCACAGCCACCACGACTGGGCTGCAGCTGCCTCTCATCCGTGGACAACGCTGCCGAGCGAGGTGATGTCACGGATAATGGGCTACCTTTTTCCATCGGAGACGGCGGAGATGAGGAAGACGGCGGTCCTGGTCGAGTACAGCGTGGAGTGACGGATCCGTAGTCACCTACGATGAATACGGTGAACGGCGCCCCGTAATCTGAGTGAGAACGTGCTGACACAGCCCCAGCGACCACGAAATCCTGCCGCGACTACAAAGTTTCCTCGCTAGGTACCGTAGAGAGAGGCCTTGAAGGCACTGGAGCATTTACTAGGGCCTGCAACGTCAAAGAACCTTCACCCAAGTCAAGCCAAGTGTGAATCGGCTCGTGAGGCATGATCGACTTGAGCATCATCATCAGAAATCGTATCTTGAAGTTGTTTTCGAGCGAGTGGCTCTGCTCAGGCCACCACCAATTGACCACTTTCGTATCTGCAGTCTCCAACACACCAGTATCTGCGCTAAGGAATGAGGAGGAGCAAGCTGGTCTCCGCAGTGCAAAGGCTGTTGCCCGCAGGAGCACGTTGGCCGGATAATCTCGACGACCTTCGACTCAAAGGGGGCAAGACTGTGCTGATGGTTGTGGCGACCAAGGAGACCGACCCTCGACTGGCCGTCAAGCTTGTCGACTTCGTGTGTCCACTCACTGCGGACTTCTGGGCGCGAAACTCGTGTGGACGCCACGTGATCATGGCTGCGTGCAATGAAGGCGCGCATCCGTCAGTGCTGCTACGCTTGATCAAGTGGGCTCGGAGGTGCAGCCTCAACGTGGCTCTCCCCATGTCCATACAAGACCTCCAAGGCCTCGATGCAGTGCAGCTTGCTATTCAACGCGGACACGGAGCGCTGGCTTCCTGCTTGTTGGAGAAACGGGATCCAGCTACACACGACCACTTGCTTTGTCTCCACTACCCGTTGAAGGTGCTGGAGCTGGCTATCGAGTCGATGAACGAGCAGTGCGCGAGGGAAGTTTTGGACAACAAGCGCGTTGTGAGCCATCTTAAGCCAGGGAAAGCAGAGCGTTTGAACTTGATCACGCGGTGGACGCAGCGTCAAACTCCCAACAAGCGGCTCTACAATATCTTCACGTGCGTCAGCGCCGCTGTGCGCTGCAAGATGGCAAGTATCGTCGACGGTATCTTCAATATAAACCCCGACGATACCCGCCAAGCTGTCTGGTATGCCGATCACAGGCTGCGCTTACAGGTCTCCATCGCCCAGGCTCAGGTGGCTCCAGAGATGCAGCGAATGGCGAGTTCGTATTTGCTGCACAAGGCGTGGCCGCAGATTAGTGTGATTGTGTTGCTTCGCCACCACGAATTGCTGGCAAGACACGAGTGCAATTGCTCGCTGTGGAAGCGGATACGTCGCTGGAGGCTGTGTAAGCATCGCGACTGGGACGCGATCGCCTCTCACCCGTGGACGACAATCCCAAGTGAGGTCCTCTACAACATTCTGAGCTTCCTCCTGCCCTCCGAGGTCGCAGAGGCCAGGAGCATGGCAGTCGTGGTCGAGTACTGAAGTGTATCCACATCCCTCGATCAATAAACGTCCTTGTTGGTCCTTCTTGAAGAGAGCGTCGCTCTCTCTTTGCTGTTCGATCGACAGTTCGTGGGTTACCAACGCCGCGCAAGGAGCCAAGCTGGGATCTGTCCGCGCCAAGTTGGTGGAGGAAACTTGAGCACATCCCACTGCAGGGCGATGCGCTCGCGGAGAAGCAAAGCAGAGACTCTGGCTGGCAGCACCACCGCCCCCATGTATCCTGCCTCCACCCTCACCCAAGGATGGCAGTGGTTACCGATATCAACTGCCGGCGACAGGCGAGTGGAGACCGAAGCCTTGTGCTGCGTGGCATGCCTCTCGCCGACGTTGAAGCTCCCAAAAACTGACGTTTCGTCTGACTCCCTTCCGGCTTTCTACTGTCTCTGTCCGTCCGTCCCATCTTTGGGGCCGCTCGATCCTCTACAGGAGCTGCTCGCTCAACGGCCATCTGCGCCGCCCCTCCCGTTCGGCATTCCCGGACTAGCTCAGCACCCGAAAGAATGAAGTTCCAGCTCTTCGCCATCGCCGCCGTGCTGGCGCTCGCCTCGTCCTCCGCCATCGTCGACGCGCAGACGCTCGGAGACAGCGTCATGGCCGGCAACGACAACGGCGCCACCATGGTGACCGAGAGCCTCACGGAGAGCGCCGCCGGTGACATGACCACGACGGACTCGGCTGCCACGGCTGACAGCGTCTTGGGCGACGACTCCACTAGTGACGCCTCGGACAGCGGCAGCGACGACAACTCCGTGTCGTCTACGGACGACTCGGCGTCGGTCGGCGACAGCGACAGCGACAGTGACAGCGCCACCACCGACTCGACCAGCGCCAGCGCCGATGCGGCCACCAGCCAGAGCAGCGCCGAGAGTGCTTCGGCCAGCAGCGACGCGTCTCGCACTGTGCTCGCGGCCGGCGCCAGTCTGCTGGCTGTCGCCGTCACGGCCATGCTGTAGAGAGGCTACCCACAGTATCTATGCGCCTTGAATTGAGTCAATACTTGTGCATCTGAAACCATGCTTTTGTTTGTTTGTTGCTTTGTCATTTGTGTCCTTGTCTACCTACTACTGTAGCTACCTAGCAATTGATGATCTCAAAAACTCCACATCGAGACTGGCGACAGATCGCTCAGGTGTATACGCCCATAAAGCTGCTCTTCCACTGTTAGTTGCTGAAGTCGAACGAGTTGCGTCTGCTGGGTGGGAATAGGTCCTCGTCGTTCAGCGTCTCCACGAACTCCTCCGTCTGCACGGGCGTCGACATGGGCGAAGAGACCATCGAGCTGGCCACCGAAGCTGTGTCGTCGTCCTGTCCGGGGCGCAGTAGATCCAGCTGCGATCTGGGCTTCCGCTTCTTCTTCTGCTTCTCCAGCTTCCGCTGCGCCTCCTTGTCGACCATCTGTGAAATGACGTCCACCATCTCCGTGTCCAGCGGGGCCGTCGACGCCCGCAGCGCGATCTCGATGAGCTTTGAGTGGTTCTTCTCCTCGTACTTGAACTTGCTCTTGAGCTCCTTGCGTTTCCGCGTCGGGAACAGCGTCGCCATCATCGAGAAGTTCGGACCCACCTGGCTGAGGCAGTAGTAGAACTGCTTTGTCTCCTCCTTGCTCCAGCGCTTGCCCGGGCCGTTCGGGTGTGAAGAATTGTACCGAGAACCCGAGTGTCGAGGCGGCAGACCCATGTGCTCCCCACCGACGCTGCCTTCGCCCAGAGCATCCGCCGTGCGCTGCAGCTCGTCACCCAACTTGATTGTGTTCTCCATGACGACCATCTGTCCATCCACAATCTGAACCTGCGGCGTCACAAGGGATCCAGCAAACGCAGCCGACTCCGATGACACTGACAGCGAGCGAACGCGGTTGAGCGCATTCACGTTCAGCAGGCTCGACGACGCTTCCGAATTCGACAGTAGTGGCGTGTCCGCGGCAGCTTCCTCGCGTTCGTGGCGCTTCATACGCCTGCCCTTGGGCACGGTGAGCGCCAACTCTCCCATAGTCATCTGCGATGGCTCCTTCTTGAGCAACTCCTCCATCTTGCTGCGAGGGATCAAACCAGCTCCGATGCCCGTAATAACTGAAGAGGTCGAGGACGCGTTCGAGTTGCTGCGCTTCCTGCGGACCGGGTTCTTCTTTTCACGCACGACCAGCGCCTGAGAAGTCTCTTCCTCTTTGTCACCCTCCTTATTCTCATCCTCATCCTTGCGCAGAAGTGATCTAGCCCACATTGTAGCTCGCTCACGTGCTGGCACATAAACCTAAAAGCAGTCAAAGAAAACATTAGTGAGAGGTACATCCAATCATCCAACCCACCAACCAGAACAAGCCGTCGACTTACGTTCATCTCATCCTCCGGCAGGTCAAGATCATCCGGGTTCACGTCTTCATCATGGTCGTCGTCCGGTTCGCTGCCCGAGGTGCTACTGCCGTCCGTCTCACGGTACGACTGCGAACGCTTGACCGTATTTCTCAACGACCGGCGCCGAGGCTTGGCGGATCCGGGACTGGTCTGCTCTGACGTGGTCTCACCCGTCTTCCGTCGCTTCACCGGCGCTGGCCGTGTCTTCTTCGCTGGAGCAGTCCTAGCACGAGTAGTCTTCGTCGCGGTGGCACGCCGCGACTGCTGCGAATCAAGCTGCACCTCTGGCACGTCCTTGCTGATCTCTGGAGCAGGCTTTCCGCCCAGCATCAACGGTGAGGCCGGGCCATCCTGGCTACGAAAGGTCTGTTGCTGTTGCTGCTGCATCGCCGAGCGTCGCGGCGACTGGTGCGGCTTAATGTCCAGCTTCCGAAGCAGTCTCTGTTTCATCGGGTTCGCTGCCGGCCAGCTTCCAATGCTCGCGCCACGCGGGCGCATCCCTGGCGAGCTGCCAATACTTCCAGCACGCGGACGCGCCGCCGGCGAGCTGCCGATACTGCCCGCGCGCGGACGCATCACCGGACTGGCACGATAAACTGGACCCGCCGACGTGATCTTCGCCAGTCTTTCGGGGCGCCGCTGCACCGGCAGCACAATAGGCGAGCGCACCGTCGGCACCGGCCGAGTCGCGGGGCTCTTGAGCACTGCACTCGGCGACGTCACCGACAGCGATCCACCAATGGCAATGCCGCCCGCGCGGCGCGGCTGAGCGGCAGTAGAAGCTGCAGCGGGAGTACTGGGGCTTGCACCTGCATTAATTGCAGCCGGCTTGGCTGCGGGCTTGGCACCTGCAGGCTTGGCTACACTCGGCGACGTGGCTACCGTCGGCTTGGAGGCTGCAATTCTGACGGTAGGGGCTGCCTTCTGCGCGCCTAAGGGAGGCGCCTTCTGCGCAGTGCTTGCGGGCTTCTCCGGAGTCTTCTTTGGCTGTAAAAATGTTAAAACAATGGTACACATGCGTTAATTCCAGGGTCTTTGCAGTAAAGTTTCTCGGGCTGCAGAGCTGCGTTTGACCTCGAACTTCGCACCTCTGGGGTATTCACCGTCTCGGCTTCATTGCTCTGGGGCTGGTCGCTCTCCGCGGGCGCTGGGCGCTTCGCTCTGGGCGCTGCAAGGCGGACAACATTTTAGAAAGGCGACACAAAAATTAGAATCTAGCGCCCTGCGGCCAATTCTGAGCGCGTTTCGGGCGCGCACGCACCGCTCGACGGCTTGGCGCGCGGCGCGATCGGCAGGCGCGACGGCTTGCGGCCCTTGCTCTTGACCAGCAGCGGCACGCGCGACGCCGAGGCCATGGGATGCGGACGGCGGCTCTTGTGCCACTTGGCGCCACGGAAAATGTATGGCGTTGTCAAACGCCGGCGCTGTGCTACCTGATTGGTGGAAAAAGGTCAGAAATTTCAGCGAATCATTCAGATAGACATCACTGCGAACGTCTGGGTACTTCTTCAACTTAGTGTAACGACGGCAAGACCAATTGCCTTCCTGCTATCAAGGAGCACGACGACCTAGCTACATGCGCATGCGCAGGTGATAAGCTTACTGAAAGTTGAATGGAAATAGTCAAACGGATCAATGCTGACACAGGCAGACCGATCCGCTGGATGATACGTTTTGAGGCTTGGCAAACAATGCGAGCGCAACCATAGATTAATTCGCTTGAGAGAGTAGCTCGACAAGCAAAATAAAATGGCATGTCTCTCAGTACAGCTCAGTGCTTTATTCTCCAAGACCACGCCCGCCTCACGAGCCAAATTCTCCAAGTACCATGAATTCCCCGACCTGCTTTGCTATCTTTCTGGCTACTGTAGCTGCCACAGCCATTCCTACCAACGGTTGCTCCTGTGTCGAATCATGCGGAAGTGGTTTCAGTGGCACCACGACTAATATCGCCGCCTGCTGGAAGATGCAACCCGGCCGTTTTCGACTGTGCTGCCAAGGCAGTTAGTTGCTTGTACTTGGCCCCGTCCAAGCCTTAACTGTTGCTACAGGGCTCGCTTGCGTTCTACCGCAACATTGGTGCTACCCCTCTCACAACATGAACAGCGCTTGAGGAGTGCACGAACCGGCTTATAAAAATAATTTCTACCGAATGCCAAAATATAATTTCTACCGAATGCCAATATATAATTTCTGATGATTAGTGCCAACACGGTGACCTCACGACGCCCGATTCTTGTAAACAGTCAATCATTTGCAACCACCTCCACCACCTCCACTATAAGTATACATGTAGCAGGTGTCGAGGACTGCCGCGGGGATGGAATTCTTGACGAGCCTTGCCAGCAGAGTCTAATATTTCCATCAGCGATTGGTCTAAATTCTTATAATTATTAGCGAATCGTTGACAAGTTAATCCGCGCCGATTGGCGGAAAATTGCCGCCCAGTGAAAACTGGCCACAACGCGTTGAATAGCTAAGCAAGACCGGCAAGACTCGTGCAGAGCGACCCCCTCTCTCTCCCTGTAGACGAACGATGGCAGACATGGACCCGGTGGCCCGTGCACGCGAGATCGCGGCGCGTCTGGCGGCGGCGGCCATTCCGGGCGGCGACGCTCTGGGCAAGCGCAAGAGCCGCTGGGAGGTGGGGCATTTTACGCGCGGTTTTAGAGACACCGGAGGGTGCTTTTAGCTGATTTTTTTTCGTTTTGGTGTGATCTATTTTTGTGTTCTGTTTTGTGCCAGGGTGACGGTGAGTTTTTTTGATCCCGATAGTTGAAGTTTCTGATATTTTTGTGACGAGCTAACGAGGATTTTGTGTCTTTTTGTGCTGCAGTGGACGGCGGCGTGCGTCCGGCACCCGGCATGGGTGAGAAGAAGCGCAAGAAAGTGTACATCCCTGTGGACAAGTATCCGGACATTAACTTCATGGGTACGCGCGCGCGGACTATTTTCTTTTTTATTTATTTGTCCAAGGTACCGGACGCAATTGCTAATTTATTGTGACTTTATGTTGCCAGGCCTGCTGATCGGTCCTCGCGGATCTAACCAGAAGCGCATGGAGGACGAATCGGGCGCGCGCATCTTGATTCGCGGCAAGGGTTCGTCCAAGGACCCCACGGGCGACCCGGACGAGAACGAGGAGCTGCACGTGCTCATCACGGCCGACACGGACGAGGCTGTGGCCAAGGCACAGAGCGCCGTGGAGGACATTTTGTTCAACCCGCAGCAGGCGATGAAGCTCAAGCAGGAGCAGCTGCGCAAGGTCGCGGAGCTCAACGGCACGTTGAACGATAACTACGGCGGCCCGAGGGATGGCGACAGCCACTCCGGTGGCGGCAACGCCCACTACGGCCCCGGAAGCAGCGATGGACAGTCGTCGTATGACATGAAGGTGCCCCGTGAACTGGTGGGATACATTATTGGCCGCGGCGGCGAGACGATCCGCGACCTGCAGATGAAGAGTGGAGCTCACATTCAGATCGTCCGTGAAGAGGAGGGAGCCCCGCAGACTCCGGACCGTTTTGTAAACATCACGGGCAACCAGGATGCGCTGGATCTTGCGCAGAGACTCATCCAGAACCTCATTGACGAGCGACAGCAGAACCAGGGTGCCGGTGGTTTCCGCGAGCGTGACGACCGTGACCGCATGGCGCGCTACGGCGGCATTAACCCGGACGGCACCGACTCGGTGGAGCTGCTCGTGCCGAATGAGCGTGTTGGACTGATTATTGGCCGTGGTGGTTGCACGATCAAGGCTATTCAGCAGCGTACGGGCACGAGCGTAACCATTCCGCAGACGCCGGACCCGAACCACCCCGATATGCGTCTGATCACCATCCGAGGCACGATGGAGGCGAAGGAGGCTGCCAAGTTCGAGATTCATTCTATGATTAACGAGGAGCCGGGCCAGCGTCATGGCTACGGCATGGCTTCGGGCCAAACCATTTACATGCAGGTGCCCAACGACCGAGTGGGTGTTATCATCGGCAAGCGCGGAGAAACGATCAAGGGCATTCAGGACCGCCACGCTGTGCGCATTCAGATCCCGCAGGTGCCGGACCCGGGCTCGAACCCGCCCGTGCGTACCATCTCCATTCAGGGTCCGCCTCAGAACCTCACTGGGGCGAAGGAAGAGGTCGACATGGTGATCTTGCAGGGTGCTGGCACTCATGGCTACGGTGGTGGCGGCGGTCGCTATGGAGGCGACAGCAGCTACGGTGGATCTGGGAGCTATGGAGGTCAGTCTGGCAGCTACGACCAGCAGCAGCAGCAGTATGGCAGCTACGGAGCTCAAGGTCAGCAGGACCAGTACGCTGCGTACTACCAGCAGCAGGGTCAGCAAGGCCAGTACTACCAGCAGGACGCCTCTGCGTCTACAACGGCAGCGGCTGCTGGCGGTGAACAGGCGGCTGCAACCACCGCCGACCCGAATGATCCGAACGCGTACTGGAACGGCTACTACGAGTACGCCGCGTACTACGGCGTCGATGCGGCTAACGCGGCGTGGGGTGTCACCGGTGCTGCTGCTCAAGCTAGTGCCGAGGCGTACCAGCAGTACCAGCACCAGGCTGGCGTGGCTGCTGGCGCCGATGGTGCTGCCGCCGCTCCAGGTGATGCCTCCTCTGCTCCGGGCGCCGATGCCGCCTCTTCTACTACTGCTAGCGATGCCGCCACGCCCTCGACCGCACCTGATAGCGGTGCTGACTCGACCCCCGCAAGCGCACCTTCACAGGTTTGTTGAGTGCATTATTGTGTGATTGTTTGATGTGCGCCCATCGATCTCGATGCCTCTATTTCGCTCGATCATTGGTCGCTCGTTTGGCTTAAACGCCAACGAGTCGATCCACGCGTATTTGTATGAAATGGTGGCTGTACGAGGTGTGGTTGGCGACGAGCACGAGGTGGCGGTGATGCTCTTGTTGGTGATGTGGTTGTTGATGATGTGCTCTGTTCTTGTTCCTGTGATGGTTTGGTCCCTGGTCCTTGTGCTGCTATGTTTCGTGATTCGTTACTGCTCAAAAGACGCAAGGACCCCCAGGTACGGCATAAGGCTTCTTCGTTTTGCATTGATCGACTGGATTGCGCTATTGAAGACGGAGGACGGTGAGCAAGCGCATGAACAAGGCAGAAGATTGATGCTGGGAGGAGGTTGAAGAGCAGGGTGACAAGAGGGCGTTTGCAGCGTAGTGGTTGGGTGGGATGAGGATGCTGTTTGTTGTATCTCTGGTTGTTGCCAAAGCTGAGCTGAGCTGTGCTGGATCGGACTGGTGAGGCTTCATACAAGAAACTGCGTCTCAAGCTTGCCGGATTTCTTCGCGAAGGACAGGTAGGCACTGGAGAGGCCATGACATGACAGGGCACGGATACTATCGCACACCAGCACACTCGTTATGAATGCAACGCTTGTTGCTCTATTGCTTTGGGAGGTACCGTGGGTGTCTGGCTGGGTTAGCAGCACTGTTATTTGTGTGATTTACAGGACATTTCAGGAACAGGAAGGGGAGGAACGTCTTCTGTCGGTGACGCCAAGACTCGCGAGAAAGGTCTTGACTTTCTTCGCTTCGCTTGCGGTGGCCAGGGCGATTCGAATCCAGTGTTGCGCGTTCTTGGGGTTGTAGTCGTCGCCGAACTGCTCGAGAACTCGCGACAGTCGGAAGCGGAAGCTATGGTCTGCCATGGTGACGGAGGCGTGCAGCATGTCGCGGTAGTACATGATCATGAGCACCTCCTTGGCTTCGAACGGATGCTGGAACAAGTACGTGCAGCGGTCGGACGCGAAAGTGGCTGGACACGGAAAGCGACACTCGAGTTTGCCGACGGTGAGTCCGATGGTGGTGGCCTGGAATGCGAGCTTGTCGTGGCTGAGGTCGGTGTGCGCGTGGCTGCTGGAGGACGCGAGGGTAGGTACGTTGGAGCGGCCCGGCAGGTTGTAGGTTGTCGCGAGCTGGGCGGTGATCGCCTGCGCTCCTTGTGAAATGGTCTTGAGCTGTTCGGACAGCGACGGTCGCAGGCTCGGCGAAGGAAGAGGCCGTCTGAAGCCGGTGCTAGCTATTCGAGCTCTGCGCGGCGGCGGTGTCTGATCTTGCTCGAGTCTCGACGCTGCTGCTGTCAATAGAGTTGTCGCTGGAGGCTGTACAGCTAGAGGTGGTGTCGATGCTTGAACGCCGGCCGTGGACTCTGAGCCTAGGCATCGGCGGGTGGATCGGTACAGCACGTACTGAGGAAAGGTCTCGCCCTTGAATGGCGTTGGCGCCGTCGCAGCCATTGCAGCTTTCACGGGCATTTGCGACGTGGGGGGATCCGATCCCAAGTGCACGGCTTGAGTGGCGTGTTGGTGGCCGACGGCGCTGAGGAGCGAACAGACTTTCCACCCGCAGCTTACTAACACGATCTCATGGGTCACACACACGAGGAGCTCCCAATGGAGTGGAGGATGTAGGTGTCCGCTAAGAACGACACTAAAAATACGCCCTCGTCTTCGCAGGAGACTTACGCAGCGCTAGAGTAGATATCTTCTACGAAGGCTGTAACACGGCTATCAGACAGTAGCGAGAGATCAGCGCAAGAAAGAGAGAGAGAGAGAGTTGAGCCCTACAAGTGAGTGACTCGGTTGATATCAGCGCAACAACACGTGGGGCTGTTCGTGCTCAGGGCTGTAATGGTCCCACCTTGCGAAAATCTTATTTGTGCGAAACGCACATTACATTGCGTCCGTCGACACCCGCCAGCATCAACTCGTTGCGTCGGCCCGAAGGCGCAACAGGGCAACAGGTGTCATTGTGGACGAGCAGATACTTGAGCCGCCGTCACCGCGTTCAAGCGCATTCGCACTGTCGAAAGACGAGAGAGCGAGAGACTGTTGCACTTTGACTCGTCGCGCGGCGCGAAAAGATCGTTGCGTACCGACCGGACCTGACCGGGACCCCGGCCAGGACGAGGATGTTCACCCACTCACCCACCTACCCTGGAGGATGCAGGCTCAAGGATGTGAAGTGCGGCCCGAGTGGGTTCACCGATCTGCTGCGGCCGTGGGCCCGGGAAAGGATTTTTCCCTCTGCTGTTTACGTCCGAAGGCGCGGCTGCAGTTTGCACTGCACTGCGTTGCAGTGCCTGCCCATCAAAATACTCACAAAGTAAAATCGTTCGTCACCTCCATTTTATATTTTACCGGTCTTGCACTGAGGGAGGCAATGATATCTGCCGACACTTTAGATACAAACTTGGTGGCAAGACAAAGCTCACTCTTCCTTTGTTGCTGTCTGTGTGTGTGGGGTGGGTCCGGTCTAGTTAGTGTCTGGACATGCTCCGGAATTGGCTTTTCGGTTACCAACGGTGGCCCGTTTCGAGCATTACTCACGCTGCCTCCTTCCTGTCATGTCCATTCCGTATCGCAAGTTCCGCCCTGTGATTGGCTCATCTGGACCTCCGTCCCGAATCAAACGGTGCAGTGCCCATACTGGTCTGTTCCCTGCGCACCGTTCTTTGTGGACCAGACCAGCCCACCTGTCGCTGCCGAGACTCGAGTCGAGTCGAGTCCCCCCCCCCCTCTCTTCACAAGCCATTAGAGAACGAGGCATCTCGGTCCATTTACTCAGCCCTCTACCCTTCGGATTAGCGCCGCCAACGCTAAACCGGAGGCAGTACAGCGCTAACTTTTCCGCCCATGAGCACGGCCGCCGCCATGCCGCGCGAGCTCTCGGCCGCCGAGCAGGCCGAGGCCGAGGCCCAGCGCGCCTGGGAGAGGGAGATGGAGCTCGCCATGGAGAGCCGCGGGCGCACGCGCAGCCGCTCCATCCTCGCGGACGACGAGCCGCAGCGCAAGGACCCCGAGGAGCTCGCGTACGACGCGCGCCGCTCGCGCGCGCGCTGCTTCAGCTCGCGCGAGGTGGGCGCGGAGGACGCGGACGCGCGCGTGCAGGAAGAGGCCGACGCGGACGCGCGCTCGCGCCGCAGGAGCTGCTCGTTCTCGGCGCTGGAGCCGCCGCGCGGCCTCGCGCGCGAGGAGAGCGAAGACGAAGACGGAGAGGAGGACGCGGCCAAGCGCGCGGCGTCGCTGTCCAAGATCTACCTGGCCGGCTCGGCGCCCGTGGACGTGTCGAAGCTGCAGGACGACAGCAAGATCGTGGGCGTCAAGAAGGTGGAGGTGGTGCAGCCCACGGGCGCGCTGTCCGCCGCCGCGCTGGACGCGCTGTCCGAGGGCCTGCAGCTGAGCGTGGACAACAGCCCCATGCCCCCCACGGACACGCAGCTCACGGAGGAGCAGCTGGAGGAGAAGAAGATGGAGGAGGAGGAGGACCACAAGCTCAAGGCCGAGAAGCTGTCCGCGCGCAGGTCGCTGTCCGTGCGCGCCTCGATGTTCCGCAACAAGATGTTCAAGAGCACGTCCAGGCTGCTCAACAGCGAGGAGGGCGTCAAGCAGCAGGCCGCCAGGGCCAGCGTGGCCGCGGACAAGCTCACCGCGGAGGTCGTGGCGGACGCGGTGCCCGTTGCGCCCAAGAAGAAGCACAAGCTCAAGCTGCTGCTGCTCGGAGATAGCGGTACGTGGGTGATGAATGGAAAGGAGTGGACAGTAGAGAGAGGAGAGGCGGATACTCATGTGGATTTTTGCTGTGGACAGGCGTTGGTAAGACGAGTTTGATGCGCGTGTTCTCCGGAGACGAGTTCTCCGAGTCGATGCTGGCAACCGCTGGGTACGTTGTGCCGTATTGGTGGATGCTTGTTGCACTGTGTTTAACGATTGTTTATTCTACTTAACTGCAGTGTGGATTTCAAGCTCCGACATATTAACGTCGCGGACGAGGCGATCACGCTTCAGATTTGGGATACCGCAGGTCAAGAGCGCTTCCACCGCATCACTGCTAGTAAGTTAAGGGGTTTGGGATTAATGCGCTACGCATGACGTGGATATCTAACGCTGGTGTTTGTTTTACAGCATATTACAAGGGCGCGAATGGTATTGTTCTGGTGTACGACGTCAGCGATAGACGAAGCTTCGACAGTACGTGACTGTGGACCTTGCGTTTCCTCGTTGAGAAAAATGAGGAATACTAATCGCGGTGCTTGTGGTTGCAGATGTGGGCTACTGGATGAACAACATCCGCCAGTACTCGACCCCGACACAGATGCCAGCCATGTTGCTCGTGGGGAACAAGATCGATCTGCCGAACCGCGTAGTGTCGCTGGAGGAGGGCCAAGCGGCTGCAAGCCAGTACGGCTGCCGATTTATTGGTACATTTGGCGGTCTACAGCAGGAATTGGCGCGGCCATGTCGTCTAACGAATTTCCTCTTTGTTGTGCTATTGCAGAAACGAGTGCTAAGACGTCAGAGAACACTAATGGAGCGCTGGAGACTATTGCGCGCGACGCCTTCCTCATCAGCGTCAATCGTAAGTATCTCCATCGATCCTGCCACGGAAATGCTGCGCGAATAACTGCTCTAACCTGTATACTTTTGTCTTTGCCTGTGTAGCTGCACTTACCCAGAAAATGGTAATGGACCGGGAGAAGACGCTGGCTGGGCGCCGCAACAAGGAAAACTGCGTCATCCAGTAAAGAGACCGACGCCGTTCTCGCTTTCACACCCGTCCCCCCCTGGGAGGACGGACCCCACATTTTCCACGACAAAAGTCAACTCTTTCCGAGCACCCCCACAACAGAGGTTGTACCAGCATGCCGACTCGCCGTCTCACTCGGCGCAGCGACGAAGTAGACGAGGCAGCGGCGACTTGGCAGCGAACACAAGACACGAGCGACACACGAAGGCGCGCGGTGTGCATGCATTCCGCCCAAACCGGCCTGAATCCCATCAACAACACCCCCCGCCACTCAGCACGAAACAATACCTGAGAGCAAAAGGACGACCGACAGACAAAAGAGAGAGCGAGTGCTGCCAAACTTCAGGGGTAGACAAAGGCCGAACGGAGCACACACTGGCAGGCCGATATTTAACCGATTGCGGCTGACACGAAATATTAACAACTCGCAGCGTACACCGACCGAGTCTCTAATTGCTGTAAGTTAGGCGCCATTCTACTGCTTGTCGGCCGCGTCGTCTCGCGTCTGCACGCGCGAGCGCAGGAACTGCTCGGCCTCGGCCTTGCGCTCCGGGTTGTTCATGACCTCCATGAAGTCGCGCGTCTGGCGCACGCGCGCGCGGTACGCAGCGGAGCAGAAGACCCTACAATGACAATGCGTTAGCGTTAGAGGATGAGACATCGATAGGGTGCCACGACTTGGGTGGGTGACGCGACGCACCAGGAGCCGCAGCTGACCAGGCCGAAGGTGAGGACGGCGGCGTCGCAGGACGTGCGGACGCCTCGAGTGGTGCGGAAGCGGTGGCCGCCGATGAGGACGGCCGTGGCGATGCCCCACATGAGGCCAGTGCGGAAGCACGGAGGGTTCTTGAGCACCACGTCGGTCGACGAGGACGAAGACGAAGACGAGGAGCTCATTTTGGTGGAGACCGAAGTGGAGACCGTGAACTTGACCGACAACGACGTCCGCACGTTTTATTTGGTTGGTGACGGACCAATCAGAAGGCTGTATTATTATTGCGTTTTTATCTTCTCCTTCCTGTTGGAAAATTCTCCAGCGGCAGATAATATTTACTGTTTCAGCAGAATTTTAGCAATTTTAGTTTTTTTTAAAACAAAATAACACCGCCTTAAACAATAGGGCAATAAAGACGCAAAACTAACGTATAATGCAGCGGTAAAAGTCAATTCGCGCACGTTATTTTATGCGCACTTTTCTAACTGCCAAATAGATTTCCCCTTGAGTACATTAGTTTCCTGAACAAACACTGGAGGGCCAGTACCGTACTAACTGGTTGCTAAAGGACTACTTCAATCAAAACAAATAGCCCTTTAGTGACCTACCATTATATACTAGAGGTTTGGACTGGTAGTGCATATTTCAAGCACTTCAGTCCTGCCTGCCCTTCAATAGAGGTCGGCGCGCTCACAACGACGACTCGAAGTGCTGAAAGTATTTGAAAGTATAATTTGGAGTATACTTGCACGCATCCGCGTTGAACGCGGTTGAGTGCTTGCCGTAGTGGCTGGCACTTTGCAATGCAGCGCACTAAGTCACTTGTGTATTAAATAAACTGAGAATACAATACGCCGACTACGCATTATAGAAACACTATCGATACTATACGCAGCATCTGCGACTGGCAGCAGCAACCACCAGCCATGCTGATCGTCATGTTCATGAGGCGCACCACAGGGACGCTTTCGAGAAGCGCGGCTGGCGCAGTGGTATTTCACGATGCTGGCACTCTTGACTGACCGGCTTCGAAAGTCGACACCACTGAGGCCGCCCGCTCGGGCGTGAACCACAAGGAGTACGATGGATCGGCGCCCGTGGTGTGGAACGCGTCGTGTACGAGGTGATCAACGACCAGTTAGGCTCGAAGCGGGTGCTTCTCGTGGTGCTGTTGGTGCTGGGGTCTTCGGAGGTGGCGCTGGCGGTCTTGGCGGCGCGCCGCGAACACGTGGCTCACCTCGCTGTTCACCACCAGACCGCTGTCGTTGGTCTCCACCGAGCTGTCAAACTTGCCGTGTACTTGAACAGGCGAACGGGTTGTTGATTCTGTTGACTTGGACGAAGCGGCATAACCTTTCAGATAAAAAAATCGATGTATTTCCTCATACAGTCCGAAAACTTACTTTGTGTCAGTTCATATCGAGTGATTTTGACTACAATAGATGGTTCCAAAACAAGTTCGGAAAATGGTGAGCGATTAAGACTACGGACCTTTCCTTTGGGATTTCGCACTGAGTGATTTGGACTAGGTTCGATGATCCGCAGAAAATTTCTGTGATTGGTCTAGACTACGGATCCTTCCTTGACGACAAAGAAGCAAAACGACCACAATCTAAAAGAGCTGGGCTCGTCCTCAGTTCAGCTTTTTCGGTCGCCGCAGCAGCCCCCCCCCCGTGCTCACGGTAAAAAACTCCGCTGCTGTGGCGCCGAACTAGCTGGACTCGCACCGCATCGGGACTATCACCACCTGTACATCGCCGCGCTACCTACCGAGCCTCGCTTCATCATCTTGCCATCGCTCATGCTATCGTAGGTGCACAGGGCTGAGTTTGTATTAGACTTCAGCATTATTCTATCTTGGTAGCAGCGCGCCGAACACCCTCCGCGCTTTAGTAGATAGATCAAATATCGCTGCATAAACCACTAGCATACCAACTAGAACACCGAGCATTCTGCTATCGGCAAAGACCCTCTCGGAGGAGTCCTCCTTCATCCAAACATTTCGTACTTTACCCTTAATATATGGAAACGAATATCCTACTCAACTAGTTTGCAACTCCACCGAAAAAACCGCTACTTTTCCGTGAATCTCAAGAAACCATGCGATTTCTGAAATTATTAACCGATTTTACTTGATTTCAGTATACTTTTACTTCATGTCGCCACATATCAGGTGCATCGAATTAATCCTGGTTGGGCTGTCCATACTTCGTAACCGAAGCACTACCAGGAAAATGTAGATATGCAGCCGTGAAAGTTGACAAAATTGTTCGAAAAAAAATAATCGAAGTGCGTGCAGTCAAGTTGTAGAGGCACTCTGTCCGGGGTCACATTTTCCGTAACAACACGAGTCCCAGGCACTGGAATCCCAGTATGCTTATCTTTTTCTGCTTTTAATGCTCTCCAAACTTCATATCTTTATCAACACTTTCAGCAGACTACTTTTTTTTAACGTCACGTGCGCTAATGGGCATTTGTCAGTAAATTTGCCCCATCTTCCAGATTTCCCAAGATCTTCAATAGAGGCGTCACAATATCCGTTGTGCTGAGCACAGCGCTGGCTTGAGCATTTGCTTCGTCCCATTCGAAGCGCGTTGTGGTAGTGGACACCACGAGTTGCTGCCCCAACAGTTTAGCTGCCAAAGGAGACCACAACTCTCTGTTGATGAGATGCGGGAATGTGTTGCGCACCGTTTGCTCTGAAATCGTGACAAACCTATCACCACCACCGCGTCTCCGTCTGCATAATTCAAGCTCACAAGCTGGACTTTCAAGTCTTGGTAGCGTACTCGAAACCATTCCCATTCGGCAAGCAGCATCGACACCCCGAATCCGGAATTAGTAGCGACGTTCGGCGTCATGCTTACTTCTAAGAAGCACTTCTGCGCATGGAATTCCTCGGTAGCTTCGTTGCTGGCGCCTGTTGCGACGACCAGAGGCTTCAAGCCGTTGCGGAAGAGAGAAAAATATTCTGCCACGACTTACCACGACGTTGGCTGTGTCGGAATCCCGGAGATAACAAGCTGGCGATGTTGCTGTAGCTTCCGGATTTCACCGTCAAACCGCGCGACTTGTTCCTCACACGTCGTCTCCAGTCCGGAGAGTTTCTTTCGGTAGCGCTGCTGGTAAATGCGGCGCCTGGTTCGATGCGCTGCACGCTCCTGCTCTTCGACACTCAGTGGCTTTGAACCGCTACACTGGACTCTGGATGGACGGTCATTAGTCGACAGGTGATGTGCGTCAGTACGACGGTCGAGTAATCCTGGGACACTTGGAAGATGCTGGCTTGTGACTGTCGTCCGACGAAAGGACCATTTGGGTACTATTGGATGCTGAATTGACGTGCTGCAGCACGTCTCCAATAGTGGTGTCTTCCAGTCGATCACCGTGCTGGTATTCATGGCGAATTGGCGGGGGGGCTTGACTTGGGTTGGACGAGTCGAATGGCAGAATGAAGCCTTAAGGTTTACTCTCTTGGTACCGCAGAAAGGAAATGTGATCACGAACGAACAATTTACCTTGCGGTAAGGACAACCACTTATGACTTGTTTACATAGCTTTGAGCCTGCTTGATGGGCTAAGAGAAAACACACGGCTTTTTTCATGCACCTTGCTTATAACACATGTAATATTATACTTCATACTTGAACAGTGTACCGTCGACACCGCATGAATTTGCATGAATACTGTAAGTGCATCCGCTGACAACAACAATGATGCATTCCGGGAACGCCGATAAAATGCATCAATTTCGAAGTATAGCATAGAAACGGACCAAGTGAATGCTGCTCGTTAAAAAGAAAGGAGGTCGGATTTTCATGTGTGTAGTGGATGCCGAGGTTCAGTCACCTTGGTTTCACCGCAGCCGACTCCATGGCTACAACAGGTGACCCTAATGTCCGTCTATCAGTTGACGAGAATGGGTACACCACTCATAGGCCGGACAGACGGTAAGTGTCTGCTCCGGTATGCTTCCTGCATATCTTTGAACTTGCATGCCCAACTGCACATTTATTTGGACAGAGTCCAACGGAGCTGGTTACCATCAGTCTCTGGTCTCACTCCTGAATCTTCTATCTATCGATTAATACACTAGGCATCCGTTCTCTGCGGGTTAGCCCCCCGCATCGACCTGTGTTGATTGACTCTGAAGCCCTTCAGATCCGGGACCCACTACAATGTGTACATACCATTTTGAACGCCACTAGGTTGAGACTAGCATAATGTGAGGCGCGCTGCGAGCCTCGCAGTAACCTCTTGACTGGTGCTTCCAGCATTCCTACCAACATGTAATTATTCATCATTGTTGCCAGTAGATGTGTTTATTTACGTTGCAATATGCAAATTCATGCGAAGTCGACGGGTATTAAGTAAATAGTGTAGAACATCTATACGCTAAAACATTTCGAACTTTTTTACTTAATATTATTTTTAAACATCAATTTTAATTAATTAATACTATTTAAAAAAAGTTCTTCTTGCTGCTGAACTTCGTACTGGGTAGCTTCAAAATGTTTCGCCGTAGATATTGCCCGCAGGCGCTACGATCATTGAAAAACTCCAACTACCAATTCACTATGGGAAGAGGTATTTTAATTTTGAAAATGTCACTGTGTTGATAAAATCGGAATTTAGTGGAAAACAAACGACCACATTGCGCTAGGTTGTTGTCATTTTTGCTTAAATCCCAGAGGACGCCCCAGTCTTCATTTGCGCTCGGGATCGAGTGCTAACTTCGGCCATATTTCAATACCTTTGGAGCAAATTGTTATTTTCGCTGGGAAACATACCGTCACCACACCGGCAGAAACAGAAAGAAAGCACAGTGCGAATGTAGTTGGCGATAAAACTCACCGGCATAACAGACACGTACGCGAGCAAGCTACTTAAGTCTATTTTAGAAGCACCGTTTTTCTCGGAAAAACGGTAGCAGAAAACACGTCGGTGGACCCCAATATTTGTCGGTGTTGTCACGTATGTCGTTTTGGCATTCGTCGACAGGTAAAGGTGAGCCCTCACACCGCTCTTCCGGAAGCAAAGTCAATGTCACGTAAAGCTCAACTCGAGAAGATGAAGCATGAGGAGCACTGCGCGCTCACAAAGGCCCTTGTTGACGGAGGAAAGTATATTTATGGCCATTTGACTATCGCTTGAATCAGTCTACAAAACTTGCTTAGAAGTTGCATTGTGAAGTAACTCCTTCAGTGCTTTGCACGTTGCCAGTGGAGTTTCGTGTTTCTCCCTACCAAGCCGTTGCTAACAGAGAGGTTTCTTCATCACGCGCGCTACGTCCTCTAAGTTTCCCAAAATCTTCAGTAGCGGTGTGACGATGTCGTTTGTGCTGTAAACGCTATTGATTCGACCATTTGCTTCGTCCCATTCGAAGCGCGTGGTAGTCACCACCACGAGTCGCTGCCCCAACAGTAGCTGCCAACGGAGACCATTCCTCTCCATTGATGAGATGCGGAAACGCGTTGCGCAGCGTTTGCTCTGAAATCGTGACAATCCGCTGACTGATCGCCCTCACTGCGTCTCCGTCTGCATAACTCAAGCTCACAAGCTGGAGCTTCAAATCCGGGTAGCACACTCGAAGCTGTTCCCACTCTGCGAGCAGCGTTGACACTCCGAACCGGAGTTGGTAGTGCAAATTAATCCGAGGTGCAACGAAGTGAACAAGGATAATTAGTTTTCCGAATGTAGGAAGGCTCAAGAATCCAACTCACTACCAGCGGGCTGAAACCAGATAAGACCTGCAAGCATCGACAAACGATCAAGCGAGACAGCGCACTCTGGATCTGGCCCCGCAAAACTCAAGCAACATGCTGACACGAGTCGCGCTCACTTCGTGAAGGCCAGACCGGAGCGGCCGTGGCCGGAACAACCCCAAGCTTCAGGCCATCGGCTCGCTAGCCAAAGTTCAATAGCAACACGTGCTCTATTTAAAGCCCAGGGCTCATACTAAGTTCTAACATTTGACGTGTTTCTACAGTAATACTACGCAACTATGGCGTGCACCACGATGCCTATCGCCATGTCACCCCATGGACGCACTTTCACGCGGGTACCGTCTTCGTCGCTATGCACAGCTCCGCTTCGCAAGGTTCTCGGCACGAAACGGCCTATACACGGATGCACATAAGCTACCCGATTTAACGAGGTCGGCAAGATGCATCAGCACCTTGCAGGAGCTGGTGACGAGCAGACGTCCATCCCTCCAGCGGCGATGTCAGCCTCAACGTTCAGATGCAACGAGGGCCACCGGAGCGACCACCACAGCTTCAGCGACTATGATGACAAAGACGACGGTGTCGACGAAGGGTACCAGCAATTACCAGAGCTGCGTGCCGCTCAAGCAATTACCGCGATCTCTACCCCCACACTGCTGCTGCACTTGATACGTCGGTCACTCCAAGGCAAGCTCGACGTTATGACTGCAACGAGAAGCTACTACTTCGACATCGACACGACGTGCTTCTACTTCGACATCGACACGACGTGCTTCTACTTCGACATCGACACGACCTGCTACTGCTTCGACTTCGACACGACCAGCGCGACCAGCTACTACTTCGACTTCACTGTCAGCACATGCTGGACGAGAAGTTACTATTTCGACATTGACGAGACCCGCACGACCAGCTACTGATTCGGCAACGCAAGCTACTCGAGCAGTCACTACTTCGACTTCGACGCGACCTCAATGGCAGCAACTACTTCGACTTCAACATGCGCTCTGCGGCCAGCTACTGCAACAACGTCAACTCGAGATGTTACTGCTACGACTATACCGCGAGCTGCACAGGCAGCGACAACTACGCTTTCAACCCTCGCCGCTCGAGGAGCGACTACTACGTCAATTCGAGCTCCACAAGCAGAGACAACAACATTAACCAGCGCGCGACGAGCAGCGTCGCCGATTTTAGCACAAGCTGCACGAGCAGCATTCACGACTTCGACACGATCCGTATCAGCAGCTACGACAAGACTAACGCGACATTACCAGTAGCGAACATGACGCCAACACGCACAGCATGAACAGCTACCACTTCGGCATGACCAGTAACCGTACGAACGGCTACTATGATTCCAACACGCGCTGTTCGAGCTTCGACTACGACATCAGCTTCGACATTAACTCGGGCTTCACGAGCAGCCTTTATTATGCATCCCCCGCGAGCGGCACAAACGGCATCTACGGACCAGGCGCTATACAAGCATCGACTACGACATCATTGTGTGCTTTTCAAGCGGTGACTAATCCACATCCGGGAGCTGCACGAGCAGCCCCTACCATTGCACGAACGACGACCGCGCGAGCCGCTCCTATTACGACATCAGCCGCGATGCACGAGCAGCGACTACTACGATTCAATTCGGGCCTCAAGCAGCATCCACTACGACATCACACGAGCTGCACGAGCAGTAACTAGGGCATCATCACGAGCTACACGGCAGCAACTACGACATGATCAGGAACTGCGCAAGCTGCTTTTCCTACGCCATCACCGCGATCTGCACGAGCGGATTCTCCGACCTCAGCACGCGTTGCATGGGCAGCTTCTACGATCGCAACACGCAGCACCTGTGCCGACGACATCAGAGCGAGCAGCAGGGGTCGGAAAAAATAATAACAAACCAATTATTATGGTATTGTCCCACTACAATTTTTTATTATTGGAAGTTCATGAAACCAATACAATATGATATTGTCCCAATAATAGCAATACAATATCAAATACTATGCATTCTGGGGTTGGGCGTTCATAAATGATGAAAACGCTATAATAAACTATTATAATCTCTATTTTTCGAGTCGAGGACACAGCCTTGGGTTGCGAGGCTTTTGTGGGGCAAGCAGTGTATACTCAATAGCGCTTTGCCGGACAGCAACGTTTCCCAAAACCGTCCTGGAAACAGTACACGGCTATTGTAATCGTCATCAGCCTCCACCTGTATTTTCTCACGGTATAGGTTGGCCTGACACCTCAGTAATAGTTCGAGTCCAGCCATGGGACGTTTGCGTAAAGTTCGGGTGAAGTTTGCAGCCTTCCTGTCACATTTTGGCAATGAATAGCTCATGTCACGAATGGTACAATATACTTAAATTGTACCAATTATTATTATTGGTTGCCCTCATATTGCCGTTATAATTACTGCAGCTTTGGCCTCGCAATACAATTTCATACTGTATTGTCCGACCCCTGCCGAGCAGCGACTTCAATTTCGACATCATCCCGATCTGCACTGGCAGCGACTACGACTTCGACACCAAGTGCGAGCGGCACGAATAGCTTCTACGAGTTTGGTACACGCTGCACGAGCAGCTTCGACTACGATCTCAACACATCGCCGCGAGCTACATGAGCGGCCCCGCCACGATTCCAATACGCGATGCATGAACAGCCACTGGTGTGACATCAACACGGCAACAGGAGCCGCCCGAGCGGCCCTTACTACGATATCGATTCGGGCAGCACTAGCACGACTTCAACACGGACGTCTTCAACGGGAACCGTACAAGCTGATTCTACTACAACCTTGAACATGCTTTGCACGAACTGCAACTGCTACGGTTCCAAGGCGGCAGCTACTAACTACTACGACCCAACGGGAGCCGCACGAGCCGCTCCAACTACGACTTCAAGACGCGCTACGCGAGCAGCTACTACTACTACGACCAAATGGTAGCCGCACGAGCCGCTCGTACTATGACTTCAACATGTGCTGCACGAGCAGCATCTACGATTCCGACAACGGGGGCCGCACGAGCCGCTCCACTATGATCTCAACACTTGCTGCACAAGCAGCTACTACTACTGAACCCAAGAGGAGCCGCACGAGCCGCTCCTACTAAGACTCCAACATGAGCTGCACGAGAAGCGTCTATGATTCGGACAACATCGCGATCTGCACATGTAGCCTCTACACGACTTCGACATCCACGCGAGATGCAACGAGCATCAACAACATCATCGCGTACTGGACGAGCGGTTTCAACGACGACACCGCTGCGAGCTGCTACCACACAACACGAGCTGCACGCGCAGCTTCGTCGACTGTAACCGGTGCTGCACAAGAAGCTATTGCTACGAATTCAATGTAAACAGCACGATCAGCTTTGACTACGATACCACACCGAGCTGCCAGATCAGCGTCTACTATGACATCGACTCGGTTCCGCCATACACGTGCACTCGTAGTCGCCCAGCTATTCTGGCTTAGCTTGCCTTCCTAACTATGGGACTTGAGCACCTTTGAAAATGAGCACTCAACTCGATGAATTCTTGTTTGTTTTGCATGCTGTAAAAGGGAGAGGCGTCTCCTTCCCTTCCTCTTCCCCCACAACGCAACAGTACGCGGTTCAAACAAATTTTGAGGCCAGGACCCCCCAAACAGTACACCTATTATTAGCAAATGCATCATTACGAAATGTGGTCCATTCCACCCTGTGTCACCTGGTGATAGGCTACTGTACAGTGCAAAGCGCGTGTAGCCACGGGTAGAGTCATCAAGTATGACATTCTCCAGATTTTGCAGGACATCGATCTGGCTCACGAGCATAAGCGCAGGACGGAATGTCCTGTATTTTCCAAATCGAAACATCCCGGCGTCAAATCCTACACAAAATCTAGTATTATTGGCACAAGCTTGGCAAAGTCAATCTTTAGTGCTTTTGCAGGACAACATGTCCTGCAAGATTCGCTGCATTGCGGATGCCACACCCGCAATGCAGCAAACTTCCGAGCTAATGCGCCAAGCAGAATATAACACACACGTGGTGTCCGTTAGCGTAGCGTGCCCACAGTATTCATGGCTCGCTCAGTAGACCAAGGAGCATTTTAGTCGTACCAGTTAAAGAAATCTAAGCACAGCCATACATTTCATGCATTCTCAACACTTTTTTTAAACTATCTTCGATGTGGCCGCAACCACAGCCGCAGATCAGTTCACTTCGCTTTCAGCCAGAGACGAGAAGAGAAGAGAAGCGTGGAGTGAGCTTCTTACCGAGAAACCCTCCAAGTCCAACGAAAACGCCGACAGATCACCCAAAGACAAACTCAAAAAGTCGCGGAATATATATCCTGCTGATACACACAGATTCCACTGTTTTCCGGTTTTGATACTGAATGAAAATAAAAAAGTAAAAAAAAGCGTACAAGCGGGTGCCACACGAAAACAAAAATTCTTGCTCTTTGTGGGGAACGAAGATGAACGAGCGTGGCCGATATATTCACAGTGTTATCCTTTCTTCATCTTGATCTGAATGGGCGGGGGGATAACAATGAATGCATCGTATTATGCCTTCGATAACACGCGTGCATTAGCTTACGGGCGTGCCAACTCGAGGTTGGTCTCGAAGTTGGCGTCAATGAACGGGACCTTGGCAGCTTCACCGAAGTCCGTTTCGCTCAGAGCCGTACGCGCTTCTGGACTCAGCTGCTCCCACATAATGAGGTCCTGGAGTTCCCCCGTACCCCGTGTCGAAGTCATTTCCAGCGTGTGGAACGAAGTCTCCATGTAAAACGGTCTGTACGAAATCATGGGAGTCGTGTTGTTCATAAACTCGGCGAACGCCTTGCCGCACGACCCATGCTCGCAACGTTGTGGTACGTTCTTCGAGATTACGTATCCCCCCCCCAGCTCCAGGTCGAGACGGCGAGGACCTTTGGAGTCTCGAACGCAGGGTTGTCCAGCCACACAACGGCGTCAACCCACTTGTGGCGCTGGCCCTTGTATCCAAGATGTTTGTCCTTGGGGAAATACCACGAGTACATGATGGCCCAGAGGTCCTTGTACCAGCCAGAGCGGCCGTACACTTGCGAGCCGAGTCCTGAACCCTTGCATTTCCCGTCTACCGGACCGGTGTGCTTCAATCCCCCACTCGTCTCGCCCGCGGCGTTCACTGCGGGGTACGGGTGGCATCCGTCGATGATTTGGAGACTTGGCTTGAATTTGACGGCGGCCTTCTCGGACACAGTGGCGGGTGCGGGCTGCGCGAACGGCTGCACCTTGTCGTGGTCGATAGTGACACCGCCCACGATGGTAAGCGTGGCAATGGCGACGAAGAGGGGAAGACGCAGATACATCGAGTCGATTCGTGCTCGTGTTGCTGGTGGGTGGAGAATTTAAAAGTGACTGCTGGAGGTTCGGCTAACCGTATATGCGCTTGCTTCTTGTAGCGGCGAGAGAGTCGGTAGCATCCAAATCCTTGCTTGAATCTTTGCGCCGGGAAGCTGCTTGTCACCGGGACACGTGCCTGAAAGCACAGCAAGTTGAATCTTAATCTCTTCTCCCCAGGTCGAAAGCATAGGGTACAATCCTACTAGCAGGCGCGTAAAGATTAGTTTTAATATAAAAGTTTGTATAGTGCGACATATGTCCATAATAGACAGTACAAAGTGCAGGCGCAGACGTGGGGGTGTACTGTATCGATCTAAGGCACTTGCGCTGTGTAGACTTGGATGATAGCTTCTAACTGCGAGTAGCGGCGAACTCAGCAAAACTAAAGCGCTAGAGGTTTAGAAGTGTAGTCAGGCAGTTATAATGCATGAGACGTACGCTCGATTCGTATTCCGAGCTCCTGCGGAGGCTGACAGGAGCATGAATAGACGGTTCAAAAAGTAAATCTGGGTAGCCCAGACAAATACTTTGAGGTATTGCCACCGGCATCATTGTTCTGCTTGAAATATTTCATATCCTTCGTGTACGTCATTTCCTCTCTCTAACTAGCTAAACATGATGACTAGATTCTTCTGTGCACATTAGTTACTGGCGAGCAAAGTAAGCCTACCAAAAGCAGTAATTTCAAGCCAAATGAAGGGTTTTCTCGACAATTGGGGACAATGAACACTATTCACGGCCACTAGAGTGTACCCCTTCCTTATTACTCGCTATTCGTTGCCATCCCGGGCATTAAGGACGCGTTTTCAGGACCTAAAAGGCAAAATTTCTCAAATCGTGGTGTGCCTAGATTTGTCGAAAGCCCAATTTTCTACTTGGGGTTTTACCATCTTACCTTGGTCAAATTCGATGCGGAAATAAATGCCGAACTCGCTGTTATCTCCTCTTTCGTATGAATGTCGGTAGGACGTTTGAACAGCGTTCACTCGAGCAACATTTGGTTTTAAAGTTGAGGCTACCGGTAGGCGCGCCATTATACTTATCCTACCGATGGGGAGTAATGATTAAAGGAAGTGAAGTGGGTACCAGGCACCTCGCAATTGGTTTAAAGTGGGCACCATGGTGGCGATGAACCGATTCGTGAAGAAATGTACATGTTCATAAGTGCCCCAATGACATATTCCACCATTCATACGTGGTTCGTGCGAAGGGGAGACGGAGAGCACCTCCGCCGAGAGAGTGGCGGACGGAGTGCTATCGGCGTTGCTGGAGGGCGCGTCATGGGGGAGGGACAAGTCACCGGCGGAAACTGATCCTGAACCGGAGGACGAGCCGCGAGCGTTGGCGCTGGTGACTGCCACGGCGAGAAGCAGGAGCTGGAAGACCTTCATTGGGTTTGGAGTGGCGGTGGGGGAGAAAGACGAGCTTGGGGTGGTCTCGTTGGTTTTGTCGGTTCGCCTGGAAAAGCGACAGTGTCAGTTGTGCGAGTGCTCCATGCTCGTTTGGCCGCAGCGGTAGATGACCATCAGGGGCGAGGGTTTTGCCGGGAATCACGTGGAGCTAGAAGCGAACACTGAGACCGTCAACTTCCAGCAGCAGGAGATTGCCATGCGACTACCTAATGCCATGTGACGGATCCTATCCCTCACCTCCGACAAAATCAAGTCGAGTGAATATTGAAGCGCTGAGCCGACGTCAAGAGCTACCAGACCAGACCGTTGTTGAATGTACATGAGGTATTGCTGAGGTTCCCACCGTTGGTCCGGTGGAATTCGAGAAAGTCTCTGCAGTTCATGACGTTGCCCAAGTGCAAGCCGTTAGAGAAGATCGAGACACCGTCCCAACTTTTGCTGCCCCCCATGCCACGAACATTTCAGCTCGTAATTGCACAGATTCAAGCTCATTCGCAAAACTTGGCCTTAATACTAACCACCATGTTTTTCTCGTACGATCCAGCCCCATATCTAGACTCGGATCTGTGTCGTGCCTTCCACGAGAGCATTCGCAGCGGGGACATTAACGGCATTCAAGAGCTGCTCAAGGTGGAGCCTCTGTTGATCCACGCCCGCAACCAAGATCGAGCAACTTCACTGATGATCGCGATAGTCCACTCCGACACTCACCAAGCTCTGCGAATGGTGGAGCTGCTCATGGAACAAGGGGCTTGCCTTGGTTCCCACGACTGCCGTCGGCGAAACACTCTGCTGTATGCGTGCAGACACGGTGCCGACTTGGCGGTGGTCGAGACTCTGCTCCAGTGGAATGACCGGAAAGGAGGCCAAAAGTTCCATTGGCACGACCGTGACATCTATGGCGATAGCGCGTTAATGTTGGCCAGTCGCACGGCAAACACGCCTGTGACTATGCAGCTTTTGAACGAGATTAACATCGTCAGGTACGCGAAGCAGAACCACCCGTTCAAAGTTCTCAAGAGGGCGATAAAGTCGGACAACGAGCGGCACGCGATGGAGGTCGCGATGCACGAAAATATCCAAAGTTCGATCAACAACCCGGAGGTTACCCGGTTCAAGGGTAGCGGCAAGCCGGAGCTCTCGTGGACGCTTTCCAAGTGCACAGAAGCTGCCTTTGATCGGGGTATGACCGATCTCGTGTAACTCCTGAACCAATTGAATCGGCGAAAAGTTTCACGTGCTGTGTGGTACAAGATCCACAAACTGTCTGGCGAGGGAGTTGATATTTTAACTACGGTGCCACGAGTTCTTTTGAGAATTGGGAGGTTTTTCACGGATGCTTGGAGATGGACACAGGTTCGAGATATTTGTCTTGCCCGCTATGGGAGAAATGGAGGTGGCTCGGAAGGAGAAATTTACCTGTTAGGTTGTCTGCCAGACGATGTTTTCCTTCGTGTAGTTGCGTTCGTGGTGCCGTCAGCGTTTCAGCACCCGTCAAGTTTCGAATCCCGGTGGTGTGACTGTGGTAATATTTCGCTGGCTGGAGAGTGTCGCTGGCATGATTGTTATCGAGCGGATCGAACCGACTACGATCGGCTTTACAACTATAGCGGAAGTGACTCACTCGCTAGTGCTTACTTCGAAGTATCAATGGATGAGGGAGCTGAACAGCGAGGCTTCTATCGGTTGGTTGCCCGAGTTGTTTTTTAGCTTGCAGAGTTTCAGACGTTTTTATTAATTCGTGCGGGTGCTTTACTTTCATTTGTTTTTCTTCTGAACAGCGCGCTTGACGCTAGTAATCTCTCTTTGCGCCTCCTTTCATACCCTTGCCCAGGAGTGTTATCATACAGTTGTCATTTATAAATGAATAAATATCAATACATACACGTTGAGAGCTTTTGAGTGTTCTCTACGTTTCTGAGCAACTTCGTGGTAAACGCTCGTGAATCGGAGCTTCGTGTTATCCCATAAAGCGTACAAACTCTAAAACGGCAAGTCTGAAGTTTGAGGCGACGATCGGCCACTGGTCTTCGATTCCTGCGACGACAAAATTATCAATGAATTGCTGAGTAAATGCGACCATGTGCGCGAGGAGGTTCGTCACAAGTTGGATTTCCAGTCTCGCCTTCACACCAAAGTCTAGGTTGGACACGGCGGTACCTAGTGTAGGAGCCACCGCTAAGAGCGTGTTCGCTAGGTAGCTGGAGATGGAGATGGCCTCTCATCAACTCTATTTCTTGTCTTTTGATTGGTCAAAATAGTTTAGTTCACAACGTGACAACTGGAGAATTTCCCCGTCTCCTTCTCCAGCTCCCAGAGGTGGAGAAGGAGAAAGTAGCTAGAGATTGAGGCAGTTCAGCCGCACAGACAATGGACGAAGAGGAAGCTGTACTGGTTGAGAATCCGACGATGCGCCGCGAGGCCCTTAGGAACAGATTCGTACCGTGACCTCACTGCACTTTGAGCCCATGCTACAGTCAGCCGCGTATGCAAGTTGGTTTGAAGACAATCTTCGCTGCACCAAGCCAACTTTCCTACGTATTGCTGGTTTACTACGAGATCAAGGTGTTCTGTTTGCTGCTGCCAAAGTACGGCAGCATAGCTTTGAGAAGAAAGTTGCAGCCGCGCTTTACTTTTTAGGCTCAACTGGTGGGTACCGAGAGGTCGGTGGTGCTATGGGTATGTCACGGAGCTACGTAATGGAGATTACGACTGAGGTGGTGCGCGTCTTACGAGCAATGGCGGCGGCTGTCATTTCGTTTCCACGCCGGAGAGAGGACTGGGATGCGATCGAGTCAGGTTTCGCTGCGCGTCATGGCTATCCTGGTGTGGTGGTCGCCACTGGCTGACGGGAACGGAGGCGCAGCTCTCGGAGCGTCATCGGCAGCTTGGTCCATCTTGCCACGCGTCCGGTGTCTCGGGCACAGTGTTCCCGGCCGACGAAGAACAGCAAAGTAAGGAGAAGGAGAGCGAGTCGCACTGTGATTGGCTAATTTTACCTAGATGCGCTCTGTTGTAGCGAACAAGCTGGAGATAGAGATGCACCATCGCTGCAGATATTCATCTCCAGCTGCGTAGCGAACACGCTCTAAGAGCGATGCGGGGGATGCGGTTTAAACCACTATGGGAAAGGAGATAGTTCTCCACCACAGCTTCCCAGGCTGATATGGGGCTCAGCGTACATGCCCTCAACTGCTCGGTAAGTCGTTTGACTGCCTTCGCGAGGAAAATAAGCAATTACTTCGACGTATAAATTACTGTACATTGAAGAACAGTGTTTACGGGGTATCACCTGTAAGCATATTTACTGCGCGACAAAATCAAGCAATCATTTGCGCTGTTGCTTTGCTCGGGCAGCACGAACCACGTATGAATGGTGGAATATGTCATTGGGGCACTTATGAACATGTACATTTCTTCACGAATCGGTTCATCGCCACCATGGTGCCCACTTTAAACCAATTGCGAGGTGCCTGGTACCCACTTCACTTCCTTTAATCATTACTCCCCATCGGTAGGATAAGTATAATGGCGCGCCTACCGGTAGCCTCAACTTTAAAACCAAATGTTGCTCGAGTGAACGCTGTTCAAACGTCCTACCGACATTCATACGAAAGAGGAGATAACAGCGAGTTCGGCATTTATTTCCGCATCGAATTTGACCAAGGTAAGATGGTAAAACCCCAAGTAGAAAATTGGGCTTTCGACAAATCTAGGCACACCACGATTTGAGAAATTTTGCCTTTTAGGTCCTGAAAACGCGTCCTTAATGCCCGGGATGGCAACGAATAGCGAGTAATAAGGAAGGGGTACACTCTAGTGGCCGTGAATAGTGTTCATTGTCCCCAATTGTCGAGAAAACCCTTCATTTGGCTTGAAATTACTGCTTTTGGTAGGCTTACTTTGCTCGCCAGTAACTAATGTGCACAGAAGAATCTAGTCATCATGTTTAGCTAGTTAGAGAGAGGAAATGACGTACACGAAGGATATGAAATATTTCAAGCAGAACAATGATGCCGGTGGCAATACCTCAAAGTATTTGTCTGGGCTACCCAGATTTACTTTTTGAACCGTCTATTCATGCTCCTGTCAGCCTCCGCAGGAGCTCGGAATACGAATCGAGCGTACGTCTCATGCATTATAACTGCCTGACTACACTTCTAAACCTCTAGCGCTTTAGTTTTGCTGAGTTCGCCGCTACTCGCAGTTAGAAGCTATCATCCAAGTCTACACAGCGCAAGTGCCTTAGATCGATACAGTACACCCCCACGTCTGCGCCTGCACTTTGTACTGTCTATTATGGACATATGTCGCACTATACAAACTTTTATATTAAAACTAATCTTTACGCGCCTGCTAGTAGGATTGTACCCTATGCTTTCGACCTGGGGAGAAGAGATTAAGATTCAACTTGCTGTGCTTTCAGGCACGTGTCCCGGTGACAAGCAGCTTCCCGGCGCAAAGATTCAAGCAAGGATTTGGATGCTACCGACTCTCTCGCCGCTACAAGAAGCAAGCGCATATACGGTTAGCCGAACCTCCAGCAGTCACTTTTAAATTCTCCACCCACCAGCAACACGAGCACGAATCGACTCGATGTATCTGCGTCTTCCCCTCTTCGTCGCCATTGCCACGCTTACCATCGTGGGCGGTGTCACTATCGACCACGACAAGGTGCAGCCGTTCGCGCAGCCCGCACCCGCCACTGTGTCCGAGAAGGCCGCCGTCAAATTCAAGCCAAGTCTCCAAATCATCGACGGATGCCACCCGTACCCCGCAGTGAACGCCGCGGGCGAGACGAGTGGGGGATTGAAGCACACCGGTCCGGTAGACGGGAAATGCAAGGGTTCAGGACTCGGCTCGCAAGTGTACGGCCGCTCTGGCTGGTACAAGGACCTCTGGGCCATCATGTACTCGTGGTATTTCCCCAAGGACAAACATCTTGGATACAAGGGCCAGCGCCACAAGTGGGTTGACGCCGTTGTGTGGCTGGACAACCCTGCGTTCGAGACTCCAAAGGTCCTCGCCGTCTCGACCTGGAGCTGGGGGGGGGGATACGTAATCAAGAAGAACGTACCACAACGTTGCGAGCATGGGTCGTGCGGCAAGGCGTTCGCCGAGTTTATGAACAACACGACTCCCATGATTTCGTACAGACCGTTTTACATGGAGACTTCGTTCCACACGCTGGAAATGACTTCGACACGGGGTACGGGGGAACTCCAGGACCTCATTATGTGGGAGCAGCTGAGTCCAGAAGCGCGTACGGCTCTGAGCGAAACGGACTTCGGTGAAGCTGCCAAGGTCCCGTTCATTGACGCCAACTTCGAGACCAACCTCGAGTTGGCACGCCCGTAAGCTAATGCACGCGTGTTATCGAAGGCATAATACGATGCATTCATTGTTATCCCCCCGCCCATTCAGATCAAGATGAAGAAAGGATAACACTGTGAATATATCGGCCACGCTCGTTCATCTTCGTTCCCCACAAAGAGCAAGAATTTTTGTTTTCGTGTGGCACCCGCTTGTACGCTTTTTTTTACTTTTTTATTTTCATTCAGTATCAAAACCGGAAAACAGTGGAATCTGTGTGTATCAGCAGGATATATATTCCGCGACTTTTTGAGTTTGTCTTTGGGTGATCTGTCGGCGTTTTCGTTGGACTTGGAGGGTTTCTCGGTAAGAAGCTCACTCCACGCTTCTCTTCTCTTCTCGTCTCTGGCTGAAAGCGAAGTGAACTGATCTGCGGCTGTGGTTGCGGCCACATCGAAGATAGCTGCTAGTTGTGGACTTAGTCGCAATGGGTAGACTCTTATAGCAAATGGCTGGCAGGTTCTTGTTAACTCGCCGACTTTAAACGCCGGGTCGACCACGCTGTCAGGCCGGTACAGCAAGACTTTGGCATCATTACGCGTTTATTGAGCTTGAGGGGCTGGTTGTGAAAAGAGCTGGAGAAAACTGGACTAAACTGACAGTGGTTAAGGTCGTGCAAACATCGTAGAAGATGATCAAGCAGCCGCAATCTTGTGATGCGGGTCATCACACGTTGCGAGATAAGCGTCATGTTTTCAGAGGCTCAACTGCCCCGACAAAGCAGCCAGCGTCCACGCTAATATCCATCCGGCACGATCATCAAGTACATGTATTGCGTTTCTGCGCCTTTGCTACCCCGAGCACTTATTGTGTGCTTGTGGCATGCTTGTGACACATATGTTGTTCAAATATATTACATTAACATACGGTGCGTGTGTCACAAGCACGACACAAGCCACACCTTCTACGAGCCCGAACCCGTCTACTTCAAAAGTGGGCTCCCCCTAAAACGAGAGCCAAAAGTCGCACAAAATGGGCTCCCTCATGGAAAGTACGAGATCAAGGAGCCCTGGTTCGGGCTCCCCATTGGCTCTTCTCCAGGGCTCCCCAAATTTAGCTTCAAATCTATGACGGGCTCTTCATAGTAATATCTGATTGGTCAATTTTACCTAGACTTAAGGCGAGCAACTTCGCGTGATCGACGCGCCACGCTAGAAGATCGAGCTCAAAGATCGCCACACTAGAAGATCTCGCGCCGCTCATATGTGTACAGCCGCTCCGAGGCCACCCCAGCGTCGCCGATAGTCCTTCCTTCGTCTCAAGGAGAAGCCCTCTTTCCTATGTCTTTTCAGGTTAGAACCTGGAGATACTTCAATGACGGCCAATCATCAGCGAGATATTTAATACAGGTGAGGGGAGCCCTTAACGAGGGCTCACAGTTCTGGAGGGCTCCTTTCACTATTGAACTCAAGAGCCCAGGAGCCCGAGCTCGCAAGAGCCCAGGAGCCCGGCTCTCCCCAGGGCTCGTAGAAGATGTGACACAAGCATGCCACAAGCAAGCGTAAGCTTTTTAATTGCGTGAATGCAGGGTAAGTTTTGCGATCTAATCGGACCGGGTACTTGTTTAAAGTTTCTACCGGTATGCACCTATTGACGTTGTCTATCCGTTGTAATCGATGGTTCAGACGCTGTCAGAAGTCATATTTGCGCGCAGTATGATCATACTTGTGCATGAGCACCCCGCTCGACGAACATGCCTATGCCTCCTATCGATACTGCACCACTACTAAAATATGCTGGTAGACTGCATTACTCAGCTAGGCGACCGTGCAGCCATAACTGGCCAACACAGCCATGTTATCGTTACTCGGTAAGATGACCGTGTTACCATAACTCGGTAAGATGGCCGTGCTATCGAGTTATGGTAGCACTGTCGTGTTTAACGTTAGTTAAGCAACTTATACACAAAAAAATAAGGTTTGCACTTGCGAGTTGCACCGATGGGTATCAAAAAAAGTCTAAACTGCATATATGAATAGTGACTTTCTCAGAGTTGTTTTAGCATTGTCTTATTTTTAAAGTGGCATGCCTTACCGACGCAAGGACTTCCAGCCTCCTCCGAGCGTGCATGGTATGGGAGGTCTCTCAGCCTATCTGTGTGAACCTCTTCGGCGGACTACATACTCAACATGGGCCGAATTCTACGAGGAATTCGACTCGTACTGCCAATCCACCTTTCAAGCGTACAGGTTCGATTATGTAGCTGGTGCCGCTCACAAGATTCGCTGACATCCGTGTGCGTTTTAGAGTTCGTGGCTCGGAGACTTTGCAAAAGCGTCAAGAAAGAAAAAAGACTTCCAGACAACCTTTGCTTGACTGTATCGCTTCACACAACGCAATCTACATCAACTGAGTATTCAGAGAAGGCGCTTGTTCTGTTTCTCAAAAATAGACTTATTTTGCACAAACTCAGTTGTGTAGTCTGTCATGAGGTGTACATGCCACTCGTATTCCGACTTGACAACGCAATAATTGATGACTGTGGTAGAGATATTCGCATACATACCCCTACAGCTCATATCGCAACGAGTGATGACCCATATCGCAACAAGTGATGGCCCATATCGCAACGTGTGATGACCCTCAGCAGACGGCAGGTAATCTTTAATGATGCACTCACAGTCGCCGAATTTCGTTCCCACACTTCGCCGAAGTGGCTACCGAAGTGACTTCGGTAGCTACTCCAGCTCAGTTCACAACCAGCGCCGCCCAAGTGAATATCAATAAAGCAATCCGCTCCAGCGTAATGACCGAAGGCTTGCTGCACCCGCCCAACTTCGATCGGTTCAGCGACAGCGTGATCGCCCCAGTCGTAACCCGTTTCAATGAACCAGTCAGTCCTCCACCCCATGGCGTGGAACAGCTAAGAAGCGCAACTCGTTCCAGACACATCAACTCGTCGGAGGTCGGGCTAGATCAGTGTGCTCCACTATCAGTCAGCGTCGAGGAGGAGGCGAAAGAGTCCTTGAGCCAACTCACCACTGCGGAGAAGATCCTCCAGATCCGCCGAAAGCGCCGCCGTATGACCCAACAACGATACCGGAAGAAAATTGAGGACAAGGCCACGACACTCGCCAAAGACGTCGGGGAGCTGCGAGACGACATTAAAAGAGCGAAGATGCAGCTGCGGGTTCTTACCATTTACACTGGAATGGACGCATGCAGGGCTGCGGTGGAGTACGTTCGCCTCTTCCGGTATGGCAGGAACAAAGTACAAAACTCGAGGAAGATGATGCTGCGAGGTGATGAAGACGCTCAGTGGAGGTTCCTACAAGCGGTTGTGATCTCCAACGTCGCGTCTAATCGAGGATTCGGCGTGGACGTGATACTGGAAGGTTGGGAGCTCCTGTCATCGCGTCTCGGGTGTCTAGAAATCCAGCTAGTCGACTTGGACTATGAAGCGAAGACTCTCATCATCGCTGACGTCAAATGCTTCGCTACCATCACGGAAAGAATGCTACGCGATGCACTAGGAGGCCAATCGCCAATCGTCGCTTGGAACCCCCTCGGGCAGCGACTGGCTGTCCCCGGACGCGTACGCTTCGAGTGGGATGACGCCAAGCTCCAATTTGTCAGCATCTTCTTCGAGATCGATATGCTGACACCGCTGATGGAGTTGCTGGGTAACTTGGAGGATGTGTGTATGGCGCTCAACAGCTCTCTTGCCTAGACAAACAGAAGTATTTTTTTTCAGTAGAGTATAGAAATAAACCCCAAGAGAACTACAAGGCTACGCTAGTGCACTGCCTACGGTAATTAGTGTGTGTGCAGAAATAGTCTATGTTCGAAAATAGTCTTGGTCAGACTATTTATTGTACTGGTCAAATTGAAGAATTCATAATTAGTCTGACCATTTCAGCTTCAAAATTAGTCTATCCTGTGTCATGCCGGAAAGGGTGCAAGGCTATCTCCATCTCCAGCTTGTTCGCTACAACAGAGCGCATCTAGGTAAAATTAGCCAATCACAGTGCGACTCGCTCTCCTTCTCCTTACTTTGCTGTTCTTCGTCGGCCGGGAACACTGTGCCCGAGACACCGGACGCGTGGCAAGATGGACCAAGCTGCCGATGACGCTCCGAGAGCTGCGCCTCCGTTCCCGTCAGCCAGTGGCGACCACCACACCAGGATAGCCATGACGCGCAGCGAAACCTGACTCGATCGCATCCCAGTCCTCTCTCCGGCGTGGAAACGAAATGACAGCCGCCGCCATTGCTCGTAAGACGCGCACCACCTCAGTCGTAATCTCCATTACGTAGCTCCGTGACATACCCATAGCACCACCGACCTCTCGGTACCCACCAGTTGAGCCTAAAAAGTAAAGCGCGGCTGCAACTTTCTTCTCAAAGCTATGCTGCCGTACTTTGGCAGCAGCAAACAGAACACCTTGATCTCGTAGTAAACCAGCAATACGTAGGAAAGTTGGCTTGGTGCAGCGAAGATTGTCTTCAAACCAACTTGCATACGCGGCTGACTGTAGCATGGGCTCAAAGTGCAGTGAGGTCACGGTACGAATCTGTTCCTAAGGGCCTCGCGGCGCATCGTCGGATTCTCAACCAGTACAGCTTCCTCTTCGTCCATTGTCTGTGCGGCTGAACTGCCTCAATCTCTAGCTACTTTCTCCTTCTCCACCTCTGGGAGCTGGAGAAGGAGACGGGGAAATTCTCCAGTTGTCACGTTGTGAACTAAACTATTTTGACCAATCAAAAGACAAGAAATAGAGTTGATGAGAGGCCATCTCCATCTCCAGCTACCTAGCGAACACGCTCTTAGCGGTGGCTCCTACACTAGGTACCGCCGTGTCCAACCTAGACTTTGGTGTGAAGGCGAGACTGGAAATCCAACTTGTGACGAACCTCCTCGCGCACATGGTCGCATTTACTCAGCAATTCATTGATAATTTTGTCGTCGCAGGAATCGAAGACCAGTGGCCGATCGTCGCCTCAAACTTCAGACTTGCCGTTTTAGAGTTTGTACGCTTTATGGGATAACACGAAGCTCCGATTCACGAGCGTTTACCACGAAGTTGCTCAGAAACGTAGAGAACACTCAAAAGCTCTCAACGTGTATGTATTGATATTTATTCATTTATAAATGACAACTGTATGATAACACTCCTGGGCAAGGGTATGAAAGGAGGCGCAAAGAGAGCTTACTAGCGTCAAGCGCGCTGTTCAGAAGAAAAACAAATGAAAGTAAAGCACCCGCACGAATTAATAAAAACGTCTGAAACTCTGCAAGCTAAAAAACAACTCGGGCAACCAACCGATAGAAGCCTCGCTGTTCAGCTCCCTCATCCATTGATACTTCGAAGTAAGCACTAGCGAGTGAGTCACTTCCGCTATAGTTGTAAAGCCGATCGTAGTCGGTTCGATCCGCTCGATAACAATCATGCCAGCGACACTCTCCAGCCAGCGAAATATTACCACAGTCACACCACCGGGATTCGAAACTTGACGGGTGCTGAAACGCTGACGGCACCACGAACGCAACTACACGAAGGAAAACATCGTCTGGCAGACAACCTAACAGGTAAATTTCTCCTTCCGAGCCACCTCCATTTCTCCCATAGCGGGCAAGACAAATATCTCGAACCTGTGTCCATCTCCAAGCATCCGTGAAAAACCTCCCAATTCTCAAAAGAACTCGTGGCACCGTAGTTAAAATATCAACTCCCTCGCCAGACAGTTTGTGGATCTTGTACCACACAGCACGTGAAACTTTTCGCCGATTCAATTGGTTCAGGAGTTACACGAGATCGGTCATACCCCGATCAAAGGCAGCTTCTGTGCACTTGGAAAGCGTCCACGAGAGCTCCGGCTTGCCGCTACCCTTGAACCGGGTAACCTCCGGGTTGTTGATCGAACTTTGGATATTTTCGTGCATCGCGACCTCCATCGCGTGCCGCTCGTTGTCCGACTTTATCGCCCTCTTGAGAACTTTGAACGGGTGGTTCTGCTTCGCGTACCTGACGATGTTAATCTCGTTCAAAAGCTGCATAGTCACAGGCGTGTTTGCCGTGCGACTGGCCAACATTAACGCGCTATCGCCATAGATGTCACGGTCGTGCCAATGGAACTTTTGGCCTCCTTTCCGGTCATTCCACTGGAGCAGAGTCTCGACCACCGCCAAGTCGGCACCGTGTCTGCACGCATACAGCAGAGTGTTTCGCCGACGGCAGTCGTGGGAACCAAGGCAAGCCCCTTGTTCCATGAGCAGCTCCACCATTCGCAGAGCTTGGTGAGTGTCGGAGTGGACTATCGCGATCATCAGTGAAGTTGCTCGATCTTGGTTGCGGGCGTGGATCAACAGAGGCTCCACCTTGAGCAGCTCTTGAATGCCGTTAATGTCCCCGCTGCGAATGCTCTCGTGGAAGGCACGACACAGATCCGAGTCTAGATATGGGGCTGGATCGTACGAGAAAAACATGGTGGTTAGTATTAAGGCCAAGTTTTGCGAATGAGCTTGAATCTGTGCAATTACGAGCTGAAATGTTCGTGGCATGGGGGGCAGCAAAAGTTGGGACGGTGTCTCGATCTTCTCTAACGGCTTGCACTTGGGCAACGTCATGAACTGCAGAGACTTTCTCGAATTCCACCGGACCAACGGTGGGAACCTCAGCAATACCTCATGTACATTCAACAACGGTCTGGTCTGGTAGCTCTTGACGTCGGCTCAGCGCTTCAATATTCACTCGACTTGATTTTGTCGGAGGTGAGGGATAGGATCCGTCACATGGCATTAGGTAGTCGCATGGCAATCTCCTGCTGCTGGAAGTTGACGGTCTCAGTGTTCGCTTCTAGCTCCACGTGATTCCCGGCAAAACCCTCGCCCTGATGGTCATCTACCGCTGCGGTCAAACGAGCATGGAGCACTCGCACAACTGACACTGTCGCTTTTCCAGGCGAACCGACAAAACCAACGAGACCACCCCAAGCTCGTCTTTCTCCCCCACCGCCACTCCAAACCCAATGAAGGTCTTCCAGCTCCTGCTTCTCGCCGTGGCAGTCACCAGCGCCAACGCTCGCGGCTCGTCCTCCGGTTCAGGATCAGTTTCCGCCGGTGACTCGTTCCTCCCCCATGACGCGCCCTCCAGCAACGCCGATAGCACTCCGTCCGCCACTCTCTCGGCGGAGGTGCTCTCCGTCTCCCCTTCGTCCAACTCCAGCGCTCCAGAGCCTCTCTCCAGCTCCGGCAGCTCAGCCCCAGCCACGACCGAAGTGTCCTCCTCGTCCACCGACGCGTCCATCAGCGTGTCATTGGACACTTCGATCAGCTCGAGTGGGTCCTCCAAGTCGCTCATCAGCTCTGCCAGCACCTCCGCATCAGCTTCTAACACCAGCTCCTCCTCTGTTGACCATTACGAGTCCACCTCGAGTCCACCGACGTCCTCCGAAGTGTCCAGCTCGTCAAACAGCAACAATGGGTCCACTTCCAGCTCGGGTTCCAACTCGGCGACTGCACTCGTCACCAACGTGGCCCTAGTTGTCGCCGCTCTCGTGACTGTCGGCGTCTCCCTCCTGTAGACACAATGCATGTCGATGCATGAAATAAATGTCCACTTTTGTCCACCAACTCAACAATTGTTTTTGTCAATTATTGACGGAATCGGCATTTTTGAGACCTTCTAATTTGGGTGCGAGACCTGCGTAAAGTGCGCCGACTTCATGCGCTCCAGCATCTTGAGGTCGCGCTCGCCCTTGCGCAGCATGTACTCGATCACCACGAAGTCCTTGCGGTCGACGGACGCCGCCTGCGACACAATTCACAAAATAATATTTTGTAAAAATATAGAATGCAGACCGACGTGCGGCTGAGGATTGGCGTTCATACATCTGAGCGGAAGCGCTCGCGCACGTAGCGCAGCGTGTCGCCGTCCTTGCGCGCGGCCGCCAGCAGCGCCTTCTTGTACAGCGCGAGCACCTGCAGCTGCAGCCCCGAGTGCACCTTGACCTTCATGCCTGCTGCTGCTGGTCAAATGGGTCGAAAGCGGGTCGCAATTAAAAAATGTTTCAAATCAGCTTTTCATTTCGTAAATGGTTTGAAATCAATTATTGATTGTTGATTGCATAATATTAGAGCGTGCTTCAAGTCATCTTTCTTTGAAAAGTCCCAGACAATTACTTAAGTATCCCGCTTAAGCTTGTACTTCTACTATAAAGCATTCTGCCAGAGAGGAAGAGGGCAATGATGCCGTGCCACCAAGTTATTGCAATTTTCCCGTCGTTTACTGGGTCTCCGTTCTTCTGCTGCGTCGTGGATCGAGATGATGGGCTCGAGATCGAGCTGTTCGACCAAGCAACTGAAAGGGCTTGGTGGGCTTAAGCTTATTTGCTGAGGAGACTTTGCAAAACAAAAAATGGTTTAACATCTCAGTGTGGCTTTGTTGTCCTACCAGGATCTGTGCTGTGACACCGAATACCCTGGATCAATATGCGGATTGCAAGAATCCCAATCGGCAAAGTGGCCTCTTTTTTCAAGGTTGGAAACACTTAAACTACTTGTAGCGAGCACTTTTCATGTGCTGACAACAACGTTGTATTCCTGTAGATTGGTCTTGCTGGGCTCGGATCCGGGCGCGCATCAGAAGATGTGGTGCTGGACATGGTCGAGCAAACCGAAAAGCTGGCCATCTTGCAGCTCCGCCTCCGCTTTGGCATGAAAGGCTGCTACTGGAGCCCCAATATGAATTTTGTGCTTGAGCTGGCGAATGCGGAGCAGCGCGAGAAGCTCGAGCTACGTGCCAGCGTGGCAGCAATGGCTCAGCGGTAAGGCTACAAACGCGGATCCAACCACGACCAAGCATCATCCAGTCCCCTCCGCACAGGAAATTCTTGGGTTTTCAGCCTAGTGGTGATCTCGATGGCCATTTTTGGGGCTATTGTGCGTGATATCACCATCGTTGACAATGTGACGCCTCCGCCTGTCAGAGGAATCGCTTTCGCCAGCGTGCTCTCTGCGGTGGATTAATCTATTGGAAACCCAGCAATTGATGAAAGTTCATTCTCGATCAAGCAAATGAAGCTGCAAGTGGCTGAAGCAGGCTTAGCGCAGATAGCAGTCATGCTTCGCCACTCGAACTCCCGCTTGGGTGTCGCTTTTAAGGTGTATCAGGGCGCTGCAGAGATCGCTAGAGTCTACAACTCCACGACGACCTACGCCCACACGATTCCACTGAAGGCGAACGACACGCTGAGCGTCAAGTACGTTGGCGTCGGGAAGCTGTACTTGGGAAACAGCTTCATGTATGTGCTGTTACTGTCGCCGACTACGCAGCCATTCTCGCAGAAGATCTAATTCCTTCAGGAGGTCCTGCAGCCCTGGATTTTGTCTGCTCTACGAAGCCATTACTTCCCATCAGGAACCACCTCTTTGAGTAGTGACGTCTCTTGCGATTTCAAACAACCCCTGAAGCCGCCTGAGCCCTTCGTGTTTATCATGTATTAGCACTGCATGACTTGCACGATCAATTCTGAATTTGCGTTCCAAGCAACAAGCATGGTGTCCTCGTGCGGTGGCTTCAATAACTTTTCCTTGTGCCCAGAAGTTCCTTTCTTCTGCCGTGTCACCGAAGTGCCGAATGGACTGGAACTGGAGCTGCTCAACAGATCTTCGCAGAAAGCATGGTAAGGAACGATGACTTTCCAATTTATTGTTGCTCATACTCATCAAAAAGCATACGACCAGGTGGGTATATACATATATAATATGTCCATCCCTGTCGGGCGCCACTGTCTGCGGCAGTGCTGGCGAAGGTGAGGGCGTTGATTCTGACGGCCTGAACGAGGACCCTGCCATTTTCTCCCGCGCCTATATGGGTGAGCAAGGGCAAAACGACGACGAAGTAAAGCGACATCCGATTCAGCCGAGGTAAAACCAATGATTGTTGGATGAACAACTAGCCTTATTCTACTACATTTCTTACTTCGAAGTATGAAAGTTTACCACTTGGATGACATAAGCCTTCGTGGCTATGCTAGATTTCTTCAGCAAGTAGCAGCATGCAAGTGACAAACGTGGTTGGGTACTGTACGTTGAATCGGGCTGTGGCAAAATAGAAGTTTTTTCTCTTGTTAGGAAACTATAAAGAAACCAATAGTTTGCCCAAGAATTCGTCGCTAGTGAATGCAACTCAGCAATCCTACCCCGTATGCGTGATACTTTGGTGAAACAATGCCATTTTGCCGTCCAAGGACACTTCCGTCCAGAAATCTTTTAAGTCATACGAGGGCTTGATCCACTTATTCTTCAAGGCAATCACTCAGCCACCCTCGCTTGGAAGTTCAGCCATTGATAGAAAGGTCGCTTCAGGTTCGTGAACGCCAGCGCTCTCCCATCCACACTGCCAAAGGTAGTCTCGACATCAAAGTCTTGTGTGCGTTTCCTGAGGGTTCTCAAACGCCTTTTACCCAACAGTCTTTTACCGTCGCGGTCCTTGAGATCAACGAGGCGAGTGTCTTGGATCGACGAATCAAAAATCTTCAAGCGGAGATCACCTTTGTCATCACCAATAAAACTGATTTGGTGGCGGTCGAACGCGTATTTCAGCGGACTGAAGAGCAGCAGCCCGTTCCTTTCGTCGTCGATGTCCGGAATCTCCATCACCGCGGCCAGATCTTGGTTGCTGCGGCGAAACTCGTGCGACGCGATCACCAGGGACTGTGGGAGCGCCACGTCGAGCAGCATGCAACGTACGCGATGGTTGGGGCGGTAGCAATCATAAAATTCGCACAGCGAGTCGTTGAAATCGTGGTTATCTTGAGTCAGTGTCGGTGGGGCTTGTGTGAGTTTGAGAGTCAAAAGCCGCTCAAACAGTTCCAGTGCTTCTGGAATGAGGGTAACGCGATCCGATGGGGAGAGTGGAATGGTTGCCAAAACGTGGATGACTCCACGCTTTACACCCTCTCCAAAGTGCTTGGCGTCATTTAGCGGCGTGGTTGGGTCTATCTCCTCGAAATCTGGCGGAAGTCCTTCGTCGTCGAGCTCAAGGGCTCTACAAGCGGGCGAATCCAGCCACATCGATTTTGGCCATGAAAACGCGAATCTTCCGTGCAGGACACGTCAGGTCTGTGTTCTCTTCCTTGATCGCTTCCACCAAGTCGAGCCCGATAGCGTTGGAGTCGAGTTCGACGCGGCATACACCACCGTCTTCACCAAGGATGGCACAAAAGATCTTCATCACCTTTATCCTTGAGAATGGAGAGTATCGAATGAAGAAAAAACAACTGGAATATGATGGATGGACATAGGATGGTCTACGACCACACTTAACACAATCACATCTCGACAATATCTTCTCCGGGTAACTATGGTGCTGATCTGTTTTGCGATTCTGGGGAAGCAGTCGGCAAATGCTATGGCAACATTGACCTTAACGCCACTGGAGCCGACTTGAAGCAAGCGATCAAGGCCGTGAACCCGGACATTACCGGTCCTATTAGCGGTATTCGGGTGTTCTTGGCTAAGCGCAGCGACAAGTGGCTGGATTCGCGGGGAGCAAGATCCGTGCTGCTCGATGACCAAGACCTTCCGCGAGGCTTTCAGGAGATCGACACGTCGATGCAGCTCAGCGATGCTCGAAACTTTGGAGAGGTCGTCGAAATCGTCCTGGTCGGCGTTGGCGCCATTGTCACTTCGCCTGCTGCCGCCCTAGTCGCTCTCGTTGGAATCGGGCGACGACTCGTCTCCGTTCTCGAGCTGCTTCTGGAGAGCTGCCGTGTCGCCAGCCTTTGCGGACGGATGGACTGAGCCGGTGGTCGCCACGCGAAACCAAGCTGCTGCTCGCGGATGTCCAGCAGCTTCTCGATCTTATGGATCGCGTCGCTACGAGCTGTGCCGTAACGGCGTGTTGTAGTACGCCGTTGTCTTGTTTAAGGCCTTCCTTCCGCACGTGTTCGGGAGTCCAACGCGGAGCTCTGGCAAGAATCCAAGCAGCTCTCCAGCTCTTTGCATTGCACACTTCAGATTCCAGTTCGCTGATATCGTCTGATCCTTTCGCCTTTCACTGCTCCGGAAAGCGCTCACCACGGACTCAAGCTGATCAATGCAAAGTGTCAGCCGGATTGTGCTCCTTCGGGTTTCGCTTCAATCTACAGATAGCTCTCGTACCTGCTTTCTAGCAGCAACTACTCCAGCTTGCAGCTCTCGATTTCACTTGCCATATTCACGCAACGCTCGCCCTGGTGAATCTTCGCTGCAGAGCAACATAACCAAGGTGTTAGTCCACGACTTCATCACCCCTCGGTGTCCCCGCTGCACCTACCGACTGCGACTTGCCACCCGTAGCAGAACCTTGTTAGCGTGTCTTAGATAAGTGCTGGTCGAAATGAGCACTGCAACCAGCTCGCGCTCGGATAGTTCTATCGCTTGGGCGTGCCGGCTCAGTACGCGGTAAGCATGAGCAAGCTCCGCATACTTTTTACCACGTTTCAGTAGCATTTGATCTCGTCCTGCGAGCTTGAGCTTCATCTGAAGCGTGTCTTCGGCGAGCAGCTGCAACGTCTCGGACAATTCTCGTACCGGTTCTTCGGGTTTGTGGCCCCTTGCTTGCTCGCACTCCAGCTGCTACTGCAGCGATATGTTGCTCTTCAGTAAATGCTGAGCGTGTATTTGATCTTGTGCACGCTCAACCGCCAGAAGCTCATTGGGCGGTAACCTGCTTTTCTTGAAGGCGCTGGACGTGCTGGCGCTGCTGCTGGACGGTGGCCTCCAGTTTGCTGCAGTATTTGCCTCCGTATGCCGAAACCGTATTGCCGCTTCCCAGTCAACTCTTGCTTCGAGTTTGCTCTGCAGAGCGGTCTTTCCGCTCTGATTCATAGCCTCTGAAGTGCTCAGGTCGCACGCGGATCTCCTCCCGCAGCTCAGCTTCGATCGCTTTTGCACCGACTCAGCTCCGCCCTCGCCACATCGCTCTTGCCAAAGCCTTTCCAGCCGCATTGTCCTGCGTCTCCATCTCATCTCGGCTCGCGGATGCGCCACGGCGTCTCGGAGACGCGCCGCCGCCTTTTGCCCCTCGCCTTCTGGAGCTTGGCATCTTTCCGGGCCAGCGCCGCTCGCACGCGGATCGCCCCTCTTATGGACAGGGCGGAGAAGGTGATGCCACGCTGCTCGCGACGCTGCCGCGTCCCGAGCATCATGGCTGCTTGGTGCTCGTTTGCAGTGGCGCTTCAACATGGCGGTTATTGGCTGAAAAGGCGGTCGGGGGACAATCTATTTGGGCCAATGGGATCATCGTCAGACGCCCAAGGCACTGGTTCCCCCCGTCGATACTCGGGCCAAGACATTCGCGAAAAGAGCTGGACCGCATCTCTTTCTCATGGAGGGGCTTGGCGTCGTGTACGAGCAGGAGGAGCCGGCGGTGGACGCGCAGCAGGCGGCGCCCGCGGGCGACAACCAGGCGGCGGCGGCGGCGGCGGCGTCCACGGCGGAGGACGACGACGAGATCCGCGCGCTGGCCGGCAACCCGGACGACCTGGACGCGCAGCAGCAGGCGCCGCCGCAGCACCACCACCACGAGTACAACAACCAGCAGCAACAGTACAGCCAGCAGCAGCAGCAGCAGCAGCAGCAGTATGGCCAGCAGCAGCAGCAGCACTCGTACGGCTACGGGGACTACGCGCAGAGCAGCGGGCAGATGGAGCACCACAGCGGCGCCATCGACAAGACCGGCACGAGCATCCAGCCGGGCAAGCTCTTCATCGGCGGCGTGTCGTGGGAGACCACGGAGGACACGCTGCGCCAGCACTTTGGCAAGTACGGCGCGCTCACGGACGCCGCGCTCATGAAGGACAAGTACACGGGCCAGCCGCGCGGCTTCGGCTTCGTCACGTTCGCGGACGCGACAGGTACGGCCCGCCCGCGTGCAGTTGAAACTGGCTTGTGATTGGGCGCTGACTGACGTTGTGCGTGTCTTGTGACACTGCAGCGATCGACCGCGTGCTGGACGAGACGCACACGCTGGACGGACGCTCGGTGGAGGTGAAGCGCGCGATTCCGAGGGAGAAGACGGCGCCCGGCGGCGGCTCGAGGTTAGTACTTGGGACGCCCCCAGTGGAGATGACGACGGCTGCTGCTGCTGTACATTGTATTTATTGGGAAGAGAGACAAAAGAGAGCTAAAGAAGAAGAAGAAGAAGAAGGGCAGGGAGAGAGAGCAAGAAGCAACAGAGCAAGGACAGGACGAGAAGAAGCAGAGAAATCCTACTCAACACGATCGAATGGCGTTTTGCTGCTCGCCACCTTCTGGCCCCATCACGCTCGACCCTCGCTCTCTCCGTCCAGCCCTTCTTCACCCACTCCCGTGGAAGGGCTTTGGCGTAGCGTTAGACAGTGTACAAGCAGCCAGCGAGCAGGCTGCGATGGGAGATGGCGCTCGATGTGTAGACTAACCTGCAGTGTCTCTGCCTCCTTGCTGATGTGATGTAGCGACTTTCGTGGAGGACGCGGCGGAGCTTACGGCGGCGGCGGCTTCACGGAGCAGAAGAAAATCTTCGTGGGCGGCCTCGCCCCCACGGTGACGGAGCAGGACTTCCGCCACTACTTTGAAGAGTTCGGCAAGATCACGGACGCTGTCGTGATGATCGACCGCGACACCCAGCGCTCGCGCGGATTCGGCTTCATCACGTTCGAGGAAGAGGTTTGTTGCGCCGCGCTACTAGAGTTTTCAGGCTGGCTCTGCTCGCCAGTCGTCAGGGTACTTACTTGTTTGTTGACGGTGTTGCTTAGTCGTCGGTGGCTGAGGTGCTCAGCAAGAGCCATGAGATCCACGGCAAGACTGTCGAGATCAAGCGTGCTGAGCCCAAGGAAGCTCGCAGCGGAGGTGGCGGTGGCGGCGGCGGCTACGGCGGACCTCGTGGTCGCGGAGGCTGGCGAGGTGGAAGCCGTGGCGGCGGCGGTAACGGCGGCGGCTATGGCGGCGGCTATGGTGGCGGCTACGCTGGTGGCGGCTACGGGGGTGGCTACGGCGGAGGCTATGGAGGCTACGGCGGCTACAACGCTGCAGCGTACGCTGGCTATGGATACCCTCAGTCGTACGCTGGCTATGGCTATGGTGGATACGGTGGCGGCCGCGGCGGCTACGGCTATGGTGGCTACGGTGGCTACGGCTACGGTGGCGCCGGCGCCGGTACTGGCAACGAGGAGGGCGGTGCTGGAGGAGAAGGCGGTGCAGGCGCTGCAGAAGGAGGTTACAGCGAAGAAGGAGCTGGCCAGAGCGGCCAGAGCGACCAGGCCAGCGGGGGCTACGGCTCTGGGAGCTACGGCTATGGCGGTGGCTACCGTCAGGGCGGCTCGGGTTCTCAAGGAGGCTCAGGCGGACGATCGGACCGGTACCGTCCGTACTAAGCACCCGCGACACGAGAAGGCGAAGGCAGAGAACCGATTCGAGCTGCGCTACCGCAAAATGGACGTGCGCGCGATCCAGCTCAAATTGTTTCCACTCCGGCTGCGACGTGCTGGTTTTCCCTCCCCGACTTCCTCGGCCTCGCCTTCTTCAGCTCGTACCTGTTGCTATGAAATCAATACTTTTCCACCCTGCCGCCGTGCTGTTCGTGCTTCTACTCGCTGTCGCTACTCAGCTCCGTGTTTCGGGATCACCTGTACTCGTCTTTTGCTTAATCAACTAATCAGCTGCAACTCGTGCAACTAGCGACAACGTTGACACGGCGAGGTCTGCCATCGCTCGAGTCAGCTCGGCTCTTCGATCGGTGCTCGGCGCTGAAGTGGTAAGATGGTGAACGTCACCGGCAAGGCGTCGACCGAGGCGGCGCTGGAATTGCGATGAGCGCGCTGTCTTGAAACTCGCCGGCACATTCTTGATTAATGGGGTTCAAGAGCGCCAAACGTTCGCGGCCACGCTTGAGCGTGCTAGTGAGGGGCGACGCAAAGCGCTCGCGCGTGATGCTGGCATGGTTGGAACAGGATGCAGCACGATGTGTGCCTTTGTCCTCTGCCTAATGGTACTCGGGCCATTTCGTTTTTTTCCCTTTACATGCGAGTATATGCTACCGCGAATGTGTTTTGCTTCGACTTTGCCTTGTCAGGAGAAGAAAAGAGTTTGATCTACTGGAAAACAAGAAAAACAGTCGTGATCCTTGTTCCTAGGCAGTTCATCGAACGAACTCTGCACTAGGTTGACGGTTGATCGCCTCATAGCCCTTCATATTATATGCTCTACATTCTAGCAAACGTCAAGTTGACGGCGAACCACTTCGCAATCTTGCGCTTGATATTTAATAGCAAGACCATTCGTAAACTAAACAATAATCAGCGTATGCATTCCTATTTACAACGCGCGATACCCGTAAATGAACGAGGACAGAAGATCCACGCACCGTTAGTCCATTCCGCTTTTCGCCCCCAAGTAAATAACACTAGACCAAGAACGTCAGGAACCATGAAGACTGTCTCCGCTCTTTGGTGGAGAGACCGTCCTTGAGAGATCCAAGAAGCGGTATTCGAAAAGAGCCCTTCGATCCGAATTTCTGCGCGGGGGCTCTCATCTCGCCTACCTACGTGCTGACCTCCCCCTTGTGCTTCAACGGCACTTCCCCCAGTCTTTGGGTTTCGGTGGGATCCAACTACATCATCGGCGTGGATGGAGAGATGAACAAGGTCGTGTCAGCCACGATCCACGCAAAGTTCCAAGAGGGCTACCTGGGCTACGCTTTTGCCGTGCTCGAGCTGGGGGTCCCTGTCACAAAAAGTAAAGCCTGTGAAGCTCGCCGATGCTGACAACGCGGACGTTGAGGTGGGCAAGGAGGTCACGCCTGTGGGCTGGGGCTTCACGTCGCTTTTTTCGGCGGACGGATCGGTGCAATCCGAACTGCAGCGTATGGACATCAAGCTCTGAGAGGACGGAGACTGCTGATCTCTGTCGGCTGGTGAAGGTGAGGGCGTTTGCATGGATGGCTTTGGCAACCCGCTCCCGAGACGCGGGAGAAAATGATGGGGTCCTCGTTGCAGCCCTTAGCCCCGACCAACACGCCTAGCAGGACGTCGTCCGAGTCCTTGCCAGTCTCGGCTTCAATGATGAGCGGCGCACGCTCGTGGATTGGCAACGAGCTCAAGCGAGAGAAGACGAAGAAGAATGCCACCTAAGCAAAATCCGTATCGGCCAAGTTAAAAAAGAGTATTGGAATCGGCCGACCTTACCGTGCGTGCATGATCGCGTCGCACGTGCTTCGCCGCAGCAACTAAGATCCGGCCGCGGTGATGGAGATTCCGGACATTGACGACAAAAGGAACGGGCTGCTACTCTTCAGTCCGCTGAAATACGCGTTCGACCGCCACCAAATCAGTTTTATTGGTGACGACAAGGGCGATCTCCGCTTGAAGATTTTTGATTCGTCGATCCGAGACACTCGCCTCGTTGATCTCAAGGACCGTGACGGCAAAAGACTGTTGGGTAAAAGGCGTTTGAGAACCCTCAGGAAACGCACACAAGACTTTGATGTCGAGACTACCTTTGGCAGTGTGGATGGGAGAGCGCTGGCGTTCACGAACCTGAAGCGACCTTTCTATCAATGGCTGAACTTCCAAGCGAGGGTGGCTGAGTGATTGCCTTGAAGAATAAGTGGATCAAGCCCTCGTATGACTTAAAAGATTTCTGGACGGAAGTGTCCTTGGACGGCAAAATGGCATTGTTTCACCAAAGTATCACGCATACGGGGTAGGATTGCTGAGTTGCATTCACTAGCGACGAATTCTTGGGCAAACTATTGGTTTCTTTATAGTTTCCTAACAAGAGAAAAAACTTCTATTTTGCCACAGCCCGATTCAGCGTTCAGTTCTCAACCACGTGAACAGTGATTTGTACTATCTGTTCGAGGTACCAAACTTTATGCAGGCGAGGGTAAGCAGGGGAGTTCTGTATCCCGTTGGCGGAGAGCGCTGTGTTTACACTGTAAACACTGTAAACTTTAAAGCGAAGACTCCTGTCAAAAATGATTCACGTTTAAGAGACAGCCGAGGACCCTCTCTACCGAAGCATAAAAAATTCGTCACAGTTGGTCAGAGGCTCTGATCAGGAACGAAGCAGAGACTATCAATACTTATGCCGAAGCCGAGGGAGCCCAAGCGTGGTGGAGTGCCGTTTTCCGCGCTGCTAGTGCGCCGCAAGCGAGAAGAGCTGCAGACCCTTCGCTTGGAGGCGGACACTCTGACAGACCAGCTCTCTCACTTGCAAGCCGCGCGGCTGCACCATTCCGCAGCATTGGCGTCCCCCTCTACCTCGAGCGGGGATCGATGGCGCAGCGCAGCGGCCGCTGAAGGGGAGAAACGACAGCACGCAGAGAAGACCAACCGCAAGCTGAAGGTCAAGTTAGCGGAGCTCATGAAGATTCGTGCGCCTGTTCTCAGTGCGTTGGACAGGTATCAGGCGCTCAAGGTCGGTACCTGCCTAATAGGATTACATACTATTCCATGGTCTCCAATGTAAACGACTATTCTGCTGCAGGACTTGGACTTCGTGCTTCAATTGCAGCCGAAAGTCTACAGACCACCACGCGAAGCTCGCCTCAGCGACGCGGTACTAGAAGAACTGACCAATAACCTGGACTGCCTTCGACTCGATACCGACACGGTGTTCCCCGTGATGGAGAGCAGCATGAAAGTGTCTTTCCGCTCTCAATCCTTGCCCGAATCCAACTGCATTCAGGCAAGCTCCATCACGCCTGTGGCCGGATCGTCTCGAGAAATTGGAGAAATGCTGTGGCTGCACGCTTCGAAGAAGAAGAGAGAGACCGACAAGTTGTTTCATTACGTACGTGTGGACAACCTTTTTATTTATTTTTTGTTAGATCTGCACTAACTTAACGCTTGAATTGAACCCTTACAGGTACACCGGAAGTCTCCCAGTCCACTGGATGTGAACGTTGAGGCGTCGTTTGTGGAGGGCTCGCTGTGTGTCAACTCTGTCTCAACCTTCCGTCGATACGACGAGGGCGACCGAATCCTCCTCGTGGGAATGATAAAGTGGTTCGTGGGAAAACTCGTGCTCCGCGACTACAACTGGACCGTCATCTCGGCGTCTCCTGAGGACTCTGCATTCGTGTGTGGTGAAAAACGTTTACAAGCTGGAGATGGCTTCCGACATGCCGGCGCACGCAGCGCTAGTACAGAGAGCTATCTTCAAGTCAATCGGCGACAAAATGCGCAGCTTCCGTCAGTCCATGCACGACCACCTACTCAGCAAGTTTGAGCCCCTTGCGATCTAATTGTCAAGGATCTTTATCGTTGGACACGTCACTCCGAACACGCAAGAAGGCGATAATGTAATGCAAAAATACAGTGTTGTTGATACGATAATTAACTTGTGATGTTTTGCAATCACCGAAGTCGTCACCTTCTACTTACACGAAGTAGGCGCAGACTGCAACGGCGACCGCTGCGACGGTGCCCATGGCTGCAGACACTTGAGGGATCGCATCGGAACTTGAGAGTGCGGGTCCGGATCGAGGGGCGATTGCACCGCCCGTTGATGAGAGCGAGAAGGAACTGGACGATGAGCCGGAGCTGCTCTGGGCCGAGGTCGAGTCGGAGCCGCTCTGTCCTGAGGTCGAGTCGGTGCTTGAGTCACTGGCCGCGGACTCCGAATCGGACGAGGTGCTGGACGTGGCGGTGGATGCAGAAGTGCTGGTACTGTTCGACGAAGTGGCTGAGGTGGCAGCGCTCGTACTTGATGAAGTCAAAGTCGAGGAGGAGGACGAGGAGGAGGAGATTGTTGCTGTGGTCGTGGACGTCATTTTCTCCCGCGTCTCGGCTGGCCGTTCGTGGATTGACAAGGTGATCAAGGGCAAGAAGATGAAGAAACACGCTGCGTAGGTGGCATCGGTTTCGTTCGAGATTGAAGCCTACAACAGGACATTGATATCAGTTCACATCCCATCAGTTGATACAGCTTTCTCAAGAAAAATACAAATCAAAACTACTTGGTGAGCTCTGAACAAACTGTACCAGCGAACTTGTCGAATTCAAACTGTCGAACCTTTCGCAGCCAGCGTGCTCGGTAGAAGTAAGAAGGTTTATCATGCGCAGACGAAAATTGTTGTTGAAGGCATTCGCTGCAATTTCGCTACTAGAGAGATAATCTCCTACCAGCTAACGACATCGAAGACTGGAGTTACTAGAGTTCAATCCACTCGGGCGTTTGATTTAGTCACTAATGCAGCCATTACTTCCCATCACCAACCATACGGCTTCATACCTGAAGCCACCTGACTCTTTCTCTATTTTGTCTACTTACTACATGCACAGAACAGCATTGCATGGCTCTTACTTCATTCTTCAATTGGCTTTCCTCCCAAAAGTACCATGGTGTCCTCGCGCGGCGTTTTCAACACTTTTCCGTCATGCCCGGGGCTTACATTCTTCTGCAGAGTTATCGACGCGTCCAATGTACTTGAGGTGCAGCTTCTAGACGGATACACCCATAATGCATGGTAAGTCGGTAGCTAGATTCATGGCTTTAAAGTGTTTTAAGACACACTCATCTAACTATGTGTGAACACTCGACTTTTATATTTTACTAGGTCGACCCGCATCACGGACCGCGACTTCAACATAACTCTGCCTTCGCGGGGAAAACTCTCAACTCTGTTTATGGTATGTGCTAGTGTATCAATGGGGGGATGTACCAGAATCTTCATTTTTGGTGCATATCTGACAATCGTTTGAGCATTCCACTCAGGTTGCCATTGATGCTCACGTCGCCCGCAACTCTTGCGATGAAGCAGCTCTGGACTTGGTGAGACGGTCTGAAGAATGTGCCGTCTTGCAGCTCCGCGTGGTCGATGGGCAGTCTCAATGCTGCAACTACACATTCACGCTTCACCGCGTTAGTGAGAAACAACGTGAAATAATCTCACGCGATGCACTGAGTTCCAAGGCTGGTGGGGGGGCGTATCGGCGTTGTGCCGATTCTCCTCGTAATCTCCAGCATTTCGTTCATTATGGGGCTGTATAGCAGGCCGGGAATCGCTGCCTCTCATAGCATCACCGATGCTACCCTGCTCCGTGGGAGTGCCTTTGTGAGCGCGAAGCCATTCGCCATCGCAACAAACAAGGCGATCTACTGGGAACCAACAAGCAGCTTCGACAGGCGGTTCTTCTCGTTCGACTACTTGCAGCCTCAAGTGACGAAAGCCGGAATGGCACAGGTTTCGATCTCGCTGGAGCACGCAGACTGTCAATCGGATGTTGCGTTCCGACTGCGTCTGGAGGAGACCGAGGTTGCCGTCGTGGCTGACGATGCGTGCCTCGAGTCCAATCGATCGTCTGTGGCCTCCTACGTCCACACAATCCCGGTGAAGGCGAATGAAACGTTGAGCTTCGAGTACATTGGGGGCGGCACGCTCAACACGGAGAAAAGCTTCGTGGATGTTCTTCTGTTGCCACCGAACCCAGAGTATTGACTCAATATACTCAATACTATTGAGTACTCTGCAGTACCGTCCGAGGCCGCATGAATTTGCCCATTGCACCGAAGTAAATGAGACAGCCTCAAACAAAAATATACTAATCAACCAAAGTACGAATCGCGATTTAAGCATACCGCTTGAAAGAGCCGTGTTCTGGGCGTCTTTTGAGCTATTGAGAGACGAAAAATGTTAAGGAGTGACGTCGGTCTGAAAAAAATATCTCCATTTTCGGACCCCCCAAATCCCGGATTTTATTTGGGGCTTGTGAGCTCAATATTTCTTCAAAATTCACGTAATTGTATATTGCCGGAAAATTCGTGCTAAAAGCAATCGAATTAGAGTTTTTTTCGCTTAATACGAGTGATTTAAATTTCGAGTTTTCGATGCCCTGTTAGGTACGACATTTGATTGGTCAACTTCAAACGCGATTATCTCGATATCTCGTGACTTAGTATCATTTTGTTTGAGGCTGTCTCAAATGTACCAGATGTCCCCAACCTGGAGCAGCAAGAAATAATAATTTGTTGCTTTCCGAACAGCGAAGTTTGATTTTCTCATTTACTACGTACTATGGTCCTCCATCGCCAAAACCGTTGGATGTTGTATTCATCACTAACTATCATCACTATCAGCAACAAGTAGACCACTCCAAAACACGATGAAGGATTCTCAAACCCAGGGGGCTTGCGCAGGAGCCGCAGTGGGGGCCGCAGCAACGATGGCAGCAGTTCCGGCCATTCAAGGGATCGGCTTCACTACTTCTGGTATTGCTGCCAACTCAGTCGCTGCCGGACTGATGTCCAGCGCAGCTATTGGCGCCGGAGGTGGCGTAGCAAGTGGAAGCACCGTCGCCGTCTTGCAAGGAATTGGCGCTGCTGGTACCGTGCCATTAGGAATCGCCGCAGCTACGGTAGCTGTCCCCACAGTCATCGGTCTCGGTGTTGGCGGAGTTTTTTTAACGGCCTTCACAAGGACAAGCTGGACTCCACAAGCGCATACGAGCAGCATGATGCCGATGAAACCTGCTGGATTGTTGCCATCGAGAAGGGCCCTGACAACGTTCGCGTGCTTCGGTACAACAATGAGAGCGACGCTCGTAAGCGGTTCCAGAAGAGCTGGTCGATTCGGATTCTCTACAGTCCCGACGGCAAGATCGCTACTGGTGGTTGGAACCGCTGGGCGCATGCAACGATTCGTCGCGTCATGAAGGAGAAATACTTCTCCACTTAGCCTTACGTTAGCCAGACGCAGCTAACCGGTCAATCGATGATGCAGTTGACGCGTTTATGTTGGACAACACCATTGGGTGCCTGCCAAAAGGGTCATAAGGACCCGGAGTAAATGCAGCAGATATGCTCGGCATCAGCTAACATAAATCTCGTGAGACCGGAAAATCGTCTCGATAAACCGGCGGTTATGCCGTGTACCCATCTTAACGACTTACTACGACTTTGTATTGAATATGCCGACCATCATTCTTGTGAAGATCGCCTGTCATATATCTTTTCTGCACGCGTCGCCCACTCTGCTTGTTCGCGCGTCGCTACTCGGATTCTTCGCTCGTCGCTCGCTCTGCTTCTTGAGGATCAGCGGAGGTATGTTCGTTAGCTTGATGGCAGAGCACAAACCGATTCTAACTTTCGTGTGTGAAGATGGTTCATGTGAGGCACTCGGCGCTCTAGTGGCGGCACCGCTGTATCAAGGATACATCAAGCGAAGACGAGAGCACTCAAGATGAGAACACCTCGCCAAATGTCGCTCGTGAGAGCGCTCCATCACCTCACCCTGTCGGCAGTGATGCCGAAGTTGGAGAGTCCTCGAGCCCAGTGGGAACGCAAACGCCGCCCTGGCTGTCTCCACAACATGGCGTGCGCGTTGCCAAGTCACAGACAAATCCTGCTCCATCCCCTGAGCTCGATGCTGCGACGGTGTCACCAGACCCAGCCCGGCGGCTTGCACAGCAGCCACAAACCCCGCCGGTGCCCGGTCCGCTCAGCCCAACCACATCTTCGCCAATATTACTCGAGACACCGCCGGGCTCGCCGCCTCGAGCTGCCGCTCTCGTGCAGCGGCGACGAGAGCAACATCGCCGGGAACGACGCAGTTCGATCGACCCGTACTTGAGGCCGCGACGGCAGGTGGTGCAGCCAGCACACCGTGACATCAATCCAAGAGAGCTTCGTTGGACACACCAGGAGACCACCGGCAGCCGACCATACTCGCCGGCTTCTCGTCCAGGCGACCGATTTATGGCTGCACGATGGCCATTTCAAGTTGCTCAGCTTCGCAACCAGTTCAACTCGCTTGGATCCGTGTTTCCACGTGTACAGCATTTCGGCTGGTGCACGTTCTCGTCGCCGTGCCGTGTGGGTACCTGCCGAAACTCACTGATGCAGATTTTCTGCAGCGTCAAGTGCTGGCTTACGGTGGTCACTGCGGGAACGGAATTGAAGAGTCCAACAAGGTTTTTTTGGCACGAAATATGCTCACGCGGTCGCTGGCAGTCGTTGCAAGCGAGAACATTGAGGACGGTGAAGTAATTGGCCAGTACCTGGGTGAACTGGAACACGTCAGCGCGGTTCGAGTAAACCGACCTCGCAACAACGGGTATCGTCTCGTGATGACTCAGCGACCTGAAGTTCCAGCCCACCCAGTTCGGATCGCCATTAATGCCGAGCACATGGGCGGGGTGATGAGGTTTGTCAACCACTCTTGCCGACCCGCGGCCAGGTTTGCGGTGGTTGCAAATGGACGGCGAACGACAGTAGTGGTTGTAACCACACGTGGCATCCGCCACGGAGAGGAAATCAGCGTCGACTATGGTGATGATCTCTGGTTTGTGTGTCGATGCGGCTTGGACACGTGCCGCCACGGTGGAATTCAGGACCAGGAGGACCCGTGACGTGTGGACACAAATGAACACAACCAGCATCATACTATGTCGATGCAGTCGATGTGTAGTTATGATTCTGCATGTGATGCACAGATAATTCAACTCTCGATGTCAGATCGCTCGCGCAAGTTGCTGTTGGTTGATCAAACAAACGAGCGTACTGAATACTACGCTTGCGCGCCAGATTAGACGACAACCCAAGTTTTACCGAAAGGGCATTTTCGCGCCTTGAACTTCCTCACGTTGACAACCTTCCAAGATCTGCCGAGCCGAATTGGTGGTGGCGATTGCAAGTCCACGAGCGATGGAGGGCGGGCCCACCGAGGGAGGCATTTTGCGGCCGCCTCGGGCTTGCTCATTCTTCGATTTTCCATGTCGTCAACAAGCCCACCGCCTCGTCAGCAGTTCCTCGGCTCGCTCTTCCCCTCTGCCTTCTGCAAGTACGTCGAGGTGACGCTCTTCGTAAAGAGTATTGTAAGTGGCTCGCTAATATGCGTTGTGGCGTTGGCTTTTGCTTTGCAGATGCCCAAACAAGCTGGAAGCATGAACTACAAAATGAACGCAGTGAATCGCATGCTGCAACTTGTTTCTGAGTATCTACCACTTGGTCGAGACGAATGGGAACGCCTCGCTACGGCCTACAACGGGAGTCGAGGTCGAGGCTGGGCTGAGCGCGATTTCGAGAGCTTGCGCCGAAATTTCAAGCAGCTTTACTGTACCCGCAAGCCCACCGGCGTTTCGACGATGCCGCCCCACATCGAGAGGGCGAAGAAGCTCAAACAAGCGATCGACGAGAAGGCGAACGTTGTTGAGATGGACGACGAGGCTGACGCTGATCCAGACCAAGATGGAACCAGCAATCAGCCCGACTTCTGCTTCGAGTACGATCCGGACGAAAGCCTCTCAGACCAGGACGGAGATGGGGGCGTGGTGCGCGTCGGTGGCCACGCATCTGGCGCTACTGCTGCTGGAGGATTGAGCGGCCGGTTGGACCCCCGTAACGACGAAGACCCCACAATGGTCGCAGCGGGTGACCAGTCTCCCCCTCCCGTGGAGCAAGGTGAAGACTTTCAAGAGCTCTTGAACTTCGACCCTCTCATGGAGGGCTTGGAGGCATTTGGCAATACGCCTCGTCCGGCGCCGACTCGAGTGGCACGCTCCGGCAACCCTGTGACCGCCACGAACGCGCGCTCATCTACAAAGAAGACCACCCGCAACACCAACACCAACCGGGTGTCGGCTGGTGCGGCCTCAGCTAAGGCTGCTACTATACCAGATGCGGCATCTACCACTTCGCCATTGCGCTCGCGTGATGAACGTGAGGCCGCCCGCTACCCCAAACTGAAGAGCTACTCAAACCGACTTGGCGGCGTGAATTTGGCTACACCGTGACCCCGAAGCGCGCCGCCGAAGGGGAAGGGGATCTTCTCGAAGCCAGCTACGCTAAGGCAAAACGCATCCGCGCCATGAAGGCAACTACTGCGTTGAAGCAAAAGCTCGAAACGATGGAGCAAGCTTCTAGCAGCAGAAGAAGTGAGCAGCGCACGGAGGCCCGCCTCCGTGCAGACAAGCTGGTGGCTATCAAGCGTCGCCGCCAAGAGAAGGAAGATGCGCGCGAACGCACGCAGGAGATGATGCTTTTCATCGGAACGTTGCTGAAGAAGCAATAAGGGTACCGTGGACACGCTGCTACCGCGGCACGAACAGCCGGGAATCATGATGTTGGCCAGAGCTCTAACGAAGACCAGATAAGAACAAGACAACAAGGGGCCCTGCATTTCTGTAGCGTTGCATTTCCCAGACATCCCTAGTTAACTCTCAAGACAGCATCGATTCATGTATTTGTTCCTGATGACACCAACCGACATTTACATATAGGGCTAGCTGATGTTCATGACTTGCTAACTAGAAAGCTGGATACCCAACCCACGAAATTCTAACCACCTTATTGCAGCTCTTGCGGCACCTCCATCGCACCAGAAAAAGTGGTGCGGATCTGCGAAATGCCCACGGTTCGCACTCGATAGTTCACAAGTCGGAAGAGGTTCGTGAGTCTTAGACCACGCAGCTTGGGGTCGTATGGTAGCGGGAGGTTGAGTCGATGGTACATCTTCTGAATGCTCCATTCAGCGGCTTGACGCGCCGAGGTGATGGCATTGTGCAGCAGCCGCACCGGACTCCTGAGTGAGGGGAGAATGCGATCGAGATCCCCATCCTTTAGCGGTGTCAGGATGCGGCCGGCGACGGATGCAGAGCATGGAAACGCGGAGTCGGAAACGACATTCATCCGTGTGTCAGGGCAAAATGCAGGATCCAGTAACTTCATGGGGAAACCAAGCGATGTATCTGCATCATTCCAAGATCCAGGGCAATTGTGCTTGCTCCAGATAATACAACCGTCTGCCGCAAAGCATATTGTCCCTGTGACGTACACGGAGTGTAGCCAGCCATCCATTGTACATTGCATTTTGCATGTCTGCATTCGATGGCTCCTGAACCTGGTTAGCATTAACACAAAAGAAGAACACCATTGTCAGATTTACACTAGCAAGTTCATCAAATGCACATACCTTTAAATTCTTGCCGTCTATAAAACCAAACGTGTGCGTAAGCAGCGGCTCGCGTGCTTCCACGAGTCTTGCCAGTTCAGCTTGCTGTTTTGCAGACGGCCACGAAATGCGTGCTGGCGCAAAGTTGGTCAAGGCCTTTGCCAGTGCTTCTTCCGCCCTGCGCAGATACCGTGAGAGCGTCGTGGGCGGCACGCCGAAAATCATGCAGAGCGCTCCTTGCTCCATCGATCCGACGTAAAAGCAAAGGATGAGGCCCAGCGCCTGGTGATGGAACCGCAGCTTGGTCGGACGGCCCCCTTTTGCCGTCACAGACGGCAGGTAGAAGAACCGCGCGAACCTGCGTAGTAGCTGCTGAAAAGAAGCCCTGTAACCAGACACGTTAGATAGGTGTACCTCTGCACAGTCTCGAAGTGTAACTCACCTCGTCAGACTTGTTGCATTGAGGAAGTTGCTGTCATCGCCGTAGGTGTACAGCACCATCCAAGCCGAGTTGCTTGGCACGTCCAGGCACTGCGCAGTGAGATAGTGGCGAGAGCGCATTGCGATCTTCCACGCTTCTTCCACCAGCCGCTTGTGAATCGCGCGTCGAACAGCGCCCAGATCCTTGTTGTAGCTCACGTAGGCCTCGCACAGCACACACAGAGCGTCGCACGTGTCATTCTGGAGCTCCATCACCGCGGCAGCGTGGGCAGAAGAGCGCTGAATCGTAAATGAGCATGCTGAGATAAACTGCAGAAAGATCTAGCCGTAGAAATGTCCGGAGCAAAGTGACGCTGTAGGGCGAATAGAGGTGGTACTTGGACATTTGTAATCGGACGGAGTTGTTGTCGATAAGCATGTTGTGGCGGGTGCAACTAGGCTATATGTCGACATATCCACCCGCATATCTGCGGTAACTATGTTAGGTCCTTATGACCCTTTTGGCAGGCACCCATTGTATCACCGCATACGCTAGCGAACGAGTCGATTCTTCCACGACCGCACCGTGTTATGAATCGGCTCCGGTTGCAGCCGTTAGCGCACACGGTGGTGCGTTGGCGCACTGGAGGGGGCGTCGCAGGAGCGACGGTGCGGACACTGCCCTGGAAGAAGCCGAAGGAAGGAGAGACAAGGTCCTGGGAGGAGGACAGCAGGGGACAGGAGTTGAAGTGCAACGAGTGATTGGGAGCTCTGGAGACGCTACCCAACGTGCATGTGTAGCAGTAGGAGTAGGAGCTCAGTCTAATATCTACCAAGTGCGTGTCAAGTCGTGCGGGTGTTCGCCTCCTCAGTCTTCTCGAGGTCGTGGCCTCACTGCGTGGAGCGAACCGACCCAGAGCGGAACACACCGTTCTCCTCGCGCTCGCCCTATTACAAACGGGCAATTTGTTCCGTTCAGATCCAACCGCCTTGCCTCTACAGTTGAAGTTGAAGTGGTTGATCCCGGGCTTGGTCGTCGGGTTAGCCAACACCAAGATCCTTTCATGTGGCCAAAAGACAAAAAAAGTTATTTGCAGCCATTACCTCGATCGTGATCTTTGTGATATGCATGACGGTGTCGTCGCTGCTTGGTCTTGATGGTGTGCTCCCCCTCGACGCGGAATGATCTGCGCACTACACCAACCGATGTTGACAAAGATGCGCTTGCAACATGCGCGGATCACACGTGGGCATGGCCTCGTCACTCTTGATTCCGCAGCGAACGACGCAGTTCAGTATCCTCATTATGTGGTCCTTCCTCTCTGTTACCAGCCCCACGAGAATCCACCACACGCCCGAGTTCCCGTTGCAAGTCCTCCAAGAAGCCATCGCGACTCAAGACTAAAGGAAAGTGTGGGAAGTGCTGCGTAAGCAGCGCATCCGAGACGAGCTCGTCCACAGTACCACGACTCACAAGGTCCCTACCGACCCGCAGCAGCAGAAGTTCAACGTCTTCACGTGCGTCGAAGCAGCTGTACACTGCGGCATGCCCCGAGTCGTTCTCGCAATGTACAGATTCAACCCCGCGGACGTCCGACTCGCAACGTGGTACGCACTCTACCGCCTCAAGACCAAGCAGGCTCAGGCGAAGGTCTCACCTGAACTCGTCGCTCTCGCTAGGGCACAGCGTCGCGCTTGGCTCTGGGATCGGATCGGGGTCTTGGTACTGCAAAAACGCTCGTGCTCGAGCAAGTAGACACCAAGAACGAGAAGTTTATGCGGTGCATCCTCTGGTTTCCATTCCAGACGAGGCTTTCAAGATCATTCTGAGCTTCGTCGACCTCCACGAACGCAAAGAAGCCCGGCTCCTGCAGTTCCTCAATGAAGCGAGACCGTGTCCAATCTGCTCCAGACTGTGTATTCCATGCCATTGCAAGGCTAAGTGACTGCGCAAGATGGAGCGCCGAGCTTCACGACGAAGCGCGAGTTCATCCTCTAATTAACTATAATACCCCCGCCAGTCATAGTAACCATGTCATAACGATTTACAACGAGTGTACCCCCTCTTAGCATAATCTGATTTTGGCGGCGGCCGATGCGATGCCGTCGACCTGCTGCCCCCGATGCCTCGAGCGTCTCCCGCTTCCATGAGGCTCTCCACCACGGGCGTGTGGACGCCGCGCGTCGTATGATCCACCAGAACCCGTCGCTGGCCAACGCGCGCGCGTCCTCGAGCCCCCACTTGACGTCGCTCATGGTCTCCTCTAGCACCAAGTTACCCCCGTTAAAGCATATTCTAACTCTGATCAAATTATTACTCGCCAAGGGGGCATTGCTCCGGACCAAGGACGACCATCGACGGACCATTCTAATGGCAGTTTGTGCTGCTGGAGCCCACCCACATGTGGTCAAGTGTCTATTGGACCACGACAGCATCAACGCAAACCATAGAGTTTTACTATGGAGTGACCAAGACGATCAGGGGCGGACTGCACTCGGACTCGCGTGTTCAAACGGCCACGGACGACTGGCGTCCTATATTTTGGACCTTTTGAGCCCAGACGAAGAAGTTGGACTCAATACGCCACTGCACGCCCTCCATTTCGCCATCCAGAGCCGAGACGAACGGTGTGTGCTGGATTTACTACGCAACAGGAAGCTGCGCTGGGTGATCCGAGAGAACCGACGGGAGGAGAAGCTGCTCGTTCATGGAGAGTGGAACCAGACCCACAGTCAGAGAGATGATGTTGAAGAGGTGACAGTCTCCAGTTGCGTGGCTGCCGCGGTAAAGCAGGAGATGGTTCACGTGGTGATGGAGATGCATCGTTTGAATCGACGGTGTGTGGGCCACGCCACGTGGTTCGCGTTGTGTAGTGAGGAGAGTGCTTGCAGACAAGGGAAGACGCCTGAGCTGGTGCAGAGATTCACGCGAGTCAGACCGGAATTTGAAGGCATTGCAGATCTCCATCGACGAGACTGCGTCTGGGAGCGCATACAGCTCGTGTTTCTGGTGCGATATGCTCCGGAACGGAGTGGGAGGTTGAGGGCGAGTCGGCAGCTGAATATCGTGGCCGAGCTGCCTGACAGTTTGTTTCGGATTGTGGCCGAGTTTGTAAAGCCGCAGTTTGACGACGCCGAGGAGGCACAGAAGGAGAGGTTCAAGTCCGTGCTGGACCTGTCGTCGTGGTAACCTGAGGGGGAGCGCTGTCCGATTTGACCTGCACTTCGAAGAGTGGGAAGTTTCTCATCCAAAGTTGATCGTTATCCAGCAAAAAAATTGTGACGTCCTTCCGCGGATCGAGTTTTTTTGCTTCAACAACGGTTGGCCAGAATTGCTGTTTTATCATGACCGAGTCAGCGAAATGATTGTGCTGTACGCAATCGTGATGACGAACTTACCATCCAATTTGGTGCTTGCAGGATATGTAAAAAGATTAAGGGGAATGCAAAACGATCGGATACAGCCCATCCAACCTCTCTTCGTACCTGTCCGCTCGGGTACCACTTACCAATTTTGCGTGGAGGGCAACATGCGCCGCGGCTTCTTTGCGGTGCGGGTGGCCGTCACCGTCCTTACAGTTGCCAGTGCTGCTACTAAGGATTCCAACCCCTCCACATCTGTACGCTCGCTCACGGATACCCCAGACGGTGTTTCTACCAAGAGACTGTTGAGCAGTAACAAGGCGGTGGACGAGAGTGAAGAAGAGCGGGCGATCGCCATCCCACAACAACATCTTACTTCAAAATAGAAAACAGAAAGCATAGAATTCATGTAATACATGTGCAAAAGTACTGCTAAACTTCCTCTACTGTAGGCACAGTAGTTTTCGCATAGAATTCATGTATTACATGAATTCTATGCGAAAACTATCCGCCTACTTGGATGAGTAAGACCCACCTGGTCCTACCGGCAGACGGCTGTCACCAGATAGCATATGCTTGGGACTTCTCCGCCGACGAAGCTTCGTACTGATGCGCGTCGTTCGTCGAATAAGGACCAACCAACGAGTGAACAGCAAGCGCCGAGTGTCGAAGAGACCAAGCTCCGAATCCACCGGAATCGGCGGCGCATTTACCAGCAGCGCTACCGGAAGAAACTCTGCGGACGGGAGACGACGTACGAGGAAGAAGTCGCACAGCTTGGAGGTCAGATCCAGAAGCTACAGCAACATCGTCAGCTTGTTCTCAGGGATACCGACGCAGCCAACGTCGTGGCAAGTCGTGGCCGAATACTACTCGCTCTTCCGCAACGGCTTGAAGCCTCTGGTGGTCACTTCAGACGTCAGCAGCGAGTGCGTCCAGGAAACTCACGTGCAGAAGCGCTTCCTTCAAGCGAACATGACTCCGGATGTCGCTACCAACTCCGGACTTGGGGTGGCCGCGCTGCTCGCTGAATGGGAACGACTTCGCGTGTGCTACCCAGACCTGAGGGTGAAGCTTGTGAGCTTGAATCATGGGGAGGGAGACGCGATGAGGGCGATGAGTCAGCGGTTTGTCACGATCACCGAGCAGACGCTGCGCAACGCGTTCCAGCACCTCATCAACGGATAGAGATGGTCTCCGATGGCGTCAAAACTGTTGGGGCGGCGACTCGGGGTGTCGATTACTACGCACTTTGAATGGGACCAAGCACGCGCCCAAATCTGCAGTGTGCACAGCACAACAGATATTGTGACGCCGCTGCTGAAGATGTTGGGGAACTTGGAGGACGTTGCCAGTGTACTGCAGAACCCCTTCCTCCAGCAGTAGTCAACATCTTACTTCAAAATAGAAAACAGAAAGCATAGAATTCATGTAATACATGTGCAAAAGTACTGCTAAACTTCCTCTACTATAGGCCTTGCGCCATCTAATTGCATCATCTTTGTAGTACGCCCCGAACGCACTGTAGACGTCCACGTTGGGGTCATAAGGCCGTTTCGCCGTATCCAGCTTCAGCATTTTGTAGATTGTTGGATACGGCGAAACGGCCTTATGACCCCAACTACAAAGCCAATAAAGGACTCGAATGCCTGCAGCGTCGATGCCGTCGTAGTATCCGCGATTTGCCGAGTTGACGCGCTGCAGGACGTCTCCAACCATGGCGTCGCCCCGTCGCTCGATGTTGGGCGGGTAGAGGGTGCTGAAATTCATCGCCAGTGGGAGGGGGGGGGCTTGACTTGACTTCGACGAGGCGGCTGATAGAATGAAGTGTCCTCCTACTTGCTGGTTTACCGTTCGTTAGTGACAGGTCACAAATCTGCGGTTTTGGTCCTTCAGTGGTGACGATGGCTGAGTTGGCTTGGCTTTGACCCCTGATGTCGTGTGGAGCTGGTGTAAGGTGAAGGGGAAGCCAAGAGAGAGATCGGCGCACCGGGCAAGAAAGTCGTGCGGATTTGAGCTCGCGCCAACGAGCAGATTCGGAATTAACGCGCCACCGTTAATCCGGGGCCACCAGCAGCCTCCGGATGATAGAATGAAGTCTCCACTCAACTTGCAGAGCAGCGGAGGGGGGGGGGGGGTGATCACGAACGAGTAGATTGCGTGTGATGACACCCGAATAATGTATTACAAATACATAAGCGTGACCAATCGTTAGTAAACATGTGGGATTTGTCATTCTAAGCCAGATGTCACCAACAGTTCATCCAATTCTTGCAACGCGCGTCGGTCCTGCGTGGTAGTACTCCCCACACGCTAAGGGACTCAGCTTTACAGCCTATTAGGGGGTTTCAAAGTAGCGAAAAATCAGAATTTGTTTTTGCCAAAGATTTTCAAAAGATCAGACCAAAAACCAGACAAACGATGAGCCTCCGGACGCTCATCGTTCGTCAGATTTTTTGTTGAGATTATTTTTTGGTGACGGTCAAATGCCATTCATCGAGCGGCAGTAAGACACCGCTTGAAGCCGACCCAGAGCAGCACCTAGAAGGCGGTCAGGTGCCGCGCGCACACGAACATGACGCCCAAGACGCCGGGTTGGCGGGCGGTGCCTTGGTCAGCTGCTAGCTGATGCTCGGGGCACGGGCGGAGGCTTCAAACTGCTGCCCCGATTGCCAGCGCTGGCCTCGAGCTTGGAGCGCCAAGAGCAAATCTTTAGGTCAATGCAAAACCGAGCAACAACGTCGCGATCGGCTGAAAAATGACGCTGCGACGGCCTAAAGATCAGACCATTCATTAGCAAAAGATTCCTTTAAAAAATCGCTACTTTGAAACCACCTATTGGCAGCTTGAGCAGGCGACAAATTGGTCAAAGATGATAAGGCTTCACCTTAAATCTGATCCTCCACTTCGAAATTCTCCCAAGTTCTCGTTCACTTCTAGCGTGTGAAAAGTTTCATTGGCAAATTACGGAGCCATAGCAGTCATTGGTGAATGGGTGAGTCCGGCGACTCGCACCGATCATCACAATTCGCTAAATTGGTGCTACTGTCGCTTAGATCCCGTACGAGGTTGAGGAAGTCATCCGGAGGCCATCGCAACTGCGGTAGTGTCTACTTGGTCATGTGGAAGTCCCCAACGTCTAACCAGCGCGTACTTTTACGAAGCGCTCTCAGGCACTCGTTTGTCGCCGCCGTCCTTGAGATCAACGAGGCGAGTGTCGCGGATCGACGGGTCAAAGACGGAGGCCGTGTAGGGATGCCGGCCGCTGCCATCTTTGACTCGCAAACTTGTGAACCTCCCAACGACGGCCCAATTGCTGCAAGAAACTGTGGAAGCCCAGCCAGACCGGGTGTGGCATCTTCATTGAAGACCAGTGTTAGTGATCTCAGTGTTCGTGAGTTTCGGTCGAGTGCCATAGCTTGAGTGTTCCTTAAACCACTCCGCCGAGTCTGGCCAAATCCAGGAGCAAAAACGTCTACTCACTCGCTCTCCATATCGCCGCTAAGTGCGCGAAGCACTAACCAGATCTAAGAAGTTGACGATATATTGATCCTCCTCGACCTGTAGTCGAATTTGCTACAGGCTAATAGCGCATTCTGCTGTTCCACTGCGATAGCAGGGGAAAGTTTTTGTTTTGGATAATCCGAATGCATCCAGCTGCAGAATTTGCGCATCGGCTTGTCCAAGCTTCCGTTTTTCAAGGTGGTCCACGGCCACGGGAATGTCGGGATCTCCAGCATCACCTGCCTGGTCGCTCGGGTGAGAAATGACGCCGAAGCCATGTCCTTGAACACAACAACGCTAGGAGCATCTCTGGAGGCCACTCTCTTCAAAAAGCAGCTAAAAAGGAGGCGCGTGAGCTGGGCGATTGTCTTCCTATCAAGCTCGAGCGATAACCCCAAATTTTCGCTTACACTTAGGTTCTCCCTCACAAAAGTGTTGTTGCTCCCGTAATATCCGACTAAATTCCTTCGTCCCAGTTCATATTCAACTGGTCGAGACGTAAGGGGATCTGTTGGTGGTCAGTTCCTTCATGGTCTTCACAACTGCTCCAATGTCCTTGAGAGTCCTGATTTGAAGAGTACTTCAATAGCGACTGGGTCGATTTGGGGCCGAACCTTTCGAGGGCGTCAACGTACGCCTGACTGTCATGAGTGTACTCCTGCTTGCTGCACAACTGAACCAGATGTGCCCCGAATATTTGTTCGCCACTGCCACTTCATCATCATCTTCCAATCCGGCCTTCCACACAGTCACACTACAAAAATAGTCACTATGAAATTCCAGACTGCGTGGTTGATGAATGCCCTCAGCATGGCGAGTGACTCACGAACCTCCTCCTTCGTCCAAAGCCACTTGGCGGCATCCTCTTGCCAGTGTGTGTTATGATGGGATGAATTTGGATGGGTACATTGTGTACAGCACACAATAATAATGAGGTGGAACAGCAGGATTTGATTTTGGTGCCATTGATGCCTAGTGTATCCATCTTGTGAGTCGATTGATGAGGTCTCGATCCTGATAGCTCTATGCGAAAAGTGGACAGTGTCCATCATTTCCAAGCGGCCACGGCAGCGATGGAGGCCATTCCCCAATTTTCCAGTCGCAAATGAAGTCGATTCAGGTGCTCATCGTCGCCGCTTTGGCCATCTCCAGCGTCTCTGCTGCAAACTCGGATCCGACCAGCACGCCTAGCAGAACGTCGTCCGAATCCTTTCCAGTTTCCGACTCAACGATGAGAGGGTTCCCAGAGTCACCAAGGCAAACGCCCTTACCTTCACCAGCACTACCGCACAGCGTGGCCTCCGACCGAGATGAACACTCCTCTTCACCCCAAAGCCTGACGTCCATGCGCTGCAGTTCGGATTGCACCGATCCATCCGAGGAGACCGACGTGAAGCCCAAACCCACAGACGTGACCACCGTGCCCACCTCAACATGGGGGTCGTCGGCATCGGCGAGCTGCACAGGCTTAACTTTGTTGACAGGGAGCTCCAGTTCGAGTACGGCGAACGCGTACGAGACGTAGTCGTTGTCGAACTTGGGGTGGGTCTTGGCTGACACGACCTTGTTCATCTCGCCATCCACGCCGATGATGTAGTTGGATCCCACCGAGACCCAAAGACTGGGGGAGGTGCCATTGACACAGTTGGGGGAGGTCAGCACGTGGGTTAGCGAGATGAGAGCTCCCGCGCAGAAATTCGGGTCGAAGGGGTCCTCTCGAATGCCGACGGTGTACAACTTGGAGTTGGTGGGGACGGCCTCTCCACCGACAATCAACTTGCGCTCGCCGTAAGCGGTGGCAGCAGCAGCTCCACTGGCCAGGAAAGCGGAGGCGGCGAGAATGGAGACAGTCTTCATGGCGGTTGGCGTTTTGTAGTAGTACTTGTGTGCTTGGTGGCTCAAGCGGAATGAAACGAATGCTGCGCGGGATCAACAAGTTCATTTCCGGGCTTGTGTGACATCGTGGTTTGCGGTACAGTGCGCAAAGTTACACTGCATACGTTGATTACTTTGGTTTATGGGCGATCAATAGTGGGGCACAAGATTGCGAAGTGGTTCACCGTCAACTTGACGTTTGCTTGAATCTATATAAAATAATATAAAGAGCACGATTATGATGCGATCGACCGTCAACTCGGTAGGATTCGCTACAAGATCTGCCTCGGAAATCGCGCTTTCTTTCTTCTTTCAGTTCATTTCATTCAAAGTTGGACCCTCATGTCACCAGCCGGGTCTCCGACACGTTCTACTCCAATTTACTGCGGCACAGACCCGCCTTAGGACACGCATTCAAACTTTGAATTTGAAAGGACAGCAACAAGTTATGTCCTATCCTACGATGCTTTTTGCGAAGATAGTTCAAGTTGCGGTCCAACCGCTGTATCGTCAACACGACAGAAGAAACGCATTCAACGCGCGAGGCCGCCATAGTAAAGTGTTGCTTCGCATCACCGACTTCAGAAATCGTTAACGTCAGATTAAACGATGAAGTGACAATGGAGTGAATTCAACGAGCAAAAACTTAAAAATATAAAACAAATCGATGGCTCCCGAGTAGTGTGGCGCGAATTACTGCATAGTAGGCGGTAGCAGCAGAACATCCATGAAGCTATCGTCCAGGTTCAGTTTCCCACTGCCAACGTACATGACACTCAACGTGTCGTTCGCCTCCACTGGAACCGTGTGGACATACGTCGACGAGATCCCGATAGAAAAGAAACCGCACGAGTAATCATAGACGCTAGCGATCTCGTCAGCTCCTTGGTACACCTTGAAAGCGATATCCGAGTGGCAATTCGAGTGGCGTAGCATGATCGATATCTGCGCAAAGCCCGCCTCAGCCACTTGCAACTTCGAGTACTTGCTCAAGAAAAAACTTTCGTCGAAGTTGTTGCTGGGCTCCCAATAAATTAATCCGTCGCGGACGACGTACGGTTTGACGCTGGCGAACGCGATCCCTCTGGCAGGCGGAGGCGTCACATCGCCAACGATAGCGATATCACACACAGCAGCCACGAAAATTGCCATTGAGATCGCCAAAAGGCTGAAAAGCCAAGAGATTCCCGTGCATAGAGGACTTGACTGGGGCTGTATCGTGGTTGGATCCGCGTTTGTAGCCTTATCGGTCAGCCCCAGCGCCATCGCTGCCACGCTGGCATGTAGCTCGATCTTCTCACGCCGCTCCGCATTTGCTGGCTCGAGCATAAAATTCAGACTGGGGCTCCAGTAGCAGCCTTCCATACCAAATCGGAGGCGGAGCTGCAAGATGACCAGCTTTTCGGTTTGCTCGACCATGTCCAGCACCACATTTTCTGATGCGCGCCCGGATCCGAGCGCAGCGAGCCCAATCTACAGGAATACAACGTTGTTGTCAGCACATGAAAAGTGCTTGCTACAAGTAGTTTAAGTGCTTCCAACCTTGAAAAAAGAGGCCACTTTGTCGATTGGGATTCTCGTCGTGCAATCCGCATATTGATCCAGGGTATTCGGTAGATCCTGATAGGACAACAAAGCCACACTGACGTGTTAAACAATTTTTTGTTTTGCAAAGTCTCCCCAAATAAGCTTAAGCCCACCAAGCCCTTTCAGTTGCTTTGTCGAACAGCTCGATCTCGAACCCGCGACTCGACCCACGACGCGGCAGAAGAAGTTCTTCTTCAAGAAGGGGGATCCAGCAGAGGACGGGAAGGTACTAAAAACTTGGACCATTGTTCTTTCGCTCTCCTTTTCAGCAACTGGTAGAATCTTTCACAGCAGCGGCTGATGGTCAAGCACCTCAGTCTGGGACTTTGCGAAGAAAAATATCCTACGACAGCGTGATTTTCGTCAGATTGATGGAGTTGTGAATGTAAGGGCACTAAAATAAGTGGTAATGGATCAATTGCTCCGACCGAGTTAAGACTAAAAGGCAAATATCAAGGGGCAAATGACAAGGAGAGGCGTGATCGAGACATTAAAACGCTGCTCACTTGTCCGTCGTGGCGGCGTATTGGTCCAGTACGAGCTGACGCACCATACCACCAGCTTGCGCTGCTGTATCACGGACAACCCACCAGTACTTCATCACGACGTCGGTGGTCTTGTGGGCTGCAGCTGTACTCCACTCCACAACAGCTTCAACATGCGTCCCAGAGTGGTCCAGCACACGCTTAGTGAGGGTGCACAGGTACAGCCACGACTGAGTCCCTCTTAGCGCAACAATTTGCATCGCTGCCTCGTTCCGAGGAGTCGGACGAGCGCTACCACCCACCACCCAAGCGGGGACTATAGCGTGGAGACGCTCCAGATTGTCGTTGGCGTCTCGCAGCTTGGCCGTCAGCATCTGCGTCTCGGTCACTTCGATCGGCTGCAGCACGAACTGGTACTCGGGCTTCCACACGACGTCAGCGATCGAGAACTTGAGCAAGAAGTCGAGCCGCATGCGACCTTCGCTCATAGCGATGAGGTCCACCTCATAGTCCGTGTCTCGACTCGGCTCCGAGCGCGCAAGACTCATCTGCAGCAATAATAAACAGCAACAAAAGGTAGATTGAGTAACTTGTTCCATCTCTTCCTTCTCAACCAGAAAACTTACCGCAAGGTAGTCCATCACGATGGCGTGTGGGATCCCGGCACCCTTCAGAGCGAAGTCATTTACAGACGACACGGAGCATTGCCTAGAATTATGCAGCGTAGAGGTTAAATTAAAAGTTCAATCGACCTGACAGCGTAAACTACACACGCACCATTGCTGCTTCGTGGCCTGTTGCTCCAGCCAGATCCTCGTTGGCGTCACGGAGAAGCGGAACACGGCACCGCGCTGCGAGCTGAACGTCGCCTTGCCCGCCGCCGTCTCCGTCGCCTTGGTCGCGCCAGCCATTGCTTCGTCCTGCTGCTTGGGCTTCAACTGGAAAAGTGAAAGCGATCTAAGTTCTTGAGCCTGAATCGTGCCACCCGTCCCAAGTAAGTCCATACCGATCGACATTTCTGACGCAGCGAGCGTGTAAATTCTGCAATTAAACCCTCAATCAATCGCTATTAGGAGCAAAGATCTCTGGAACTGCACCAAGTTGAAGTTAGGGTCCACTATTCGAAATATCGTATATAACTGAGTATGCATAGTAGTAATACTCATCCGGACCATACAAACATCGAGACATTCCCCTCGTGCGCTGCGAAATGTTCGCTCCAGATGCACCTGGTTTGCTTGGAGCCGTGTGGAGTGACACACACCAGCGGCATACGCCGCCAAGAACCGGCAACTTGTGGCTTTGCGGTGACCAGTTGCCGGTGCTGCCTGCTCCCTCAGTTCCATCTGAATCATCGCTACACTTGGTTTTTGTATGCACGCGGCCAGCTCAGAATGGCGCACCGGTATAAAAAGGCAACTTGTGGACACCGGCCATGAGACCGTGTGACTTGGGACGGCTCAGCATGGAGCAGCTCAGTCCTCAATTTGCCTTCAGCACGGCAAACAAACATCAGCAACAACTTCTCCACCGAGATTCAACAAAAATGAAGTTCTTCCGTTGCCTCGCTGTCGTTGCCATGGCCCTCGCTGCTGCTGCTACAGTCTCGGGCTCCGTCACCGAAGAGACCGGCGTCCAGGCCCGCCACATGCTCGCGATGGGCGACGAGTCCGTCATGTTGGCGCGCGGGTCGCTGCGCAGAGCCCAGGAGACCAACTGAAGCCTGGAGAGAGACCAAGTTCTAAATTATTAATGCCACTGTACCATTCCAAATTTGGCGTTGAATTTGCCGTTACATCTTTTAGTTTGAGAAGGTGGCCTATACTTCTCTTCTTTTGTGAAGAAGAAGAAGAAGGCGATGCAATCGTTGTCGCAGTTGAAAGACGCGTTGGCGGCGCTTGGGGTGTCGACGGCGACGGGCGATTTGAGGGGGGAAGCGAGACGAGACGAATTGGCGAGACGACTGCACCATGCGCGGGTGGCCAGTGGCGAGGCGAAGTTGAACGAAGGAGAAGGTACTGAAGGAGAAGAAGAAGATGCACGTGGGCTTAATAATTTGTCGCTCGCAGAGCTGCGGAGTGCGTTGGACCTGCGGCAGATTTCGACGCAGACGCCGGGGTTGAAAGGGGACGCGAGACGACACGCTCTGATCCAGAGGCTGATGAACGTGTACCGTCACAAGCAGGGCCGAAGGGAGGTGGAGTGCGATGCAACCAGCAGTCGAGTTGGCTCGAGTGACGAGGAGGAACAAGAGGACGCCAAGTCTGAGACGAGCTCCAGTGTGTACTCGACGGCGACGGAGTTTATCTTTTACGATACGCTGAAAGGGAACTTGAAGGCTGATCAGGAGCTGCAACTCCAAGCGACTTCATTGATGCCGCAACTTTCGTTCACGGGGCTAAAGAAGGTGGAAAATGAGCCTCAGACGGCTGAGGAGAGTGCAAAGGGTATCGATGAGCTGCATCGAGAGCTTTTCGACCTGCGGGCACAACTGCACACAGCTCGACAGGAGCGACAGCTACAAGTAGAACGAGCACTAAGTGAAGCTGGGATATCCACTACTCTGAGTAAAATCTCGACAAAGTTGCAGGCTCTGGAGCGCGAGCGTCGGCGGCTTCAGGAGAACTACTTCGGCCATGAACTCGTAACCTGCGGCATGCTCTCTATGAGCGGTTCTAACCAGACTCCACTGGAGCTTGTTCAGGAAGACGCACTGGTTCTCATTGAGAAACGCCAAGCTGTACTCAAGCAGCAGGCCGAGCGGACGAAGGAGGCCATGGCATTGGCTAAAGCCCACGCTCTCGGATCTGAGACTAATTCTTCCAAACCAGAAGAAGCAGGCCTGATTGAGCAGATTCACAGACTCGAGTCAAGTTTGAGCTGTGAATCAGCCTCAGCGGCTCCGGCTTCGGTGCACAATAGTTGGATTAACCCGATACCTTCGCAGGATGCCGGATCAGCTTCAGAGATGCCAGTTCTGGTTCGATGCAGATCGATGCCGAATGGGTTGCACCCCGAACTTTGGGAGAAAATGGGGACTCAGGAGCGCCGTCAACTGCAGAGCGAGCTACGAACGGCAGCTTCGTTTCATGTGCGGCGGGATCGAGTGATGCTAAGTGGTACAGCAGCTGCAGCTCCAACACAAGCGGATAAACTGGGGATGAAGGCTCGATTCATGGAGAAAACGCAGCGCAACCGAGATGAAATCGAGCGGATCTACCTTGATGCACTGAAACTGGATGCCAACCATGCTGATAACCTCGGGAATTACGCGCTGTTCCTTTGTGCAACTTGCGGGGAACCGGATAAAGCCAACCGCTTCTTTCAGCGAGCGTTGGCGGCCGATTCAATGAATGCCAAAAATTTCGCGAACTACGCGAACTTCTTGATGCGAGAGCATCGTGATTTTAACAAGAGCGAGGTTTGCTACAGGAAGGCCCTGGACATCGCCCCAAAAAATGTCGACATTTTAGGGGGATACGCTGATCTGCTCACTACAAAGGCTCAGGAGAATGGCAAGATTCTTCACCGAGCTCGCCGCATTCTAACGAAAGCATTGAGTTTATCCCCCTCACACCAAATGAATCAATTGCGATTGGCGCTGGTTCTCGCAGATCTGAACGAGTACGAACTGGCGGAGCGTTGCTTCCAGAAGTTGTTGCTTACGTGGAGACAGCAGCACAACGTTGAGGAAGATGGCAGCCGCATCGATGGGGAGATGCCAATTCACAGAGATGATCTTTCGTTGGCATCCATCTACGAAAAGTATGCAGGTTTCCTGCACCGACGCGGAGCATGGTCTCGAGCAAAGGCCTTGTATGACCAAGCGCTTGCATTAGATCCTCAGCGACCATCGCTTATACGGCAGTTGTAAGTTTTCTCATTCGTGGGGAATATGTATGGCTGCGATACCTGTCTGTAACTTTTTGTTGTTGTGTTTTGTGTAAACCCAGCTCCTGCTTTTTGCGTGAGAGCAAGCCATTCCTGTCGCCACGAAGTCAATCTGTTGCTACAGAACCTCCAAGCACATGATACGTGCATGCAGTGCGTCTCCACGAATGCAGATAGCAGGGTACGTAGCCATCCAACATGTAGATACGGAAGTTATTTACTCCAAGCTGATCCACAAGCTTGTAGCCAAGCCCTCAATGTTTCAAATCCTTCCCGTTCGACAAAGAAAATATCCTAGGAACGCCATGACGTAGCCCTCTCTCGACTACCAAGTAGCCAGACCATGACGATGTGAAGCAACAGACATCGGCTGCAAAGTACAGTACTGCAATAAATATTTTTTTAATAAGCAATCCACGTCCGGGACTCATATCTCCATAGGTGGTTTTGTGCAACATTTTAACGGTAACTTCGACTCCAGGGTTTTCACTCACATCTAGCCCGAGGAATCGATGTGGTTTCTTGGAAACCCAACAAAGTCTGTGAGTCAGAGGTTGCTGCCAAGCTACACGACACCTACGACGTTGAAGAGCGCGATGGGGGTGCCTAACACATCGCTCTACGGATGGTGAAATCCGCGCATAATCGAGTCTTGTTGACCCACTCGGGTGATTATGTGGGCCGGGTGATTTGTTTAGCGGGATGCACGTCGTCGCTCGATCCTGAGATCTATCTCGCGCTTCCTGGGCTATCTCGGCTGTTCGAAGCCAACGCCGTTAACTCGAAGTCGCGTGAGCCCCCGGGGCAACGATCAAAGCATCGCCGATCTCTCCCATGCTCTTTCAAGTGCGATCCCAAGCTGAAGACCCTGAACAACTGAGCCCAGGCCCTCCATCCCTTTGACGAACCGTCTCGTGAAGTCTTGACCTACTCCCAGCTGCTTTAACAGCACGCGTCGGACACCAAGCGACTTGGTTTTCCGTTCGCAAGGCGCTCTGCTGTATCTCGTTGAGGGACTGACTGGATGGCACTCCGCGATCCTTGGCACCTCCGAGCCAAGCTCATTTCCAAATCCACCTCCTCCTGTTCACAACTACAGTACGAACACCAACACCAACACCAACCAAGTGACCATGAAGTTCTTCTCGACGCTCGCGCTCCTCGCCGCCCTCGCCCAGTGCACTGAAGGCCACCAAATGCTGCGAGCTGGTGCCACCAAGTCGGTCGACTTCTCGACGCTGAGTGGATCCGGCTCCGACGTCGGCTCCATGAAGCACAAGCCTCGCGACGGATCGTGGGACGGCAAGAAGCCCCCGCGCCACCCCAAGGGCTCGTTCGACGGCAAGATGCCCGACGGAAGCTGGGGCGGCCACGTCGGCGGGCGCCACGGACCCCCTCACCACCCGAAGGGCTCGTTCGACGGTAGCTTTGCCGGCCACCCCCCTAAGTGGGCGGGCTCGTTCGACGGCAGCTTCCCTGGACACGGCAAGCACGTGCCGTTCCCCCACAAGGGCGGCAAGGCAAGGGAAAGAAGACGGACGGCTCGGATGACTCGACCGAGCAGCAAACGACGCAGCAGCAGACCACCTCGGGATCGGACTAAGCGCCCCATGTCGTTCCGAGACCTTCGTCCCCAGTAGATTTATGTTTGTGTTTAGCGTTGCGTGGACGAACGAGTACATCAGTTGCTTTGCATCAAGCCTTTATTCTCTTCGTCATAGGCGATCTTGGCCAGGCATTCTCTAATCAAACAGACTAATTGAATTCGTATTTTGATTGCTGTTATGGCGACTACCAAGGAGCGCTATACTGCATCCTTGCCTGCGCATGCTACACCGCTCGCGGTAGCTACTCACAGCTAAACGCACATCTTGACGTATTACGCTGCACTGACTCAACATGTATGTCGTCGGAAGGGGCCAGCTCACCAAAGGGCAACTCCATCAAAAACCAGTTCGCTTACGTCGACGAGGTCTGCGTGGTAGACGCATCGCCGGTTGTAGCGGTAGTCGTAGTGTCGGACCCCGTCGTCGCCGTGGCGGACGTCTGCGCGCTGTCGCCGGTCGAGGGTCCTGTGGCGATCGATGACCCAGTGGTGAGGCCCGTGAGGCTGCTGAGGCCACTGGTGCCGGTCCCAGTTCCCGAGATCAATGAAGAGAGACCGCTGGTACCGGTGCCGGTGCCTGAGATCAACGAGGAGAGGCCGCTAGTGCCGGTCCCAGTGCCTGAGGTCAAAGAGGAGAGCCCGCTCATGATGGAGGACATGTCGCCGAGAGACGAGAGACCGCCGCCACTCAGGAGCGAGCTCAACCCCGAGCCGGAGGTCAGCGACGACAGCGAAGTCGAACTGGGCAGCAAACTGGAGAGCGACGAGAGCGCCGAAGTCGAAGTGGAGGCACTCGCCGTCGACCCCGTCAGAGTGGAGAAGTCGAGGCCCGACGTGGTGCCCGTGCGAAGCAGCTTGCGCTCAGGAGCAGCTTGCGCGCAGTGAAGAGCCGTGACCAGCAGAACGATCGTTGAGAGGAGCTGCATCTTGGTGATTGGAAGGTTGGATTAGTGTGGTGAGTTGTTGGCGACTAGGCAAATGAGATAATGAGCTGCTAGTCAATAGTGCATCGCTAGACAAGGGGACACGAGAGCGCCCTCATTAACTACAACCTAAATCCTCATTCCAGCAGTATGACGGTCAAAGTGGGGGTTCCTCGAACATGCCTGTAGCGGTGGTTTGTGGCGTTGGTGTTGGCTGAGTCAGGGGCCTGTGAGATCGTACACTGCTCATGGCGGTGAGGGAGTCAATGTAAAATCCTGTGACCATGGATTTCTTAAGCTTAAAGTGGTCTTCTATCCGGAGGAAGCGGGCTCGAGAAGCTTTTCTCACTAGTATTCCCCCACAGAGTGGCTCTAGGTTCAGTATCGAAGGGTCTGGACCCACAAACATCACAGAGCAATACAAAACTTGGAGGTCAGCCTAAGAAAAAGTCATACCACGCTCTCGTTGGTCGATTCCACAGTTTGGTGATTTACGGATTGGTAGCCACAGCAGCAATGGAGATGCCACAGACATTGGTGCTTGCAGCATGACTGCAAGCTACTTTGCTGCCAGGTAGTATACATCGCAGTACTATGATCGAGGGTGGAGTGTGAAGTAGTCTGTCGTGAAAGCCTGCCCAACGCGGAATATATGCGTGCTCGTAATTTGTAGCACGTCGCTTGTCGAGCAAGTTGCTCTACAATTGAATGATCGTGTCTCTTTTTCATGCAAACTTACTCGAGCGCCTTAAACCACGGCTATCACTCTGAACAGTGTGGATAAACCGATCATCGAAAGAGCAGAGCTGAGGTGCATACATATTATAAGCAGGGAAATAAATGACTGCGCGAATGCATGCAGCGTAGTGGACGAGCCTGCATACTGTAAAACCTAGAGACCGCACTGCATTCCGCTGTGAAAGTCATATTTCGCGTTGCGGCTAGACAAATTAGCACATGGGTCACTCGCATCGAAACTCGTGGACTCTCCAGGACACCTGCCTCGTTGCGCCTCCGTCACAACCGCAAGCTCCAAGGACGCGCTACTTCCCTCTATCCATTTGGTCAATATCATAGCCACACACCCACTTATGCGGCTCCCCCGGCAGAGGGGAGTTTGTGTACCAGCAGGTAAAAGAACAGGCACAATAAGCAACCGACCAGCGAATCTTGTCTACCAGCCTTGGCAGCTGGGCAAATATCATGAACGCGAACAGTGAAAGACACCCGCCATTATAGCGCAAGGTTTCGAACGTAGCCCAGTGTGTTTATTGTGGGTAGAGATGCTAGCGTCTGCTATTAAAACCACATCAGCCGCAACTAAACAAACCCTTCCGCCTGACCGTTGGATCTCCACTTCATTCCCCATTATGTGTCGTCTCGAGCACAGCAACACAGAGGAAGTCCTCCGCAATGCAGCTCCTTTCGACCCTCACATTCCTAGCAATCGCCATCCAGTGTGCAGTCGCTGCGCCCGAGCGCAATCTGCTACGGTCGGGCTACGACAAGCCGATCAACTTCTCCGACTTGTCGGACCTGACGACCGTCGCAAGCAACCCAAGGTCTCATCAGCAGCCAAAGCACGGATATAGCACCACACCGTCCAGCATCGACCATCTCACTGGCGCGGACCCGTTGTCCCATATCAAAAAGAGCGGTGTCCTGCCCAGCTCGAACTCGCTGCCTGTAGGCGACAGCAACCTTCTTTCCGGTGCATTGGGTGGCCCTTCGACATCGACCAACAGCGGAACGAAGGCGTATTCAACGCTTATGAAGAGTGGGCTATCCGAAGACCGGTCGCTGACGAGTCCGAAGAAGACCCCTCCTCCCAGCCCGAAGAAACAGAGTGTTTACGTGAGTCCGTCGAAGAAGACCAGCCCCAAGGTACCGCCCAAGAAGCTGCCCAAGAAAAACTCGCACACGCCCAACCAGAAGAAAGCGAAAATTGACCCTGCAAAGACCCCCGTTCAGAGAGCCGTCGTGTAACGTGTGGAAGAGGAACACCTGCGTCGGCGTGGTACGTTATCGGTCTCGTAGTACTCGTAGTATGTAGAACACTTTTTCAAAGTACCTTTGTACTTCATTACTTGTTTGTCAATTAAAAGCGATGTGTCTTTGACCTACGGTAGTCTGGTACAGTAAACGTCAACCCAAAAAGCTGTGCACTTTGGTAAGCCTGAGTGGTGTTTCTTGTCGCGGTGAGCTAGCCGATAGTGCATTTTAGCCCGATAGTGCATTTTAGCTCGTTAGTACTTACCATGATATTCGGGAGAACAGATCGCAATGAGTTCACAGGATAAATACAGCCACCACACACTTCGTCCAGCGGGCAACAGCTGTACGTGCGCTCGATGCCATGTGCTCTGATCGATACTGCAATGCCTGACTTGTTCAGTTGATCAACTTCAACTTTGCGTATACTAAATCCAGTATGTTTGCACTCTTGGCTCGCCACAATCCCTGAACCCTGGAAGATGGCTTGCAAGCTGCTCGCTATTGGTGAGGTAGAAGTCATCTGCACTACAAAGTAAGTGGTAGTGCCCCCCCCCCCCTTACTGAAGGCCCCCCTCGGCCTGAACGCTCGACGGTGCCAACAATCTTGCACTTTAGTACTGTACCTAGCAGAACGAGTTTGTCAGCTTATTCCGTTCCTATACCTGAGAAGAGAAGCGAAACCACGCCTTCAAAGACTCACGGACTAATGCGTATTGCTCGTATGAAACGCAATGAATGATGTCGACTGTATCAGTCGGCTTAACACATACTACGCCTGCAGGAGCGTCTGGAATACAGCCTGAGTGTGTAGTTGCGGATGCCAAGGACTCTCTCACCTACTTGCTTCAGAAAGCGCCCGTGCTCGACCCAGCGGCCGGCTTGGGGCCTCCTCCGAAGCCACTGCCAAAGCCACTGGGGAACCCCATGCCGTTCGACTCGGCCTGCACGCCACCGTCAGCAGTCAGTGTGCCCGCGGCCGTGATGGTCTGCGCGCGTCATGTCCACGCCAACGGAGATCCAGGCCAGCACGCCGTCCGACACCAAATCACCCAGCAGAACGTACTCCATGACTGGGTCGAAGTCTCCGCCCGCCTCCTGCGACAGGATCATGTCGTCAGCGTTCGTGGTGAGCTCCTGCGTGTTGGAACTGTAGGGCGCCGTGAGCTCCACCTCGGTGATGAGATCCTGGTCGAAGAAAGAGCTGGCCCACGTACGACGCGTAGCCGCCCGAGTACGTGTTGTTCTCGAGCAGCGTGCCGTTGTACGTACCGATGATGTGCATGTGCGTGGCGCGCGACGTGTAGTGGCCCGGGAAGATGGTCGTGTAGGACGCGACGCCGTCCTTGTCCGTAGTTTGGAGGCCGCGCGAGAAGGTCTTGTCCACATTGCTGGCATCCGTGTCGTCGCCGTTGCCGCTGGCCACGATGCCGAGTACACGCCCGTGGCGTTGCAGTGCCAGAAGTCGAGGTACAGACCCTCCACGGGCTCGCACGTGTTGAAGTCGATGATCTGGATCTCGGCGTACAGGTCGACGCCCTTCTGGCCCTCGCGGATGTCGGAGCGCACGAGCTCGCCGTTGACGTAGTACGGGCCCTGGGTGACCTCTGGCTCGAGGATGCACTTGACGTCGCCGCCGAAGAGCTCGCTTGGGTCGGTGGCGGCGGTGAGGCCCGTGAGGTTGGACTTGTGGCTCGTGGCGAGAGTCGTGGCAGTGTTCAGACGACGTTGGCGGCGTTCGTCTCGGATGCTTTCGGCCTTGGCTGCACGACGGGCCACGGCGCGCTCCTGCAGTTGTCGCGAGGCGTCCGAGTTGGCGCAGTCCTTGAGCGAGCGCTTGCCCTCAGCCATGAAGAGCCGGCGCTGCTCCAGACGTTCGGGTGTAAGCGCCTGTGCAGGTTGTCCGGGGTGGGCACGTACGGAGTCAGGGAACACGACAACCGCGAGTGCAGCGGTGGCGGCGAGGAGCGTGGTAGAGAGCGAACCATGGTTGAGGAGCTCCGTGTGGTGTACTGGTGACTGGGTGTGTCGACGCGTGCAAAAGTGGAAATGAGGTCGGTTGGTGGGGTTTCCCTGCAGGGGTGGCGGTGCTGTAGCTGGCTGGACCACCAGCACTGGTAACTACTGTAGGAGGAGTGCGCACACGATCGACCGCGGCTCACGTCACACACGACGACTTTGTCGGTTTCTCACCATGTGGTTTTTCCTGGGCAGATCCAGCCCACGCGCGGCGTGCACAACAGATCGCGCCTCGACCAGGATGTGGAGCTCGTGAGCTTTGGCATGGCAGTTGTAGAGGAGAAATTAAGCAACAGATGGGATCGGGGTTACGCACTTCAAAAGAAATCGTTCACGGTCTACATGTAGTATATTCTGTAAAATCGGAATGAGATGGGCGCTGTTGAGATCGAGCGAGTGATGTCGTTTAACAGTAGCATTTTGCATGTGTGGCGCAGTGGCATTCGAAGTATCGAACAAACACTGGCTTAGCATCTTTTTGTTTGGCGCGTTCCCACCTGTTGATGTTGTTTTGACCGTTCGCAAAGCATTGTAATTCGGGATGCACCGATAGGGAGCTTGACACTTGTACAAAGGTTTGCTACTCTACAGACAAACCTGTATCCTGAGTGCAAATCTTTGGATTTATAACGGTAGACTAGATGACCATAATTACGGGCAAAGTGACGCTGTGCCACAGCTATCCTTGCGTCGCTACTTAAGTACTTGCCTATTAATATTTTGGATGTTGCTGTAACGTTAAACAAACGTAAATAGAGGACCTCCGATGTACGACCAGCTAGACATCCGGCGCCCCCCCCCCACACACACACGTCCTGTCGGCAGTATCATCTCATCTATAAATGCAGCTAGCACCGGTCTGCTCTCCGATCTTATCTAGGGACTACAGCTATGCGCACCATTTTACGTGTTGGATACTGCCAGCGGGAGTGTAAAAGATATTTTGCTCATGGCCACAGTGAATGCTAGGGTGGGGACAATGCTCCAACAGCCAAATCGCCCCCCCCCGACCACCACCAACGTTACAGCAACATCCAAAATATTAATAGGCAAGTACTTAAGAGCTGCATTGCGGAGGACTTCCTCTGTGTTGCTGTGCTCGAGACGACACATAATGGGGAATGAAGTGGAGATCCAACGGTCAGGCGGAAGGGTTTGTTTAGTTGCGGCTGATGTGGTTTTAATAGCAGACGCTAGCATCTCTACCCACAATAAACACACTGGGCTACGTTCGAAACCTTGCGCTATAATGGCGGGTGTCTTTCACTGTTCGCGTTCATGATATTTGCCCAGCTGCCAAGGCTGGTAGACAAGATTCGCTGGTCGGTTGCTTATTGTGCCTGTTCTTTTACCTGCTGGTACACAAACTCCCCTCTGCCGGGGGAGCCGCATAAGTGGGTGTGTGGCTATGATATTGACCAAATGGATAGAGGGAAGTAGCGCGTCCTTGGAGCTTGCGGTTGTGACGGAGGCGCAACGAGGCAGGTGTCCTGGAGAGTCCACGAGTTTCGATGCGAGTGACCCATGTGCTAATTTGTCTAGCCGCAACGCGAAATATGACTTTCACAGCGGAATGCAGTGCGGTCTCTAGGTTTTACAGTATGCAGGCTCGTCCACTACGCTGCATGCATTCGCGCAGTCATTTATTTCCCTGCTTATAATATGTATGCACCTCAGCTCTGCTCTTTCGATGATCGGTTTATCCACACTGTTCAGAGTGATAGCCGTGGTTTAAGGCGCTCGAGTAAGTTTGCATGAAAAAGAGACACGATCATTCAATTGTAGAGCAACTAGCTAGCTTGCGATCCTGCGGTATGCCTCTTTCGTAGGGTGGCTGTGTCATCTCCTTTTGTGCTGGGGTATCGTATTAGGGCTGTGGAAGTATAGATTGTTTATTGATTGACGGCTCAGATCTGGAACAGTCAATTATTGCAATCTCAACAATCTCACAAACAAAAAGATTGCAATCTAAGTTCTCGCTTGTATTTCCTCTGCTACGCTCATATTTTTACTGGTTTGGCGGCGCTATCGCTCTAAGACCTTTGCTTGTGCGATTACATGTGTGTTGAGCTCCAAAAACCTTGGCCAAATGCAATGTTGGGTCTTATATTCGTCATGTTGAGCGTGCACCCCATCCAGGCATCCAATGACCCCTCATATCCGCATTTCGAAGCAGCAGGAGACACATAATGGCTTTTTAGGAGCTAGGATCGGTTCCATAGGCTTGGCGTTGCATATTTCTCTACCGGATCACTGGCAAAGGCTCAAAATCAGTATAGGAACAATATGGGAACGGGATTGCCGACTGAGATCACAGAGCAATCATTTATTGTGATTGACAATCTCGGCAATATTACAATCGCAATCATTTTTTCCACAGCCCTGGTATCGTATTCTTTTAAACTATGCCTCTGACCAAAGTTACAGTTTTAAAACTTCAACTTTGGTCATATACATATCGCTTTTGATTGGCAAGCAGGCATTTAAGTACTGTACTTTGAAAGGTGTTGTACATATTGGGATACCAAGGTAAAAACGCGTGACAACGACGTAGGTGTCCCCGCTACCCACGTTATACATTGGATCTTTGGGCAGAATATTTGAAAATATTTAATAACCTGCTGCTGGTATCCCTTAGAATACAACTAGAACACACACTTAGTGACGATATGGTGATGGTGCAAACAAAATGGCTAGCAAAAAATAGAGGGGGGAAAGTACCGCACTCTTTGTTTATCGGCAAAACATATCAAAATGAGTACGTCACGCTACATGTACGACATTGACAGCGACAGCATCAACAGGCCCCTGTGGTGCACTCGTTATTCGACGGGGCTTGCACCGGAATTCTGCGGGGGGGGGGTCTTCAGTTTCTTCTGGTTCGGCTTCTGTGGGTCTTTGGCGGCATATGTGTCGACTAGGAGTTCGCCTTCTTCGCCAGACCCCCATTAGTAGTACTTACCCTGCGTTCTCGGAGTGGGTCGCTTCTTCGGGTTAGCCATCGACCGCTCTTCTGGGAGTTCGCTCTTCGTGAGCAACGAGTACGCCTTCATACGGCTGTTGGTCGAGGACGGTTGACTTTTCACCGCATTGGAAGGCTTCGCACTGTTCTTCGTGACTCCAGATACAGTCTTCGTTGCATCCGTCCCGCTACGGCTCTTAGTTGGCCGCTCCCCATCCTTTCCGGCGCCCTTACCTGCCATGACAGACTGCAGCCCGCTTCTCCTGGCAAGCGTTGTCGAGTCCGTCTCAACCTTGGTCTTGCCGTCCTCGCCGCTCTTTTTATCATGCGGTGACGCATCCGCGCCGGAAACCTCGCCCTTGGGAGTGTATGGCGTAGTGGTCGATGCGTGCGTCGGCTGCTGATGCGTCATTGGGTTGCTGGCCGCAGTTTTCAGGTCCGCCAGGTCGGAGAAGTTTATCGGCCTGTCGTAGCCCGACCGCAGCAGATTGCGCTCGGGCGCAGCAACTGCGCACTGGACGGCGACTGCCAAGAATGCAAGAGTCGAAAGGAGCTGCATTATGAGGACTTCTTCGCTCGGTATAAAGTTGCACTGGATGAGTCGCCAAATCAAGAATGGAGTCTGATTGACGGCACCGGGGGCTGGTTCAGTGGCGGCTGTGGTGGTTTTGATCGTAGACGCTATCATCTCTGCCATCGATCTCATACAATATAAACAATGTATTGGGCTGGTTTACCAGCCTGGTCCACTATGCGGGATGACCAGACTTTTGATTACCTCCTGGTAAGCAGTTTCCCCTCTGCTCGTGGCGCTTTGTAAGCAAGCGGGCACGGTTGTGTGGCTATGATATTGGCCAAATGGCTGCATGGAAACCATGCTTCGCTGAAGTTGGGCTGCAGCGGGGCAACAGCTCGAATGACCACGAGCCTCGAATGCGTCGCGGATGCCTGTTATCCTAATAGATGAGGTGTCTGTACTTCTTCGCAAATACTTCGACGAACTGCCCTCCTCATGTGGTTCATTCTCTAGGTCGCTAGGTAGGCTAAATGACTGCGCGTTATCCAAGTGTGGCACCGCGTGTGACCGCCAGAAGATGCTCTTATGTGCAAACTCAGTTGATGAGCAAGGGCTCTCGTTAAAGCAACGGCAAGACTAGCAACTTCAGCAACGTCAGGCCTAGCAACTTCAGCAACTTCAGGATGAACCACTGGATGATAAATGGCCTAGCAACTTCAGGTACGTCACGGCTGTAGCATATGTAGGATAAGCAACGTAAAGCAACGGCAGGTCGAGCAACGTCAAGCAACGGCGCCAGCGATGAGAGTGATTCAGCAATTTTCTGACACTGGCTCAGTCAAACATTTCTACGCAAATCAAGTCTCGGCACTTCACGTACATCATCTTCAACGCCGCAAGGACGTATTATCTAGGCCAGGCATGTTATGTTAAATAATTGTGTTCTCAAGTGAAGATGAATTCGTGTATTTCATGCTTAGAGTTCTTGCTCTAGTGTTCGTATCCTATCAAACCATCGCTTCAGTTCGAGTTGTAGCTAAATAGTACGCGCTGATGCGTTTGTTGATATCTCACAGCCTACTCCAGAGTGTAGGGTCATCTTGTTGAACGTCGTCGCAATTGCAGAAAATCTCCCACATAATGAGTAGCCTCATCACTACTACGTCTTTAGCACTCAAAATGCGCTTGCCTTGTAGGAGTTTCCCGCCATTTAGAAAACTGCGTGCTTGAGCAAGACAGAATACACCGCAGCTAGCCGCATCGCTCTGGACTGGGTACTTCAACCACTCCATGCTCACTGTTGGTGAGTAGGTTGACGCTGGACTTTTGTTGTTGTCTGCCAAGTTGCACAACGATGCAGCACCGAACTCGCGATTTTCAGCTACATCGGCGTTTTTTGAGCGCATACAATCTCTGGTGACCCAGCTTTGCAGGAGAGGCAGTCCATCTTGATCCCAGGTGTCTTCTAGCAGACCAAGGTTGACTTGTGTTCCTAGTGGATCGTACAGCAACACTCTGACATGCCGTGGTGGGATTTGAACATGCTCACCCACTGGATACAGCTCCACAATTTCGAGAATCCAATGCTTAATCGAGGTCTGATAGATTGGAAGTGTATCTCGACAGAGGTTGGTTGGGCAGTGTGAAATCTTTGTTGCGCACATTTACCGGGTCGACCGCAAAACACTTCGCGATTTTTGCGCAGAATTTTTGCAAAGCACAGTACATCACAACATCGTTGAGCCTTGCTGTACCAGCGAGAAAGCTGAGGACTTCACGGAGATCAAATTCACCACCCATTCCAGCGATTCCAGGTGCGAACCTAAACATCCGACTTAGCCACGATTCGGCAACGATTCTAGATACCTCACTCGCCGTGTTCTTCACAGACCCCGAAGTATCAGCTGACAAACACCATTCACTAGAAGAGTAGCTGGACCAGTCTTTCTGTATCCATGCCATGTCTTGTTTGTAAACATCGCCTTGTCTCGGCACGTGTAAATATTTCCGACGATCTCGGTGTATTTCCTGTTAATTAAAAAAAAAACAGTGTGTGATCAATGTTCCCCATCATTAACGCGGGCAATATTACTTACATTGAGAAGCCGCATACCTTGCTCCCGATGAATGCTAATGGGATCAGATCTTCTTCATTTTCTACGTTCTCCATGTAGTTGTTCTCTCTTGTCCACCTTAACAGTTCACTTCTTATACCGGCCAAGATTTTAAGCGGGACGAGGAAGTTGTGCACGAACGTTCCAGGAATTGCGACTGTGCTCTGCACCTGGGGGACTCGCTTCTCAATAAAAATTTTATTGAGACGCACAGGAAGCCGATTAATAATCTCATGAACTCGGGTCATGTCGGGATATGTCTGCGCCCAGAACAAAACATCTTCAAGGCTGATTGGGCAATCGCAGGAAACGTCGAGAATTCCGTTTCTGGCACTGCTTTCTCCTACGCAGCGTGACAGCGCATTCGCAGAATGCTCAGCAGATTTGGGTAAAGCAAGAGTGTCGACACCGCACGCTTGATCGCTACTACCGCGAATCCTCTTCGTGGATAGGTTGTATCACTTCGCCGTCGCAGGTTCTGCAGCATTGACCTGCGGGGGGTCGTCTCTATCAGAACGGTTTGCTTGCTCATACTCGACTTGGGTTGGCTCTATCATTTCGTCTTCGATAGAATCGACTGCAGGTCTACTTTCAGGGCAAATCGCAGGTATAGGCGAGTCGTCGTCCCGAAGCTCGACTTCTAACGGGGTTAAATCCCTTTCAGAACGCACAGGTTGTAGGTCATAATCTTTACAACTGAAAATCTCACGATCCAGGCTTACAATATCGCTGGGCTCTGATTCGAAGCCGGTATCATCGTCATTTATGGGCTGGTTCAGATTCATTTCCGATTTCTTCGTAAAATCACTGAGAATTGTTCTTAGATCCGCGAAGCCCTCGTAAAAGCGATGAGAGGGCAATTATTGCATGGCGGTCAGCAGTGGGAAAAACTCTGCTTGAACAATATTGTATTTTTCGCAGTCAGAGAGAACGGCTTGTTCACACTTCTCCCCCCGTTTCAGCTTCACATATCCAATACACCGTCGTACCACACCAACAATCCTGGATCTTTAGCTGCACAACCGCGAATATCACGAACTAGAGTCAAACGTTTAAGGGTCACCTGTAGCGATACCATCAGAGACGACGCATCTGGCATCGACCAACGACCAACGTTTTGGCAGCAGCGTGTTCCCGAATTCAGGGAGGTTCATCGCCACACTAGTGATACCAACAATATGCTGACATGGTAGCTTTGTCGACACATTGAACAGACAATTACAACGTGGCTCTGACCCAGTTTTCCAATCAACTTCGATTCCTCGGCCACTCTCTGTTACCAACTTGTATATATCTCCGCCTTCGTGCGATGAGTGAGTCCATTCCCACGTGTCGCCGTAGACCAAACTGTAGTCCCATTGGAGTTTTACACGCTGGAAACAATATGGGCTGAGGACTTGGCTGAGTTGCGTGAGATGCCCAATTGAGTTAGTCACTCCAGGATTTCTCAAGTCGTAGCCTCCAATTGAGTTTAAAAATTCGCGCAAGACCAATGCCTGATGCTGAAAGATAACTTTCAAACACTTGTCCATGCTCACTTTTTTTCGGAGAAGTTGTTTAATCTGCCCCCAACTAGACTCAATCCGGTTGGCCGTGGTGTTGCCAGCAGTAAATCGTTGCCGACGGCCATAGTTACTCCAGCGCTCGCTGCACTTATCCCAGGATCGGCGAAAGTACGCCAGGAAAGAGGGACTTATCTCCGAGACACGTTTTCGAAAACTGCCAAACGAGCTTTGTACCGTTCGGGTGAGGATGCATAAATCAGTGAGCGGAATAGCTCTTCGACTTCATCACGTAGTTTTAAGGGCACAAAGTACCCTCGACTACCAAGTATCCGGCGAATGTAGCGCAAAGCGTGAAATTGGCATAAAAATACCGAAGCTGCTGGGAATTCCGCTTGCAAAGCGGCCATCTCGGCGAAGTCTTTATCAATCACAAGTGACTCTATTGACACCCAGGAATCGTTTGTCTTTTTGAAGTACTTGAATACTTCCTGCAATGTTTTCTTCTGCTGATTGACGCACAGGAAATCCAGCACAGATATCCCCCGGCCACTTGGCGCCGTCACTATGAGACTCCCTGTATCAACTTTAGAAACAAAAGATGTGAGTCTCAACACGTCAGTAGTATAAATTAATGATCCGTACCTAAATAAAAGCCTGCGTTGTTAGTGTTGTGGGTCCAGTCTAGAACGAGTGTATCTCCCCATCGAGAAAAAATCTCTCTCTGAGCGGCGCTCTGAACGACAATACCTACCGTGAGATCCCAGTCATCTTGTATAAGAAGACATTGGTTGCCTTCGTGTTGCATAAATTCAGCAATCATAGTTTTAAGGCGATCCTCTGTGGTTGCGGATCCCAGTCTGCTGTTAATCAGGTTTCGAATCTGCTGTGGGGCGAAGGGAAACCCTGGTATCATACGAACAGATGAGTCCCTTAATTCAAATATTTTTCAATGCCTCATTTCCCGTATTAATATCGAGCGCACCTGTTTTTCTCGAGAGATAATCTGTTATCTGCTTCGTGTCAGTGTTGGTTTCGATAAACGCGTCGAGCTGTTCCAGCCTTTCGTCTGAGAGAATCTCTTTGCTCTTTTTAAGAGCTACGAACAAGGCCTCAATGACGTTGTGGTTATGACAGGAGAACTGTAAAAAAAGCATGACGAAACGTGAGTTGGAGGAAGTATGATATCACATACAATGTTGCAAGGCAAGACACGCACCTCAGCTGTGATTTTCACAACCCATGGAGGCCCCGCGGTAGAGTTTGTGTCTTCATGAAGGATGGAACGACAAACCTCTGCCCTAAAAGCCTTTGCACTCACGATATCTCGACGTACGTGTCGTTCGCTTCCCTGTTTCACGCAAGGGCTGCTTACATCCCGGTGTGCACATGTATTTCCGAAACGCGAATTTGAATTGCGGTGGCACTGTCCTGGCCTTGAACTTGGCATTCTATTTGTCGCACGAGTTCGAGTCACGAACTCGATAGCACACCAAATTCGTTTTTTCGTACTCGCCCCAAAATCCTTCTAGTTTTTCTCAAGATACAAATTCTTTTCCCAGCACGGAAGGAATTTCCCGGGAAATTACTGTAGGGAGTTAGTACGACAAGCAGCACAAATCCAGTTAGATAATACTACGTACTAAAACAAATTGAACTGTCTACCTGGTGCTTGACGGGTAGGCATGTCCACGCCGCCACCAAAACCAGCATTGGATCCTTCATCTCTGGCGTTCTCTTCAATTGCATCGACATCCTCGAGGCCGTCTAATATTCAGTTATACATTGTAAATAAACCATACACGTGACCCAAACATGAACATTTACACTTCCGCCGCTTCTCTCCACGGCTGAAGCCTAACATTTACAAGTACATATTTAATATGAGAATTGAATACGGACCAAATGAAGCATAACGCTTTAACGTACCGAGAATGCTCATTCTGAAGCGAACATCGCTCTGTTACAGAAGCTGTAAGGCAGAGGAATGGGCGGGACGGGGAAGGGGGTCGAGGTGCGGGGGAGAAAGGAAGTGGTAGGGAACTGGAGACTGGTGACTGGAGCAGATAGAGCGGAGAGTCCAAAGCAGAACGTTAGCCTCCTTGCCGCATTATAGCACACAGTCTTCTATCTACCTTCAAGGAACAGCGCAAAATTCTAAATGAAGCAACCCAGGAGTCAAAACTCCTCTCCCGCGTACCAGATGAAAATTAAGTTGCTGAAGTTGCCGAAGTTGCTGACATGGCCGACGTTGCTGAAGTACCAGCTGTTGCTGAAGTTGCTGCAGTTGCTAAAAGCCCTGTCGCCTTTACTGGAGCTCTGCACGTTCCTACGGTAGCATTAGAAATTGCCGTATTCCTCCGCACCTGTCGTTTCTAAGATTTACGAAGACGTGAGGCACATCCTAACGATGTGCTCACCCAATGCAGTAGCACGATGCAGATACATAAACCGGGTATCCTGATCAATGACACAACGTACAGAGGATCATTTGCCACAAAAATGATCCACATTCTTACACACTGCAGTAAGGCATAACAGTATGCACAAAGTGTAATAACGTGCGTCAGGTACATGGAGCATAGCCCCAGCATGGCCGACGAATACCATCCATGGAGCGTACAATAGGCCTACAAACGTGTAGTGCATCTAATATATAACTAAACCATGATATAGTTAGTGCACACAGATCAGTTTAACGACTACGCTGCCATACAAATATGCCCCGCGCGTATCAGTTAGACATTTTTAGTGGTGAGTAGTAATAGGATTGAGATATGAAGGAACATGACCACAACTGAGCTTAGGATGCCGGAAGGTTAGGATACAGCAAGACTCGAGCACAGTTGCCGATGACAACAACTAATCCCATTTCATACTTTTATCCATAAATGTATTGGTGATTCGTCCTGCATATTAACGCTCTCTGAATAATGTTCCTCGTTAACAGTGGTTTGATTGCACCATCCCACATACGCACCACGACGTCGCCACAGTTTCCTAGTGTCCGGTTGGTATTTGTTGATGTAGAGAGGGAGAACATGCCGTCCCAGGTAAGTTTAGGCACGCAGAGCATCCCTATGAACGAATTAAAAACAATCTATCTCAACGAAAAGGCGAGCGCCGTCCTCGACACACTAGTAGGTAATTCGCATCGAAAGAGACAGTGGCGTCAAGCTCAGCTTACTAAAAAAATAGAGCTTAACTGTGAATATTACAAACAAAATAAACCTCAACATCAGACGTTTGTTTGTAAAGATCTTCATTTTGAACGATTACAACAAGTCTAACTAAGTTTTGGATCAACGTCACTAACAAGTAATTTACACACACTAGTGTTAGGAACACAAAAAAATATGTGGAGACCCTACCATCAAATGCATAGTAGATAACGGTGCCAATCACAACTTTCTACCTGCAATGTACGAATATGTAAGGTTAGTAGCGTGTGTATGATAATAGAAACTACACCAATGTGCAACAAAACGTACAATAAAATTTACATCAGATAATGCGCAATGAGCTTTTTGTGAAAACCGCTTCATTTGCCTATTTTGCTCGTAAATCGATCGATTAGCACCCTGATTTAGCTCGATCGATTTGTAAATCGATCGCGTCCTGCGATGCATATGTGAGTGGATGTGCAGATTAGGCGATCGTTTTATGGAAGCCACGTTGATATAGCCGTGCTTCATCAGAATGCCTAGGCAATCGCGTAGGCAAGCGATGCATCTAGATCACGATCGATTTCAGCCCTGATTTGTACTCTGATTAATTAAGTGGTTGAGGTCTAATAAGGGGTTGCTACAGATATGCGTTTTAGCCGGTTCTCACAATAACTATTCGATAAATGAAAATTGCAGAAATAGCCATCCCCTAACCCTATGATATCCTGACGTTGCTGAAGTTGATAGTCCTGACGTTGCTGAAGTTGATAGTCCTGCCGTTGCTTTAACGACTTCGATGAGCAAGTGCTGGCGCAGAGGAAAGCATAACCAGGTCGAAAACAACATTTCATTATATGCGGGTAGAACTACCAACGACTAGGTGATGTTGCGGCTGAGATGCCTCTCGGTTGGGCGTAGTGCAAACTGTGGAGGTCAGCTCGCGTTCGTCACTCAGTGTCATCGTCGTCAACCCCGATGCGGAGAGCACCGGTCTTTTTCTTCTTCATTTTCTGCAGGTCTTTGGTCTCTGCCAGCGAGGAGGTTTCGCTGCCCGATCTGCTAACGACGAGTCGGCCCACATACTCCCGATGACCTCCCGCATACTGTCAAGCTCCTCACTGGTCAAGGAGAAGCCGGAGCCGCTGCCACTCGCTGATTGCGTAAGGTTGAACAAAGTTATGAAGAAGTCAAATGGGTTATTAAATGAACCGCTGGCGTCGTCGCTTGCCGAAGTCAACTGCATCTCCTCCTCCTCTTGCGGTTCGTTCTTGTCCCACGCAAGCTCTGCCATCTTTCCCCTACCTTCGCGTCAAGATCAACATCATCGCCAGAGGTCGCAAACGGCCAGCCGTAGCCGTACGGATAGTTTTTGGCCGCGGCCGCGGCTGGCCGCGGCAAGCCGAAATCTCTCACGGGTGTGATTACGGATAGCTACGGCTGTCCGGCTGGACACCGCTGCCGGCTGCGGATAACCGAGATTCATTGCGAGATCAACTTTAGCGGTTCTAGCTTCGATTGCTATAGCCAAAAGGACTGCTCTTGACGTTGACAATGAGTATTGCGGCTAAAGGAAGCGGTATTGAGTCCCCCGGCGATGTATGATATTCGTATCACCAGTCAAATGTAGAAATAGCTTGGTACGAAAAAACAGCTGTTTTACGGCCAACCGAAGCCAAAATGCCGGCTGGCCGAATGAAATCCACGGCCGTCCACGGACAGCCGAACCCTACCTCGAGGTTGGCACGGCCGGATACGGACAATCGGTTTTCAGCGTTTGCGACCTCTGATCATTGCTGTCCGACTCGCTCATGGTCAGCAACTCGCGAGCATCCTCCGGCGTAGCCATGTTGGTTCTCGTGACGAGGTGATCCTTGGCTGCAAAGGTGAAGACGGCCTGAATACTAATTGACAGGACTCAGGCAAGTTGGTGTCCCTGTAGTGTTGTTGTAATGTCACGTACGTGGCAGGGGCGGGCTTAGTTTCGAGGAACCATGGATGTTCATCGAGGAACATCCTAAAAAGTGTGCAGTTTCCATCGGCGTGCAACAGAGATCGGAAACGTAGTTTTCGGGTTCGACGATAGAAGGCCATGTTCACGAACAAGTCAAGCCTACCATGAGAGCAAACGCATGTCTGACAAGATCCGATCATTTAGGCGGCCAAGGCCCCGAGGACATGCTGTGAGCGACCTCCTCTAAGCTTGTTTTGTCCGTCTTGTCCCAGTGATCTGATCAACGGCAATCTAAGTCTGGGTGCACGGTTCAAGCGGTAGCCATCGAGGAGGTCACGTAGTGAGCTGCTTCATTGAGTCTTTCGCTCCGAGATGCGAAGCGTCTCGAGCGAGAAGACCAGGCGCGCCTTGCGCTCAGAATATTTTCAGCGCAACCAAGAGGGTATTTTGGCGGGCCGGGGGGGGGGGGGGGGCATGCTGTGGCACCATCGTGATGTCGCTACCAGCGCTTCCGCGGCTCAGGGTTTTGCTGGACTCTCCGGGGGAACCATGCTGCGGCACCATCGTGATGTTCGCTACCACCGCTTCCGCGGTTCGGAGTTTGCTGGACTCTCCAGGGGGACCATGCTGCGGCACCATCGTGATGTCGCTACAACTGCCTTCACGGATCGGAGGTTTGCTGGACTCTCCTGCTGCCAAGACCAGCGCCCATGCGTGCGTTGTATGGGGTTCGCCTGGTTTCCGGTCACGGTGTACCAGAAGTTCTGAAGTCTACCCAAGCTTCTCGGGCTGCTGAGCGGAGGAACAGGGAGGAAAGTCTGTCATCGAGCCCAATCGTGAGCATGGCAGCATTTCAACAGCCGACAAGTGGACGAACAGCGTGACGTTGCAGGCATGTTTGCGTGCGTGCACCCGATGTTAGGGTGTGGCGCCTTGCTTTGCTGTTGGGACTTCTGCAAGGCATACTCGCGCACGAGCCGAAGAGAAGACTTCTGGGTGGGGCAGATGCCGCCGAGCAGTCATTCGACGAGATCGACATATCACGGCTTGAATGATGCTTTGAGGTAAATTGGTTTGGCTAACTATGCGTTTACTTGATATGCTAGAGCACTTCACTTCTTGATCACTTCGGCTATTTGTGGGGCTGCCTCCGCTTGGCGTGCGGTGTAAACCTCGCAGAGGCTAGCCTAACTAATCGAAAAATGAAGCAGCTCTAGCCCCACATGGTCTCATGCAGGAGAGAGGAAATACGAGAATCGAGGAATGCCTCTCAAAATGGGTTTTCAGGGAGGAATCGTCGCTGGCGCTCCGCATGGCCCCACCTACCATGCACTGCTGCAAAGCGTTGTAACCAAAGCCATAGTGTAGGTAATGAATGCATATTGGGCAGACGTGATAATCTTAAACGGTAGCCCCGGTCATGGTTGGGCCAGCTGAGTACTCAGACTCGAAAAAAATCGGTCCAGTTATATCTGCTCCATGGGTATAAGCATCCTGCACTAGCTCAGCCAGCGTGTTGCAATCGACCTGAAGTCGACGCAGGTCGGAAAATTTGAGCAGCCAGTAGTAGCGGCCACGAGATTCTCTCCAAGAGGTTTCCTTGCCCTGCAGGTGGTGGGTCAGTCCATTCATAATCTTCTCGGAAATAGGGAACGCTTTCATCACAGTCCATCTCACCGGATGAAGAGGGTGACGGAGAAAATCGTGCATCAGGACATCAACAGAAAACTGGTGCGAGTCGGTGCTGTCCTTCACCAGGGAACCTATCTGCTTACGCTGACCTCCGCTGCTCTTGCGAACAGGTAGGGTCTCAAGCATTGTTGTGATCTTGATATCGTCCTGCAGCACCATTGCAGCAATAACATGGCAGCACTGACAGCCATTGTGGACGAATACTTAGCAATCGCAAGAGTACTTGGCACGAATAGCTTCTATCTGTAGGCACCAAAGAGCATTTTTAGTCAGTGTAAGTGACTCAGTCCGGAGTAAACAACAACATTACCTGAGTTGCAGTGAATTTCGGTCTCGCGGCCAACCCGTCCAATTTTTCCAAGTGTGCAAGTTGCACATGATGGAGGGATAAGCAATACAGTTCTTCGTTGAAGGCCGTCGCACCCCGTGGCAGCTTGCCGCTCAGTGAGTTTAAGTATCTGTAAAAGCACCCAACCAACCCATATTAGCATCCCAGCTACCGCCGTATCCACTCTAATATCGTACCGCTGTGCTCGTGTACGATTGATCAGCGCGCCGTGAATGCTGGTTGACGAGACCATGAATTTTAAAGAATTAAAGAGAATTCCTATAAGCACCTTCGTGTATAGTGTCTTGACCGAGTAGTAATTATTCTTCTTTTTGAGTAGAAGCAATTGGGCTTGCTCTACTTCGGGTCCGATGAGGGGTCCTATAAATTCGCAGCATACAGACACAGTCAAGTAAAATAGGAACAAACCTCCAGAATACGTCCATGTACCTTTGCAAAAGTGCCGCAACTAAAACTGGATCATTTGATTCTCTTGGTGCTTCAAAGCCCTGGGGAGGGAGTCATTCAATACGACGGAAGTGCTTGCACGGACCGAATCGATGCACGTTTCCTTAATTACCTTGTGATGCGACTCGAGCGCGTTCTGCGATGGCGTCAACCCTGGAATCGCCGCAGTATAGAACCAGTTGCCCCACAAGTTGCCCATGTAGTACTGTCCCATCCAATCGGCATATTCGCTCTCACCTTGCGAGCGCCAGTAGCTTAAAATGATATTGGCCAAAGCACCGAACTGTTTCTTCGATCGAGCTTCAACCAGATACAGGATGTTGGGCTGAACGTTCATCTCGTAGAATTCACATTTTTATAAGCGCCCGCGATTTTCGCGACTCTTTCCGCTGAAATGGGGGTAGCAGTTGAGCAGGGTGATCTCGGGCCAGATCTCTAGGTACGCATTAGCAATACCAGAGGTGCGGTCTAGACTATCAAACGCCAGCCTCATATCAATACCAAAGCAAACCTTGGTATACTTGCGTACCGAGGCAAACATCGTTGCATAAGCTGCCTGACGTTCGGTAGTACGAACATGTAGGCCCAGGGAACGAACGCCTTGCTGTACTGGTCGCGGTCGTAGTGGGTCATATACGTCCCGAAATCCACTAAGGTCCACCCACCTGTTTGCCACACCAACAAACCAAAAAACAATTAGTTAGATAAACATTAGGTTTTCCGGTTAGCATAGTGAGCCATACCGAAATGAATCCTGTAAGTGCCGTCGGTCACAGCGATCACGCCGTCTTTCTCCTAGGCTTTGTACCCATAGAGAACATTGCGGTATATCTGCCGAGACGTGACCACGAGGCCGAAACACGTTGCCTTCTTCTTGTCGTCAGTAGTGACCTCGTGCTCAAATCACTCTACGCCAATCAGCTCGTGACGGAAGTCTCGCGGCAATTTGTCGAACTCATCCGCTCACGAGCGGCGTTAAAATCCCTGCATCCAACGTGACTGTCAACACCGAGAAAAAACTCGGCACGGGTAGAGCACAAGCGTGGAAACGCCCACTCAAGAAGCTTCGAAATATTCTTAATTCCCCATCCAGCTATCCAGTATTTAGAATTCATTGCAAAGTGAGATTGAACTTGTTAGACTATACTATATGAAGCTGTTCGAACAAACCTGCGAGTGCCGACTTCAAATGAGTTTTGTGGTTCTTGAGTTGGACTGGGTCTGGTAGAAGTTCGCTCAGCTCGGGCACTTCGGCGTAACGTTCTTGAAGAATCTTGCGGCGCTTCTTCGGGCCACAGCCAAGTAGAATATCGCCAACCTCTTGTTTGAGCGCACCATGAACCCCTCTCTTTTTTTGCGTTCGTGGCCACTCCACCGTTTACCTGCGTGCTCCATCTTGAACCCGCCATCGACGTCCTGAGCTAATCGAACCCACTTTGCGCACTCACGGTGAGAAACGCACTGGAACACCCGTTCGCCATGCCCTTTCTTACCGTAGTTGTACGAGAACTTGTAGACACTACCGTCAAATGTGTCAATTCCAGCTTTTGCTGCCCCAAGCGTGCTGAATGACGCTGCAAACTGAAACACACGACGTCGGGTGGGCTGCACGTCTTCCGCTTCTTCCTCGTCAGATGACGCAAAGTCGACGTCGCTGCATGCGCTGTCATGCACCTTGTCCATTGTGCACGAACCACTATCCAGTAGCTCAGGCATCAGATACCTGCTGCATACAATTGTATCCTCCGTTATGAGGTCAGTACCCTCCATTGCGCTGCACCAGCTTCGGCGGTCTTCCTTGAGCCTGTAACGCGGTGAGTGCAGTGGCCGCGGGCGTGGGAAGTGTCTTGATCGACTTGATGCAATGGCTGGCTGCTACTAGAGGATTGGGCTGGTAGTGCGCCTGAATATGCAATTTCGTCGAAGCAAACCAAAATTGTTCGGTTAAATGAACAGAAACTTGCCAACATTTGATACGCAGCAGCTTCGGCGCCAGTGCTATTCACGGCGCGCCCCGGAAGTGATGCAGATGTGCAGAGCGATGTAGTGCAGCGGGTTGTTCTAAAACGGCGCGTGGAGCTGCTCCTCCGTGATCTCCTCGCCGAACTCGAGCGCCACGTGCAGGTGCGCCATACGGCCCTCCGTCTTCTCCACGAGACTGGAAGCCGACACCTGGCGGTTGGCCGCGTCCATGAGCGTTGAGCTGCGCACGTTCGATCAATAGTAAAATGCATGACGGCTTACAGATTCATGCTATTTCTTCGCGTATTCTCAATATATTTTCGCATTGAATGATGTAGACTAGATATTGATCAACCATCGGCACCCAACGTTGCCACAAAATTATATTCTCCGAGTAGTCCTAAGAAAAGTTGTATGTAAATTTCCGCATTGAATGATGTATACTAGATATTGATCGACCAACAGCACAACCATTCAGCCACAAAATTAATTTCTCCGAGTAATCCTAAGAAAAGTTGTATGAAAACGCGGTGAAAATGATGAGTGATCTGGACTACAGAGCGCTCCTAGGACCACCACCTACGAGCGGTGTCCCGGTCCTCAGTTCAGCTTTTTCGGTCGCTGCAGCAGCCAACCCCCCCTCGTACTCACGGTAAAAAACCCCGCTGCTGTGGTGCCGAACTAGCTGGACTCACATCGCCGCAGAACCACTGAACGGACCGACACTCAGACAACGCCCCCCCTCCCCTCCTGCGACCACCGGTATGTCGCCGCGCAACCTACCGTGCCTCGCTTCATCATCATCTCGCCTTTGCGCATGCTATCTTAGCCGCATACTGCTGGATGTGTATTAGACTTTAGCATTATTCTATCTTGGTCGCAGCGCGACAAACATCCTTCACGTTTTTGTAGATAGATCAAATATTGCTGCACAAACTACTTGCATAGCAACCAGAAAACCGGGTTGCCCACTATCGACAAATACCCTCTCCTCCTTCATTTAAATATTTCAGAGCCGGCACTTTCGTACTTAACGTTTACTCTTAAGCTCTGGAAACGAATATCCTACTGAACTAGTTTGCCACTCCACCGAAAAAGCCTCTGCTTTTACGTGAATTTCAAGAAACCATGCGATTTCTGAGATTATTAAATGACTTTACTTGATTTCAGTATACATTTACTTCATGTGCGCCACATATCAGGTGCATCGAATTAATCCTGGTTGGGCTGTCCATACTTCGTAACCGAAGCACTACCAGGATTAAAGTGACAATATCACTCGACAAATCGCCAAGGCATCATTGGTCCTCGATTTGCGTACTTTACAGAGTTTCCTCGATGAGCAGACGTCGTTTCTTCGATAAAAAGCTAGAGGAGGTCATTGCACCCTCATTCTGGTTGTTACTACAATGCCCCCCCTCTCCATTGCTAATCATTTTATCATGGTAGTGCTTCGGTTACGAGCCTCTGCCTGCTACGTCATGATCGACGCCGGCAAGCGCTCTGGGACGACGGCACGCCATCGCGTACTGCGAGACCGAATTCCAGGACGCGCCAAACTACGTCCGGAATAGCACTGACGGCTGCCGCAGCAGATACGTATCATTTCGTTTCGAATTTAGGTAGATTAGTGTCACTTAAACTACTTTGAACAAACGACTTCTGACGACCTTGTCGACCGACGTCTCTCACCGTCCGTCCTTAAGCGCTGGCACTGTGATGCCAGAACAACCTCGAGCGAATATGGCGTCTAGGCCTCGAGCCCCGAAAGGTTCTCTTGATTGTTTTGCTGCAGCCAATGTCCGATGTCACTGTCAGCATGGGTGAAAATCTTAGCCCATCTCGGGGAGGAGCTTGCCCCGTCGATGAGTTCGTGTTGTACACCACGTCTGGTGTCCATAGCGAGATTAGCCAGCACATCCGCGATCTTGTTGTGGACACGCAAATTATGATGCCAAGTCATCACTCCGTGTTGGTCTGCACGTCTGAGGCACTGCCAGAACAGAGGTCGCAGATACTTGGCACGCGGTGGTGTTCGCGTTGCTTGTTGGTGAATGATAATATTGCTACCACCGACGACATGCAGAGGGGTCCACTTCCGTCGTTCACACGCCTTCAGTCCGATGAGAAGCCACATATATTCGGCCACGCTGTTCGTGGTGCGTTGCGCCGCGTAGGACATACTGTCGAACCAGCAGATCGCGTGACCCACCACACCTGAACCAACTTTGACTACCACTGTCTCGCTACTCTCTGGGCCGGGATTGCCGCGTGATCCCCCATCAAAGAAAAGGAGATAGCGGACGCTGCCACTGGGAGCAGCAGATGCATATCAAATGTCTTAATCAGGTTTCTGTTCATTTAACCGAACAAATTTGGCTTGCTTTAACGTAATTGAATATTCAGGCGCACTACTGTACCAGCCCAATCCTCTAGTGGTCTCCTTAGATACATGTACCATAAAATAAAATATGCAATCAGTGCTCTACAACTGTAGATGCAATCTATGTGCAGCTTCAACTTCGTGCATACAAATCGCATGTGTTGGAAATACATACAAATCGCAGATGTTTGGCTTCTCTTCTCCCTTTATAATATGTACGTTTGAATTAACCCTTTCACTGCACAAAACAGCCTGGCGATACCTCGGATGCCTGATCTGGGGACAGTATGTACCGGGGACAGTACGTAATGAAAGTTCTAAGCTGCCAGCTTCAGGTCTCCAACAAGCTTCGTAGCAGTAAGTGGACCATACGCCGAGTACTGGAGAGCAGAGCTGGTGGTTGATGACTTGGTGGAAAAAATACCGCAATATCAGAGCAGATGCGCGTACATAAGAGCAACTTCAGTATGATGCATACGAAACATAGCATTATGTATTACTACTAACCTTTGTATTGGTTAAGTTGAAGATGTAATGTTGCTTGTTTTGCAGCTCGCTTGACCAATCCATAACAAGCACTTACAATCGATGGTCAACCAAACCAACGATCGAATGTCAACGGGACGAGCTAGGCGCATAAAGCTAAGGAAACCAACGAAACTACGTGTATGAACAGGTTGGTTCATGTAGCGACATAAACAAAATCTCTCCTTTACCCTCAGAACCTATCAAACGTTTAACGGCGGAGGCGCACGTTGCAGGACGGGTCAGCAGCCTCCGCTCCGACACTTCCCGAGGTCGTCGTGGTCTCCGCGGCGCCAGCAGTCGTCGTCTGGCTAGTGGTGTCACTGGATCCCGACGAGGCAATCGCAAGGCTTCCCTCGGGTCCTCCAACAGATCCACCGAAGCCGCCCATGCCCGAGCCGCCGCCCATACCACCCGCACCGCCGGCCGTCGTGCTCGTGGAGTCGGCCATGACGCCTCCGTCTGCCGTCAGTGTGCCCGCCGCCGTGATGGTCTGCGCGCGCGTCATGTCCACACCGACGGAGATCCAGGCCAGCACGCCGTCCGACACCGAGTCGCCCAGCAACACGTACTCGAACACGGGGTCGAAGTCCTCGGACGCCTCCTCCGACAGGATGGAGTCATCGGCGTTCGTGGTGAGCTCCTGCGTGTTGGTGCTGTAGGGCGCCGTGAGCTCCACCTCGGTGATGAGATCCTGGTCGAAGAAGAGCTGGCCCACGTGCGACGCGTAGCCGCCCGAGTACGTGTTGTTCTCGAGCAGCGTGCCGTTGTACGTACCGATGATGTGCATGTGCGTGGCGCGCGACGTGTAGTGGCCCGGGAAGATGGTCGTGTAGGACGCGACGCCGTCCTCGTCGGTGGGCGTGAGTCCGCGCAGGAACGTCTTGTCGAGGTTGGTGGTGTCGGAGCTGTCGCCGTTGCCGCCGGCCACGATGCCCGAGTACACGCCCGTGGCGTTGCAGTGCCAGAAGTCGAGGTACAGACCCTCCACGGGCTCGCACGTGTTGACGTCGATGATCTGGATCTCGGCGTACAGATCGACGCCTTCCTGGTCCTCGCGGATGTCGGAGCGCACGAGCTCGCCGTTGACGTAGTACGGGCCCTGGGTGACCTCTGGCTCGAGGATGCACTTGACGTCGTCGCCGAAGAGCTCGCTGGCGTTCGTGTCGGCGGTGAGGCCCGTGAGGTTGGACTTGTGGCTGGTGACCAGCACAGTGTCGAGATCGAGGCGACGGCGCTGACGGCCCTCAGCACGGATGCTGTCGGCCTTGGCTGCGCGGCGGGCCACGGCGTGTTCCTGCAGTCGTCGCGAGGCGTCCGAGTTGGCGCAGTCCTTGAGCGAGCGCTTGCCCTCAGCCATGAAGAGCCGGCGCTGCTCGAGACGTTGGGGTGTGCGGGCATGGGCGGGTTATCCACCGTGGGCGGAGGCCAAGTCGGGGAACGTTAAGGCTGCGACGGCGGCTGTGGCAGCGAGGAGTGCGGCGGAGATGCGAACCATGGTCTTGGGGGTGAAGATGAGTGGTTGGTTGTGTTGCTTGTTGGCTGCGTTGGTAGGCGTGCTGTCAAATTGGAAATGAGGTCGAGTGCAGTGCTCGAAAAATAAAATATAAAATTGAATTGGGAATCTAAGGAAAAATAATCCGTGATTCCATTTCTTGAGGCTCCCGTAGTAATAATTATAAATATTATTGTGTATTATTGGGACAATACTGAACCGTAAAACTAACATTTGGGGCATATAAATGAGTTTTAACTGGGAACTTTAGTGTCTTAACGACTGAAATCTGGTCAAAACTCAATATACTTATTATTAGTACAATATCATATTTTACGGAAACCCGGAAAATCAAGTAATAATTTATTCCGTCAATATACTACTATAATTTTTATATTATAATTATTTTTTCCGAGCCCTGGTCGAGTGTGGTGGTCAAGCAGCTTGTCCGGCGGTTTCAACCAGGTGTAGTATGTACAGATTGCAGAGCGATTCAATCGGCGTGGCTCACGTCACGTCCAGTGCTCGTCTAGAATGCGGCCTTCAATGTTGATGAGTCTTCGGGAGCGCCGCCAATAGATGCACATGGACGAGGAGAACGTGTGGACACATCCGCCGACGACTCGGAGGATCCGACGGCGACGGGAGAGCCGGCGGCAGCCGGGCTCTGGATATACCAATGGCTGGTCAGGGAGACCCAAATATACTGAGATCAAGTCAATGTGGCGTAGTGGATGGAGATATTTTCGCGCGGATACCCAAGATCAACACGATGGCCATGATCGACAGTGTGGACCAAGATCGGCAAAGCGTGGCGACGCGTAGTCT